TGAGTTCGCACTCCGCAACCTTACCTGCGCAACTATGTCCACAACCATGCAAAGTCGTCCACCCCCGGGGCCCCGGCTCTAATTCTCAGTTGCGATTGAAAACTCTTTCTTTTCCATGATCAGTTACGTATTTACACGCTCGTAGAATGTATCTGTGCTGTGATTGTCGAGCCGTCTATTCAGTATCACCTTCTCTGACGAGCCTTTGGTAGGCGAAACAGCTGTCAGAAGGAATATTATCTGTAACAATACTGGATACCCGTGACCCCTTCGTTGCTTCGAATTATTGGTGAGTGTGTAATGGCTACTGAGCCTGAGGGTAGCCATGTGTCGGCTGAGAGCACATGGAGGACAAGAGGAGGAGAGATTGTTGCAATATTAAACAGCCGAATGCTACCGTTCACCACTTTACTTTTGACTTTACAAATTGTAGTGATTGAAAACCTCAAAACATGGGTACTTTTCCGCGTCACGGGACTCACCGCCCATGCACAGCGAAGCCCTGCTTTCGAAGGTTCTGGAATGTTATTTTGCTAGCAATCTTGGCCTGACTTTTCTAAGCACTCGCAGACTCCATTGCAGCCATTCACACATTATAGGGTACCTCACTTCAAACTCTCCAACTACGGTCTCTTCGCTGCATATGTTCACTTCACTTCCAAAAAAAACAAATAATATTAGATATAAATTGAATGCACCAAATTTTCGGGCATGGCCCATCTTCAGGGTGAAAAAGAAAACCATTCAACTAAAGCCAACAAAAACTGAAACGAGTATATATGCTGTGTGAAATTATTGTGTTAGATGCTGGTGTTGTAAATTGTGGTAGACTGTGATGTTGCGAATATATTATGATAATATGTGATATTTGATGTTTATGTGTGCTAGCTGGTTATATGGTTATATAGTGCTTAGCAAATAGTTGTCGTCATCTTTGTCTTCACACCCATGGACCCAACTACATTGATGCTTTGCATTCTATTCTCCATGTCACAAACACATATTCACACTTACAGACACAGCTCTCCACTTGGCTCCTTCACTTTCTACCAACACACTTCACCATTGCTGCTGGTAACCACACTTCTCGTGCTTTCCCTTCACATCGCACTAACACATATTCACACTTACAGACACAGCTCTCCACTGGTCTCTTTCGCTCCTTCCCTTTTTACCAACACACTTCACCATTGCTGCTACCCTTCACACATACAAAGATTTCCAGCACTACCGCACCACACAGCATATATACTCGTTTCAGTTTTTGTTGGCTTTAGTTGAATGGTTTTCTTTTTCACCCTGAAGATGGGCCATGCCCGAAAATTTGGTGCATTCAATTTATATCTAATATTATTTGTTTTTTTTGGAAGTGAAGTGAACATATGCAGCGAAGAGACCGTAGTTGGAGAGTTTGAAGTGAGGTACCCTATAATCTTGGCCTGAGTCGGCTTTTGTCCACAAATAGCGGTGTTTTGTCGTACATATACATTATACATAATGTACATGTACATAATATATGTACATGGTCAGTATAGCATCTCGGCAAGAAAGCGCAAGCATCATTGCAGCCAATCCAGTTTCTGCAGCGTTGATCAACTTTGTATTGCGGAATTTGTTTGGTCAAGAGTGACTCAAGACCCACAAGAGTCAACGCGCACGTCGCTCCCTTCTCTTCAAGAAATGGAGGGACCGGAGTCATGTGAGGTGGAGAGCACTTGGCCTATTTTGGCGGTGACTGAAACCCATGCTCGTGGCTCCTTCCATAGGCATGGATGTCTTCTCTGCAGTCGCGGATCTATGTCTGATTTTTTTCTAGCGCTCCCAAGTCCACGGCGGTCTTGCTGCTCAGGATTAGCGGCACTGCCGAGAGAGCTGGACCTCAGTCACCTCACACTATGCTTGGTCTTTACTTTGTAGGTCATAGGAAGAAGACGGGAAAGAAAGGAAGAATAGAAGGAAAAGGCAACGGACATAATAGTGCAAGATCCATAATCCATTCCCAGCACCAATCATAGAAAAGGTTGATACAATGATATTATTATCAAGTCACACACATGCACCGGCCGAAAGCTGCCGAAAGCTGATGCTGACCTATTTATCCACGCCTCACACATGCAATGACATTATGTGAAGAAGAGGTTGGTGCGACTTCGGCGATAGTAGGGGAAGAGTGTGTTACTCCCTACATGGGAGCTCGCGGTTTTCCTGCCGACTTGAATTCTCACTTGACTGACTCACGACTGCCATCCAGAGCACACGAGAAGTCCACGAACCGTCCACTCGGCAAACCTGCAAGAAAGCACCACTCTCTGCTCAATACACAGTGTTTCGGGGAATTCACCCCTCATCAGTTGAGTTTTAGTAGGCTGAGGAAGATTGTGCCTGAAGAGCACCACTATTATTTTATAGTGCCGCGTCTCCAGGCACAAACATCACCAGGGATACAAACTTACAGAGACACTCGTACTCGTGACTCCGTTTCCAGCGCGACAAACACCTCGTGAACACCAGACAGCAACGGGAGTGAGTGTCGCTCATGGAGGTACTGAACAAGCGCTGAGGACCGTTGGCCATTCACAACGTTGTTGCCTCCAAACCATCTAATTCGCAAGCCCGCGCTGGGGACAACAATCTTCCCCTAATCATAATATCGCCGAAGTCCCACCAACCTCTTCTTCACATTGCATAATTATTGTTGTTGTTGAGTACGTAAAAGAAAAATGACAATAGAGAGGTTAAGTTTCACGTAAAAGTCTTACGTCCGTGAACTTTTACGTCAAAAGTGAAAAAACTCACGTAAAATTTGACGTGTTTTACGTGAGTTGACTGTCCCGCACGTTAGTTCATGACGTGAGTTTTTGGAAGTTTCGCTTGGTTATTCCGACCGAATTTGTGTGAGTTTCCGGAATTTTATCGAGTTTTATCTAGTTTGTTGGAAGATTTGATATTTGTGCGAACTAAACCCGAATCCTGCCAGGCAAAATTTCACGTCACGTCGCACGTGTAACTTAACCTCTAAAAATTACACGTAACGTGAGATTTGCACCGCATTTTGAAAAAGGGCAAAAAACGTGTACCGGTTTTCATGTACTCGTGTCTTGGTACATGTAGTCGCAAGGGCGCGCTAGCGCGTTGGCCATACCATATCACGTGCCAGTATACTACGAAAATGAATATTTTGATAGCGACCTCAGCGATTTAATACATTGTATAAACTTTTAAAAAGGAAGTAAAAGGTGGTTGCTCTTTTTCCTTCCGGCTCTGACAGGGAAACGCACGTTCACGGCGGATGACCTCTCTCTTCTACGGCTACCTTGCCGGCTCGGTGGAATCGGTTTGACATACTTCAAAGAAATCGCTACCTCCCAACTGCAGGCTTCCCAAGTCATCACGAGCGAGCAGCCAGGTTGACGAGATCATCCACCAGCACGACCGAGAGTGGCAGCATCATTCCTGCGACTTTGTGGATCAGCTAGCCCGCCGTGAGAGAGCATCTGCCGCCAAGTCCTCCAAGAAAGCTAGTGCTGCCTCTTTCGCTGCTCTCCGAGAAGCTGCGGACCGCCCCTTGGCCCGTCGTATGGATGAGCTGTCCCGCAAAGGCCCCTCTTCCTGGCTCACTGCTCTTCCTCTCAAGGAACATGGGTTCCACCTCTCGAAGCAGGAGTTCAGGGACGGCCTTGCACTGCGGTATGACTGGCCTCTCCTCGATGTCCCCACGAAGTGTGCCTGCGGAGTTCTGTTCTCCACTGCTCATGCCATGTGTTGCCCCCGGGGTGGCTTCCCTACAATCCGCCATAACGAAGTCCGTGACATGGTACTCACGGAGGTCTGCCACGCAGTGGCAATCGAGCCTCAGCTAGCCCCGCTCTCTGGAGAGCCTCCGAGAGGTGTTTACGGCTGCATCGGCAAACACCGCCGAGGATGCCCGCGCTGATGTCCGTGCCCGTGGCTTCTGGACCCGAGCACAGGATGCTTTCTTTGACGTACGCGTCTTCCATCCTGATGCGGCGTCCTACTCGGCCCAACCACTGGATGCCATACTGCTTCAGCACGAGCGCCAGAAGAAACTGCAGTATGGAGAGCGAATCCTCAATGTGGATCATGGCACATTCAGCCCGCTGGTGTTGTCAACTTCTGGTGTTGCCTCCCCTGAATGTGAAAGGTTCCTTAAGCGCCTCTGTGGCTTGCTTGCTAGGGCTGATTCCAGCATGCCCTATGCACACCATGTTGCATATGTGCGCTGCAGGCTGTCACAGAGTCTTTCGCGCTGCTCCGGTCATGTGTGTCCGTGGGTCTCGGTCGGCATACCATCGTCCAGCTAACGAGCTCAGGGAGCTGGCGGTGGTTGAAAGCCGGATCTAAAACCATTTGTGTTTTAGTGTAAAACTCTTGCCATTCCGGAGACATATTTGCCACACCTGCAGTGTACTATTATTAATATTATCTTCCTATTGTACCCTGGTTTCTCATCATTGTGTTGCTTTTGCCCAAAAGGTGGTTGCTCCCACACTGGAGCTTCCGCTTTTCCCGCCGACCTGACATGACACTTGACTGACCCACGACTGCCACCCCTCCGGAAATTTTTTAATTAGGGTGCAAATCCTGCATTCTGGGCATTTTTTGAAAAAGTGGTCCGGCCGGACCGGCTGCTACGACCCCTGTAGTACTCGACCTTCCTCAGCCTACTAGTACTAGCAAGAGTACATGGGGGGGGGGGGGGTTATGTACTCTTGGTACTAGTACTCAACCTCAGTTGCATGAGGGCAAGAGATCAAAAACAACGGTGCCCTGCCTCGAGACCGGCCTTGCCCTGGTGTGGAGTGTACGCATGACATCAGAAGATCCAATTCCGCTCGACCAAGACCCTATGCAGAACTGGATCGGCGTTGCACACTCTGGGGGGTTATGTACTCTTGATGAGGGTCTATATTGGTACAGTAGGAACACAAACAGGAAGCAGGAACACAAACAGGAAGCAGGAACACAAACAACCACCAAACTCAAAGCACGTGGATAACGTGGTAGAGAACCGTGAAGCCCCTTGGCAAAAACCCTCCGTCCGTTGCGGGTACGTGACAGCGGGGAGAGCAAGCAGCAGCGGGAGTTTGGAGTTTGGACTAAATTTCGCTGTGGGAGCTTGCACACAATCCAGCTGGGTTCAGTCAAACACTCATCTCAAAGGAAATACTTGTAAGTACAAGAACATGTTAAAAATAAACGCAACCTTGTGCGAGAATTTAGAAAAATGTGAAAACCTAAAGAACTAACCTGGATCCGGCCAGGCAAAACTAAACATTTTGGCAGAAATCTAGCTGAGATAAAACAGTGCTAAAGTAAGGGCTTCAGAGGCAAGCCAGATCCGAAAACATATTTTAAAAAGCTAGCGAGGAACTCAGTAGCCGATAAAGGTGGAACCAGAGACAGGCTTGCAATGTGAACAAACCAACGAAGAAGGCAAACACACAACACAGCTGCAAGGCCAGCAGGCGATGCAGTTGCACAGAAGTTTAGCCGTAATACTGCAACAGTGGGAAAGCCAATCGATAATCATCAGATATTTGTGAGCAAAGCACGATGGCGACCACATCTGGGCGTCAACTCACGGGTACGCGGACACGCCGATCAGAACCGCACCTAATGCCCAGGCCCGCGAGCAGAGATGGGCCACGTGTCCTCGACCGTGCCGTCGTCCGTGTTGACAATAATCATCTTGTCATACATGTTGACGGCGGGATCACAGTGACCGGGAACGAGGGTCAGAACACTGCCCACTGCCGGCACAGCGCTGCCCTCGTCCATGTACACCAGGCCATGCTCGTCTCCACCGCTTGAGAATGTGGCAACTGAGCAGCCTTGCATGCCGCTCACGTGAACCAGCGGTGGGCCCATGTCCAGCGAGATTGCCTTGGTGCCGGAATCCGTTACGGCCAGGCGCCGTTCCTCGTTCCTACTGACTACAGTAGTCAGCACGTACAGACTGTGACGCCAAGACTCACCGCTGATCGGGAGATTCCACTCGTCACGGCCGTACGCTGCGTCCATGAAGATGTAGGAGCCGGGCTGCACCTCGTTGTACACGCCCGTCTCCGCTTCCAGGTAGAATGTGCCTGAACACACGCACACATGCATGCACACGAACACACATACATGCACACACACGCACATACATACACATACACATTACTGGCATTGCATTAGCAACACAACAGCACAACAGCTCAGCCACGGAATAATAGAGAATGGGATCACGTGCAGACAGGCAACACAGACGCTCGTCGTGACGTCATTCGTATAACCTCTAGTAGCAGTGGTAACGTTACGTGAACGCAAGCACGGCACTTACCCGTGCCACCACCCGTGACAACCTCGCAGTCGATGCCGGCAGCCTTCAGGACGTCAACAACCTCCTTAGCCTGTGCAGCAATGCTGGAGACGGCCTCCTTGCGATCGGTTTGCACACGAATGTGCTGCAGCAGGCCATGGTATGCCTGAATGCCGTCAAAGCGAACGCCAGGTAAGCTACGGATCAGCTACAACAACAGCAGCAGCAGCAGCAGCGACAGCGACAGCAACAGCAGCAGCAACAACAGCAGCAGCAACAACAACAGCAGCAGCAACAACATATTCTTTACATTCCTCTTTCTCTGAGTTCTATCATATCTTCATTTTCTTGGGGTCTGGGCTCTTTTAGAACTACCGGTACTCAGTTCTGTTGGGCTACCGAAGTAAAAAATAAAAATAAACGAAAGGCCAAAAAAACAAAAAAACAAAACACCGCCATCACATGTAGTGTCCAGACCAATTGACGAGCACGCGAAAAAGGAGACAACTGCGCTACGCTCATCATACTGGTGTAGCGCGACAGAATAGGTAAGCTTACAAGGAGGCACAAACACGAATGAGAGAAGTGAACAAACAGTATTTGAACTTAGGTGCCGTCCATAATAATTATCGATCAAGTACACGAAACGAAAAAGTTTCGTTTACGGGTGGGTGGGTCGAGGAGAGTTTCTTGATAGCTGAAGAATCAATCCATTCTACTTGAAGTACATATAGCTGTCAAGTCAAATTATTAGAGAGGTTCCGCACTACGTAAAGTTGAGCAACTTTACGTTAGTGGGCGGGAAAACCCCGTGAATTCGCGAGTTTGCACTCCACTTACGGAAAGTTGTCTACGTAGAGTACGTAGATAGGGCTCTGATAACGTAGCTGGTCCGCAAGTGGATTGGGGTACAAATTTATGACTCTCTCCCCAGGTCGATCCGGTCGTACACTGCCGCGTTCGGAGTTCACTCTCCAGGAACTTGCGATTCCGCGGCCGCGTTGTTTTCCGCGATTTGAACAAAAGTCCGCGATATTTGAAAAATCATCCGCGATATTGTAGAAAACTGCCCTTGATACTTGAAAAGCACCGCGGTATTATTTCGAAAAGCACCCGCGATATCCGAGTCTTCCTTCGATGTTGTTTAGTTCTTCAAGCTCGTCAGCAGTTTACTTGAGAGATCCACACAAGAATGGAGAAGTTTCTGGGCAAATCAGCGGCTGAAAAGTCCAAAAATAAGGCTCGCGTCGAGTGTTGTCCAAGGATAGAGGAAAGCTGTCTTGTAAGCTCCTGTCGACATGTCAGGCAGTTGAACACAGTCGCAATCGAGTACAGCGCAGCACACGTGCATAATTTATGCTGTACATTCCACCGCATTACAGTTCAAGTACCAAAATTGGCCGCAATTTCCGTAATTTTACCACAATAATCCTGCAATATTTGACAAAATCCGCAATATTCCCCGCAATTTGTGGCATTTTACCTCGCAACTTTTTCCGCGATATTTCCGAAATGTCTCCGCAAGTTTCTGGAGGGACAGGGAGTTGCCAAGTGCAGCTACGTGATTTGAAAACTCCGTATGGCGGAACACAGATGCGCATGCAGTTGACGTAAGACTTTCCGTAGATCGACTACATTTTTTACTAACGTGATTACGTTATGCGGAACCTCTCTATCATTCATTCCAGGGTGTGTGTGCGGGGGGGGTCGTAACTAAACTTTTTCGTTCTGTGAAAATTATCGATAATGCCAGATGGCCCCTTAATTCAGTACACACATCAGTCCAGGAGTGAAACTGATGAAAACAACAATCTTTCCGAGTGGAAGGTTCAATAGACTTCTCGTGTGTGATGGCAGTCGTGAGTCAGACAAGTGAGATTCAAGTCGGCAGGAAAAGCGCAAGCTCCCATGTAGGGAGCACCACACAATTCCCTAAGTATCGCCAAAGTCACACCAACCTCTTCTTCACATTGTGTGGAAAACAACAATCTCTGAATAAAATACCTTAAATACGTGACTTCTCGCTCGATCACATCCGCACTGGTTACGGGAATAGAACTACCAATGAACACATAACTCAAATAATATTAATTACAGCTGGGGGGGGGGGGGGGGGGAGAGAGAGAGAGTCTTCCAAGGACGAATCAGAACACAAGAACTATAGCACTCCAGCAGGGCCTGGGAAAGAAAGGAAAGGGTTTGAGGGCTTCGCCTGTTAACACGTGTTTTAGGTCAAGATGTCTACGCGCGGAGATAAGGTTCTCTACGGTGTACACATCTGCTGGGTATCAATTCAAATCAGGCAGAAAACTGCCAAATTCGGAAGGTAAATTCCCAGTACTCATTCCACGTGACTTCTTGACGTGAACGCAGAGCAGAACAAGTTTTCTTTACGCTACGGGAACGCGATGAGTGTTCCAGGGATTCTTCACGCTGCGTTCCCGTAACGTAGAGCAGAACATCACCATTGCAGCGCACTCCATTACATCATGGAATGTGCACTTGAAGAAAAAGTGCAGTAAATCACTAATAACTTATAATAAGTCGGTCCTGATGTGGGATTAACCAAATTAGGTAGCTTTACAAAGTAACACTAACTGGTTGATCTATACCGGTGGTAACTGAAATCCGACCCCTGGTTTTCATGCTCGAGTGCAGCACCGGTTCTACATTGTTGCGGTCTCTATTTCGCAGTGCTACAATCCCGTTCTGCCGGGTGTTTGCAGTGTGAGCGCACCGCTCCAGGGGTCGGATTTCAGTTGCCAGTACTGTAGGAACTCTTACATTGTGAACACCATAATAGAAAAGCTGACAGGATCGCTTTTCTAAATACTACACGTGTACAGTGGGCGTAGAGGAGCAGCTGCGTAACAAGCATGAGCAATCAATAGAAAAAATTACTTGTAGTGTCACAAGAGAGAGATTGGAAGCTTTGTTACAACTCTGAGTTTCACGTACTGTATAAGCAGAAATATTCGTCTGGAATTTAATTTCGTCTTTTTCGTCCAAGGAGCTTTTGGACTAAATTAAATGTAGGACGAATATCGATTTGTCCAGCGTTTCTATACACTCTTATGACCCATGGACGAAATTTTCAACCGGACGAACTCCTTTTCTTTGGAGTTGGACGAAATTATTGACCGACGAAATTTTCTGCCTCTACAGTATTACTACGATCATCAGGCAACTGACACAGCTTCCAATCTCTCTCTTGTGTACAAGGCTCTGCCCTACATGGGTATTGAGCACTCTTCGGACAGTGAAGCACACCACTTGACTACTTGTAGTGTCATAGAAAAAAACTTTTAAAAAAGGTGCATTACAGCTCTTCAGGAATACTATACTACTAGAGTGCATTCATGATGAAATCTCAGCTCATGCATATGCGCCGGGTAACACTAAAACTTCTTGTACAGTACCCGTACTTACAGCAAGTCACCCTGAGCTGACCAGGTTCAGTACCGAGCGTCCCCTCGTAATTCACTCCAACACACACGCACACACACACACACACACACACACACACACACACACACACACACACACACCTTGACCTTGATCTTGCCCATTGCGTACGCAATGATAGCGAATGTCGGAAAGTTCAAGTGAGAACACGAGCGCAGAACTTGGCATGTCGTTTCAGGTCTCCTGGTCGACGAAACGGGCGTCCACAGACACATAGAAGAGGATCAGGAGCGGGCCGTGGCGGTGGAGTGCTACTCGCAACTCGTCTCCAGCCGGGACGATCTTGGCAACTCTCAAGCCAGGTGGTCACGCCGAGGTCCGCCAGGTCAGTCGACACCACATCTCGCCACCTCTTCTTCGGGCCGTGACGAGGATGGGGGGCACACACACACACACACACACACAAACACACACACACAGCACACACACACACAGCACACAGCACACACACACACACACACATACACACACAGCACACATACACACTTCACTCATGGCACATCAATATCGTAGTACTACTTTAACATACCTCAGCCAGCTGCAGGGCTTCACTGGGGCTGCTAACACCACAGCGTTTCTGCCCGACGTCAACGTCAATCACCACGCCAAACACAACGTTAGCGCTGGCCGCAATTGAGCTGATGTCACGCACATTGTCGGCATTGTCGACGCACAGACGAATCCGTACCTCAGGTAGACTTGCCAATTCTGCCAGATGCTCCAGTTTCTTGCGTGAAACAATCTCGTTGGAAACGTACACGTCCTTAACACCTCCCAGCTTGGCAAAGGTCTCCGCCTCGGTAACTTTCTGCGCACAGATACCGCTGAATGCGGAGTGGGATTGCGCTTGGAGCTGTGCCATTTGACCGCTCTTGTGGGCTTTGCCGTGTGGTCGTACCATGATACCTGCAAGGAGAAGGTATGCACGCAAAAAAAAGCGTCGCTATTGCCGAGTTGTCGTTTTTCGTGAAGTTGAAACTATGCAGTCAAATGGTGACTAAGTCTGAAGATTGGGTCGTTATTCGCGAGAAACTGGTACTGTAGAGGCAGAAAATTTTGTCGGTCAATAATTTCGTCCAACTCCAAAGAACAGGAGTTCGTCCGGTTGAAAATTTCGTCCATGGATCATTAGAGTGTATAGAAAAGCTGGGCAAATCGACATTAGTCCTACATTTAATTTAGTCCAAAAGCTACTTGGACGAAACAGACGAAATTAAATTCCAGACGAACATTTCTGCTTATACAGTAAGTGTTACCACTCGAGTTTTCGTTATTCAAGAGGTTGACTGTACCGTCTGGCCAATTCCCCCATTGAATGGGCTCGGAAATAGGCCATGTACATGATTGTAATGAATGATACAACAAACGAACCCTCCTCCTCCATGCGCTCTAAAGCCGACCATTGCTACCCTCGCTAGCCATTACTCACACCAACAATTTCAAACAACGAAGGGGTCACGGGTAAAAGTTTCCTTCTGACTGGTACCGATCACAGTTTTGTTGATACATGTAATAATGTTGCACCTAAACGACTGGGTAGTTGCCTGGTACTCGTATGCAGTTTACAAAAAAGATACCTCGCTGAATTACAGTACAATTCGCAAACGATCATCACCGGCAGCCTACCCGGTCCAAATATTTCGACTCTGCGCCGAAACCCCGATTTTCGCCGGATTTGACGATCAAAACCCACTTCAAAGTAAAAACTCTCGTTTAGGAAGGCCCCTGGTTTAAGTCCTGGTGGTGACGTCATTTGTTTCATCAGACTTTCCCCGTTTGCATCTTTCCCTCAAACCAATGAATGTTTGGGATCTGCTTTCCCATAATAAACCATGTTGTGCCATGGTATGCCAGTCCTAAATTGTAAAACCAGCCGACCCGATGCTCCAGAACAGTCCTGGGCGCTAAAGCTGTGCAGCATCCTAAGAGTATCAAGAGTCCATAAACAAGAGTACGCAACTGTGATCTCTTTTCTATGGACCAGATGCGCAGCGCGCTGCCTTCATTACACCATTCAGCTGCACTCCGCGTACTGCAGCAAATCAAACACCACACTTTCGCTCTGGTTTGAAACGAACTTTCGTATGGAACTGGAGTTCACACACACACACACACACACACACACACACACACACACACACACACATCCACACACACACACACACACACACACACACACACACACACACACACACACACACATACACACACACACATGCACACACACACATACGTACACACACATGTGCGCACACAGACACACACACGTGCACGCGTGCACACACACACGTGCACGCACACACACAGGCACACACACATACCGGCACACAGTGACACACACCTCAGACCTCAGACCTGCCCATCGCGGAAGCGATGATAGCGAACGGCTATGTTGGACACAGCAACTCACACACACACACACACACACACACACACACACACACACACACACACACACACACACACACACACACAAATACACATACGTACACACACATGTGCACGCACAGACACACACACTTGCGCGCGCGCACGAACACACACACACACACACACACTTACTTGTACTTGTTGCTCACTGCCAAAACTAGTCACGTGGGTCTCCCCGGGAGAGGGGAGAGAGACTCAAAAGGAATCTTGGAAAGATGACTCAATCGGCTATTGAACCGCCCAACGGCCGACACCCCCTGAAATCCCCAAAACTCTGGGTGGACTTCAAAATGATCCCACTTATGGGCTCACCACACCTCAGTAAGTGGGTGAGGACAAGGTGCAGAAAAAGGATTGACGGCATCAGGGTATCCGACCCGGGATCCAATTGCAGTTACCCCTGCCCCCAGTGAAGGTAATACTTGCTACTAGTGTGGGTGGCTAAATCAGAGTGGATCTGATACAAGCTTCACTAGCACCATTGATTACACAAGAGCTAATCTAGCCAGAAGCAGTCCATAGTTAACGGGTATGTATACTTCAAATAGAAAGTATATGAACCCTGAAACCAACAAGGGTGGCAGATACAACAACACACATTCAAGCAGCCGAGCCTGTTGGCAACAGACCCAACACAATCAGGCATTAGTGTACCCACCAACCGAACTAGCTGGCCACACATACGCACACACACACACACACACACACACACACACACACACACATACAGGCACACATACACACCACGTACCATGTACCATGTATACGCCCGTCGTAAGAGAAGCATGCAAATCTGCAAATGTACAATCATGTACATGTGTGTGCAATAAGCTGGGCCGCAAGTCACACAATCATCATGCCGCCTGTGTTTGGACCACAAGCATGGTAGAGGGGATACACTCATGTATTCATGTACATGTCAATGCAATTAATGTACATAATGTACATAAACAGTGCCGCGTCGCTTCACTGTACACAAATGCACTGACGTACACTGTTTTTTTGGATGGCTTTTTTTATTTTTTTCGCCCTCCCTCATTGATTTCATCGAATAAGGTGACGCGAAACATAGAAAAAAATGGTGTGGCCTTATAGCAACGATGGCGAACAAGATCTGTATGAGACAGATCAAGACTTGCGCCAGATAACTGTCTAATCCACACAACTGGCGAAGCCATGTGAATCGACCACCAATGCACACCTGGTCCAGGAGTACATCGGCATAAAACGGCCACACACACACAGACACACACACACACACACACACAAATGTAGAGGTCTTGTGAGTACTCGAACGAATCGAGCAAAACGGAAGAAGTGCTGGTACGAGAGGGTTTGAGTGCATGCTTTCAGAGCGTTACGGAGGCAAGTTACGTAATGAAGGCAGCGCGCCGCGCACGGAACCATAGCCACGGTTGTATATTCTTGTTTATGGACTCTTGATAGTATTTGTAGCCATAATTATATAATAGAGAGGTTCCGCATAACGTAATTACGTTAATAAAAAACGTAGTCGATCTACGGAAAGTCTTACGTAAACTGCATGCGCATCTGGGTTCCGCCATACGGAGTTTTCAAATCACGTAGCTGCCCTTGGCAACTCCGAACGCGGCAGTGTACGACCAGATCGACCTGGGGAGAGAGTCATAAATTTGTACCCCAATCCACTTACGGACCAGCTACGTTATCAGAGCCCTATCTACATACTCTCCGTAGACAACTTTCCGTAAGTGGAGTGCAAACTCGCGAATTCACGGGTTTTCCCCGCCCACTAACGTAAAGTTGCTCAACTTTACGTAGTGCGGAACCTCTCTATTATTCCCTTCATGTCTTCTACATGTATGTGTGTTGGGGGGGGAGGGGGGGGGGGGGGGGTGTCAGATGGCGAAATATTTCAAAGGCCTGAGCACTGCATGCATTGCAGACAGTTGTTAAAAAACATTCTACTATGCTGCCAGGATTTACAGACACGGTACTGACCTGGAAATTTCGCCATGCATTTCTCCAAGAGTGCCAAATTGTGATTCAGTGCTGCCCTGTCCACAAGCAAAGCTGGAGTGTCAATCCCTTCGAGAGCATCTTTGCTCAAGCACCCAGCAACGTCAGTATAAGCGACAGAGCTGTCCTTAGCAAAATACTTCCTGGGAGACTGAGCCATGACAGCCGCTTGATGAAAGAACCTTCTCTGAAGCCCAAGAAGCATGAAGAGTTTGTGTCAAAAGTGTGGAAATAATTGAAAGACCCTACAACTAAGCGCGTAGTACCAAGAGTTTATGGACTCTTCTGAGTCTTCGTATAGTACAAGCACATGTATAATATACCGCGTACCGGTACATACGATCGTAGACTACGACTACGAGTACAACAATAAAAGTTTGGTTTTGAAAAAATTAAAAACTATTATTTATATGGAAAATAAATAATTACAAAATTTATAAAACTTTAAAAGTAGGTTCGACGTGCGCGACGTCTACATGTACATATATTATGTACATGATGTACGTAGATCTACGTAGCTAGCTCCAAGCTACGAGTACGAACGCTCGTAGTCGTACCCGTACAGAAAGCTTTGCTCGTAGGATATTACCGCGGACCGCATAATTTTATGTATCGTATACAGGTATACGCGTATACGAATCCGATATTATTCTTTCTGTTGTTTTTTTCCCACGATATTCCAACAGCGGGCCAAATTACTTCTAGACAAGCTACGTCCAAATGAATTGTTGCATTGCAGCAAGTGGAAGTGATATCCTTCATGCCCGTTGTGTCCAAAAATAGGAATGATCCCACTTTGGAAAGTGTCTTGAATCATGTCCTACTTTCATAGTATTCTCAGGATTCAAATAATTGGTGTGTCATTTTTTAACAAATTTGTAAAATGGCATCACAAACTGGGATAATCGGTCATCAATGTTAGTTGATAGATATCACTTCAACAGTTCAAGGATTGCTAGTGGATGAAAATTCATCTGTCAACAGAGGAGTGAACTGCATTGCATGCTGCGAAAGCCGTGTTTTTGTACTTGTAAGTTGTAACTAGTGGTTGTGGTATACGGTGGAATTGGATAGGTAGCATAGCATCGCAGCCATGTTTTCGTTCTCACAGAGTGTATCCGTGACCTACTGTTCTTCATTACTGTCTTTAGTGATGGCAAGACCGCCTGACGTCGTCCAAAGGCCCTGCGGAAGCAATTCACTGCCCTCCTCGTCCATTCAGGGGCTCATTTTACACAAAATGGCAAAGCACCCACCATACCACCATACCGCACTAGTTATACCGACGTGGCAGGGAGAATTAAATTATATGCACCAAATGTTCTGGTCAATGACTACGATAAACTGGCTCTCATTTGCCACCAGCCATCCGGAGCAGCAGGCGAAGCGCCAGCACCGAAAAAGAGCCCTAAAAGTTGCACTTTTATTTTCCAAATCCGACCCCAGGCCCGGGAAATTTGAAACTCAGCTCAATATCGCCAAAAGAGACTATTTTTTATCCCTTGCTCACAAGAGCTTCCCTGGTGGTATCGTCTTGTTCCGAGGCAATGTTTGGGAAGGTGCGGGCATTAGCTGCCCTCAGTTTCGCGGAAAGCTCCAAGCGACATCATTTTCCTCGCTTTCTCGCCAGAGTTTTCAAGACCGACGCAACTCGTCGTCAAAAAGTACTCAGCGTGGATTTCGTGCCGAATTCCGCCCCAAACAATTTAGGCTGACCTCTCGCCACCAATCGAACCCACTGATATGTATCTACCTATACACGAGCAATGGTTTGAGCCCAAAGAAGGACAACTTCACAACGAGCATACTTTCTGAGGGTAATATTTTCTACGTATATCAGTATTAGAACACCATCAAGACGACAATTTGACCAGCAGAAAGACATAAAGTTGCACTACAAATACAGCAGCTGTATAAACATAAATAATTGAACAGAAAACTATGTAACTGGATCCCACCAAAAACAGTAAAGCATCCCAAATAGTATGCGCATACACATATACATGAAGGAAGGCTATGTTGCCACCATACACTGGCTACGCACACGGACATAATTCTGGAGAGCTGAGCATCAGCGTGCGCACACCCCCACACACACACACATCTGCATGCACGCGCGCACACCCACACATGCGCATGCACACGCGCGCGCGCACACACACACCCACATATACACATGCACGCGCGCACACACACCTGCCCTGTGCTGTCGAGCCACTGCCACAAGGGTTGCGTGGGCCTCGAAGGCACCGGAGAGAGAATAGGAGAACGCAGTCCCATAGATACACACACACGCGCACACACAAACACACACACACACACACACACACACACATGTACACAACACGTGCAAGTACACACGTGGCAGCTTACTACAAGAGAATCACACACGTTCACATGTGGGCATGAACTGTATTCACAGTTGGTCATACTGTCTTGGGCATATGAGGGAGGAGCAGGAGAGTGAGTACGTGACTCAGACACAATGCGCTTCGACATGCTAGCACATGCACCGGTTTCGGACAGTGGCAGAACGTGACGGAGAGAGAGAGAGAGAGAGAGAGAGAGAGAGAGAGAGAGAGAGAGAGAGAGAGAGAGAGAGAGAGAGAGAGAGAGAGAGAGAGAGCACCAGCGTTCCAGCTCAAGCTCCAATTTCTAGTTGCTTCTCCTGGTCACAGGAAACACAGAACAGGGCTCAGGCAGTGCCGAGGAAGTGCTTGTACTTGGTGCAGTGTCGTGAGCAGGATAAACTTCCAACATCTCTACACAGTGTAGCTCTTCAGGCGCACACGAAGACTCAGAAACCGGAATATACTTTACATGATGATTGAAAGTCCAGCAGCACAACAAAACTTCCAAGGACTGGTTTGGCACTAGCTTCCGTCTCATTGGCGTGTGCCCAGCCAGTTTTGGAAAGAAAGAGTAGACGTTCATTCCTCCTTCAACCTGCAATGAACTGGAGACAACACAAACCAACAAGACGACGATGGTTGTCATCAGCTCATGTGTTCACCACCGCAGTGCTACCATTCACTTTCCTGCTCCAAATGCACTACCAGGCTGCATGGTACTACTGTCGTGGACATGGAAATCAGGTCGCACGGATAGCGGCCCCAGGGCGCTGGCCATGTAGCCGTAGCACGGTTTATCATGCGCTGCTGATGGTCGCATTGGATCAACATGTGCACTGCATGCAACGTTCTGTACGCGCTGAGGGCGCCGGCCCCGGTCAATCGACTGGATTTCCATGTCCGCGACAGTACGATGTGTCGATAATAGACCGTGATTTGCATTTTCCAATGATTAGGACTGGTATTATTTCTATTATTCACACTTAGAAAGAAAACAAGGGGCAAGCTTTGATATGGATTATGTGGTTGTTGGCTATGTCACCATTTGAAAGAGGGTTGCAACCGTGATAGCACTGTAATATGAGTTTAAACCTACGTATTGCATGGTATACTCAAGACAACAGTTGGTGAGCAGAGAATTTCGTGCCGAATTCCGCCCCAAGGTTGTGCACAGCAAACAACTTGATATATCATTAGCCCTACCCTTGTGCTATACGTACCCGTTGTGCCGATCGAGCCTGAGCCCTCTACTCGACTCCACGGTCCAATGACATTCGGTCATCATGGCCAAATTCAAGTCACTCAAGTGTTGAGAAGTGTCTACGTCGTCGCACACGGCATGTGTCGACATACAAAAATATGTATACGATAGAGAAAGAACTACTGAAGAGCAACCAACTGGTTTCAGCATTCTCCTTCAAAGGATAGGTCGGTGGCAGAGGACCAAAGCCGGACAATAGTTGGAAATTCTCAGCGTTGAATTTCTACAGGCTGTAGATACCTGGAAAAGCTCGATTTCCCGCCACGGAAAATAAAAAAGTCTTGATTTGGGGTGCTGGCGCTTCGCCTGGCAGAGAAACAGCCAGAAGAAAAGCAAATTTTACACATTAATTTTTGTTAAAAAATGCCAAAATTAATTAATTTTAAAATGTTAAAAAAAGCCGAATCACCTCCCGGATCCCTGGCCGGCTCGAGGTGTACGTGTCGCACTTGCGTTATCGCGTGGACGTGGGTCTACTGCAGTACTGGTACCGTACCGGCGCGGCAACCCTGTACCGCGCACCGATACCCGATCACGGGCCCGGAATGTCGCAGGCCTCGATCGAGGGGTTACCGGGTTCAAGAGTACATGAAAACCGGTTTTCATGTACTCTTGCCGGGTTGCCACTTGACCGTGCTCCACTGCACCTTCCACCTGCCTTGGCTTGGGTCAGTCGGCAAAGGAAGAGAAGTGCAGGATCTCGTACGACACACACCTCCAAGTGACCCCGGTACGTAAACGAGGATCACCAAGAGAACCCAAGAGATGAACTCTTGCCAGTCTTGGGATCACGTATTGATTTCCGCAATGTTGACCCTGACCTGTGTTTGGATCGAATGCAGTTGAGAAGCGGAATGGTTGTCGTGCGACAAGGTGATGATTACTTAAAAGTCTTTGTGACCTTTCTTGCTCATTCATTTTCTGGTGTCAGCACTTGCGCGCTTTGCGATGGACTGTGTAGATAGAGGGGTTGCGAATGTCTGCTCGGTTGATTCAATTAGTAGAACAGCAACTCCCACTATTGACTGTACATTGAATAGTAATAACCAGCATAACCCTCTTACCCCAGAGGAAAGGATTCGCAGTGAGACACCAATCGCAGGGGGCGAATGTCACTCTGGCCCTACGCAAGGACGTATCAAGTTTTCGTCATCAGTGAGTTTTCCCCAGCACGCCCTCAGGCAAATGCTCATGAACGAAGCACAAAGTGTGAGCCTGAGCACAATTTGCACAGCTAACAGAGACCTGAAGTTGTGCGTGGGGCAGTACTATGACTTTCGGGACTTCGTTTCAACCACCTTCGAAGGGTATCAACGCTTGAAGGCTGAACTGGTCCGACATGCGTTTGCTTTCACGTTTACTGAACTAACACGATCGCCGCGCATTGCAGACGCCAGTGAATTCTTCGTCCTGCATGCTGAGGATGTGACGGTGGATGACCTAGAGGAGATGGTTCACCTTCATGCAGCTCTCACCGCCGGAACGGCCGAGTCGCAAAGCAATAGAGGTCCACTCCACCGGCACATCCCGTGGCGCTTGTCGTTGCCGATTTCCGCCGTAGCGCAGCTGTGCGCTTACTTTGCGTGCAATGGCGGCGGCGGACTAGCTCTGTACGAATCCCTGGTCTATAACTCGCGGTGTGCATGCAATCCGTCACATCTGTTTCAATGTGGAGACCACGTAGACGGTACTGAACAGCCCTGCTGCACTGGGTGTGCGCAAAGTCGGGTGTGTTCGGCACCGGGAGACGCACATGCTAGGTCATCACACCACCAGTACTGTACCCCGCCGCATGCTATGGAAGCGAGCGAGTCGTTTGACTGTTGCCATAGCTACAATAACGGGGACGCGCCAGATGACGATACGAGTACTATCAACGGCGAGCAGACACCGTGCCGCTGTTCTCATACCGGTAGCATGCCGTATCCGACGGTCGGCCAGGACAGCAGTGCCTTTGCTAAGGCGTACGCATGCGCTGTGCCATCACCCGTCTCTCCGGCACGATCAGAACGCGACTCCGGTGCCAGTGGAATGGACCCTACGTGCAACGACTCTACAGGCACCGACATGGGATGAAGCAACGCGCGCCTCTGGTGTCGTTTTCTACCGCCTGTGTGTTGGATATCTGAGCAACTTGGCATGGATCCTACTTGTAACGTCTCTACAGTCACCGACATGGGATGAAGCAACGCGCGCCTCTGGTGTCGTTTTCTACCGCCTGTTCGTTAGATATCTGAGCAACTTGGCATGGATCCTACTTGTAACGTCTCTACAGTCACCGACATGGGATGAAGCAACGCGCGCCTCTGGTGTCGTTTTCTACCGCTAGTGTACTGGATAACTGTGGCTCTACCTAAGTACTGCACACTGTGTGCGCGAGCACTGATATAAGTGTGTACATGCAGCAGAATAACACAGTGTACTCGACCTGGGTAGAGAGGACACAGATGATAGGCAGTTTTACTGCTTCCGTGAAGCATCATGCAAATGTCCAATGAACCCGGCGGCCCGAACTTGAGGTGAGCTAGCCCCTTGGTTTCTGGACACCATGCAACTGACTTACACAACAACATGTGCATGGCTGTTGTTGACAACAATACCGACAATATTTGCTTAGTACGGCTTGCCAGCCATCCCTTCTCTGACGTATTTCATGACTTGTTACTCGTTTCTTTTCTTTCAGAATCTTCTCCGAATTCTGTGAACAGTATTTGCTTTCGACACACGTGTGTTTAGTTTAACCGCAGCGCTGTGCAAGTGAGATATTTTAGCTTATCTCACAACTACCTTGACACAAGCGCCCATATCCCCCTCCGAGTGTGCAACAGCGCTATCTCGTGCTCTCCTATTTTCTTGTAGCTATATACTTTACTAATTTGAACACATACTTATCCTGCAATGAGACTAGCCACTTGCTATGCGACCAGCCTTTGGGTCATCCAAATATAGTTGATTATTATCTTTGTCCTTACTCGATTACTTACTCCAATGATAGTTGCCTGATGATTGCGTGAGCATGAAACTTAAAGTAGCAGCAAACAAGCCTTGATTGTCCTTGTTGTTCTGTTGTGTACTCCAATGATATAATGCATCTCCTCCCGACTTAGTACTTTTCTTGTCCGTCATATCCGGAGTTCCTCATCTCTCTGTTCTTAGCTCAATAATGCACCCGTGTAACTGTCATGTCCACCCAGCTGATCCTATTGATTGCGGTTCCGAAACTATTGCCGCCTCGCCGCCTATTTAATTATCATTTACTATTCCCTCGTTAGTAGATAATCTAACGAGACTTACCTTGCAACAGGTCTTGCAACTGAAGGTGAAAGAAGCGTTGATTCGTACTTATGATTCTGGGGTACCCTCAAAACAAACATAAATTATCAGCATTTCAATTCGTTATTACAACAAACTTTAATAGATAATTGAAAAATCCCCAACACGGCTGTGCTATGTCGGCTATTCCTCAGATGCAAAAGATCGTATATTTCTACACACACGCCATGTACCATGTATACGCCCGTCGCAAGAGAAGCACGCAAATCTGCAAATGCAATGGATGTGCACCCCCAGATTTTCTCTTATAGCAACTATTGCGAACAAGATCTGAATGAGACAGATCAAGACTTGCGCCAGATAACTGTCTAATCCACACAACTGGCGAACACACACACACACGTACACACTCAAAACGCGTTGTCGTTGCGTCTTTCTGCTTTATTATGTGTGCTTTGACCTTGGTCCTGCATGGACAGCATGATCTTATAGTTATACTGAGGGTTTGGCAATCCATGGACATGGGCCAGATGTCATTATAATTTTAAAAAATAATAAGTAATCCTCTGTAGTACATGTGCTATTTATAGGGATGCGGGCCGGGACTGGAGCCTGTGCCTGTGGAGGTCGAGTAGAGATCGAGGCTCGGGATGAGCGCGCACGGGAGTCGGTATTTGACGACTCCAGCTTCAGCGCTCATACATGCACCCGCGTACCCGTACCGTAGAACACAATGCACACGTCCAGGCCAGATAGATTTGGTCTACGTCCGGCCGGTCCATCCGGTGCTTTTTTACAATGCAGCGCAGCAGCATATGCGCTATGCACGTACATCAAGTACATGTACACGTGTGTGTGTGTGTCGGCGAAATTTTGCTCACTTCATTCTTTTCAATTATTCCATTTTAGATTGTATGCACATGTACGTATTGCTTTATTTGCTCATTGCATTATAGTTCTGAAATTGGGCGAATTGCTCCTTCGATAAATACATGCTAGTGCATACTATTGGTAGAGAGCTGTGTGTTGTTTGGTCGCGCTCCTGGTGGAGTTATTTGGCATGGAACAGTTAGTCTCGCTGTTGAAAAAGGTGAATTGAGGACATTCATCGCAATGGCAGGCTTTGCTTGCTGTCCAGTAGGCACCATCACTAATAAGTGTAACTTGGCTTCTCCTTTCGATCGGCATACCAACTGTCAAGCTAGCAAACAAACTGAAACTAAAGTGCTGCCTTGCAGTGAACATGTTCATGCTCGTGCCAGACCACCACCAGCTCCTGCAGAAGTACCGGTTTCACCTTTAGGCCCTTCACTTCATTCGAATAGCAGCTCCACTGTTAACCATTCTGGACTTAGCTCAGCGGACGCACAGTCGTTACGTCATGCTCGGCCGTGGCCAGCACACACTAATGGAGAGGGTCAGTGCAAGCTAGAAGAAGAGGAGGACGGTGATAGTGCAGATTGCTACGACGGCATACATATCCTAGAACATGCCGCTCAGTGCATGGCCGCGTTGCCTCGGATACCATCCATGGCTCTATTTCAAGTTGAAACGCCTGGGGATGCCAAGCCACTGGCATCAGCGCTATCACCCAATATGCAGTGTATGGCAGTGGGCTGTTCGGACTCTTCGATACGCGTTCAGCGTGTGACGCTGCCGCCCGATTTGCAGCAGGGTGAAGGTGCCAGTGGCACGTGTGATGCGCCGTTACCGCCATCGGCCGGTGATTGGCAAGGCACGGCGGCGGACTGTATTTCGCGATTGCGTGGCCACTCCGGCCCCGTCTCGGGACTGTGCTTCTGCCCGGATGACGAGCTACTGGCAACGTGCTCACACGATGGTACTGTGCGTCTCTGGGATTTGGCGAGTGGAGCGCTCAAGTCCACGTCGCCCTCCATGAATAGTCCCGTGTGGGACGTAACATGTCCGGATCAGGTCAACGCGCCCGCCGTGCTGCTCACCGCCTCGGCCAATAGCACTGCCCAGCTGTGGCAGATCAGCGAAGGCTCCACGGAGCTGCGGCAGATTCGGCTATACGCCGGGCATTCGGCCGACGTCAACCGTGCTAGGTTCCACCCATCGCTGACCTACGTGGCGACTGGCTCGGCGGACGGCATGGTCATGCTGCACGACACGCGCGGCAAGGCGTCGCGGACACTCCTGCCAGCGCCGCGCGCGTCAGTGGACTGCTTGGCGTTCTCGCCGTGCGGTTGCTATCTAGCGTCGGCCGGCGATCGTGAGCATGTGCTGAGCGTGTTTGAGGTCGGCTCCGGTCAGCTGGTGGTGTCGGTGGCACATGCACATCGCGGCAGACTATGGTCACTGTTGTTCTGCGACGATGGCAAGTACTTGCTGTCGACGGGCGCCGACAATGACGTTCGCCTGTGGGACTTCCCCCTGCTGCTCAACTCTACCCCGGACTCAGCACCACTGGCAAGCGTGCAACGGTCCGTGCTTACTGCACGAGCAACACCACCACCCGCAGTCGCACCACCTGCGCAGCCTCGGCTAGTGGGCGACGCGGCGACCGGGGGCATTTGGCGACAGTACCGCGCAAACGTGGCGGACTTTCGCCCGCGCCTCTCCGACGTCCACTGCCCGGACGGCGTGCGACTCTTAGGTGCTACGTTTTGGCGCACGGACACGATAGCAGTACATGGTGTATCCATAGGGACTAGCTAGAACTTTGGACAGCTCAGCAACTGAACTCTTTCCCGCTGGGCTTAATTATTTTAGAAATATAGGTGCTCGGTGTCTATCAGAGATATTTTTTTTATTCATCCGTTTTTATATTCTTAAAAAGGACGAGAGTCGAAACACCCTCTCATACGCAACCTTCTGGCTGTGCCAGTGTCTCTCCCCACTGCCCTTTACACGAGCAGTGATGGCTTTAAGTTATAGTAAAATTAGACCGTATCATTATCATCATCATCAATCATCAACCACGAACCATCAACCACCACAAGTCTTCGGTGTTGTGGTACCGGCCCGCTTCGGTCTCTTCTTCCTCTTCTTCTTCGGTCTGTCTCTCTGTGCTCTGCCTTCTGGTGATGTTATCTTTACTCTACTGGAAATGGAAGACCCTGTAATACATCATTCTTCTCCTCTGCTTGGCGGTATGGGTTTTGTTCACTGTGCTGGTGGCCGCAGTCCGTGCTCCATACACTAACATGGGCAAGCACTGAGCGGTGTAGGCCTGTGAACTTCTCTATGCGTGAGCGTTGCATGGTTTCGATGTAGTTTTCTCTCAGACCTTCGCGGCTGGTTGGTATGGCCTTTTTTTAGCTCTGGGACTCTCAGACTATGGAGATTCGCCTGGGTTCATGCATGTTTGCACATGTCAAGGGAGGGTGCATAGTGCAGACAGACGGCGGCCGGATATTGTCACGTACAAATGCCTGATGAAACGTATACAGTCAACTTCACTTATAACGACACTCGGCAGGCATCAGAAAAAGTGTCCTTATTCGCGAAGTGTCGTTATACCCGAAGTCTCATTATTACAGTGGGATGGGACTTTGCTCTGGGCATGGAAATTCTGTCGTTATTCGCAGATTGTCGTTATAAGCGAAGTTGACTGTACGTGTTCGTCCCGTTCTCAACAGGGCTATACGGCTGGGGTGCATGCGTTGTTGTTATTTAACTTCACCAGATTGACCAGAATAACAGGCGGGGGAATGCATTCTCACTAGACCAGGTCTAGTTCTCACAAATGATGAAGAATGCGTGAGTGTGGTCATACTGGAGGAATGGGTGTCTCTGACTTCTTCCAATAAATGCCATTCTAGTCTTATCAAATGGAACACTTTTTTATTTGTTTTTGTTTTGGACATAAATCACATAATATATGGGAGGTTATAATCATACTCTTGATTGTACAGTAAACCTGCCCAGATCCGGGCTGCAGGTTGGGACCGAGCACTGCCCGTAACTCAGAACTAACTTACCTCGTACGTATACTTACTGCATGCTAGAAAATATTTTTTGATATGACTGCTGGGGCTGTTTTTCATCGAAAAGCCATTTTCTGTGACTCTAGACTAGATGGGTCAGAAAGGTGCACGCCAGGCAGACGGACGTGACCAGATTAGGGACGTCCTGGTCAGGGCAGTTGTATTGAAGTTATTGTGTTTTAATACTGTCTACGGACACTATAGGCATAATACGTCCTACTGAGGACCTACTTTGTAGTCTTGTAGATGTGCATTGTGGCTATCCGATGATTATAACACTTTCTCAGTACAGTCGGCCATCTTTAATCCAGCACTTTATTAACCAGCACCCTCTAAAAGCCAGCATAATTTTCAGCAACCAAAATTTGAAAATGACCTTTTCATGCATATTGCAGCAGAAATCAGATTTGTCAATCCAGCACGCTCCGTAATCCAGCAGAATTTCCGAAGCACAAATGGTGGCGGATTATAAAGGGATCCCTGTACACCGCTATTCAATGTACACTGTACATGTAATCAAGAGAATCGACGGAATCGCTGTTCGTTTCTGTTTCATAGTTGGGTTATTTTTTCACTATACTTTTTCTTCTTTTCAGTGAGGTTGCATAAGCATACTGAGAGCGAACATACAGAATGTCAATTTGTACACAGCACGCAGGGAATTAGACAGCGTCGCAGCAAGCAGTAAGACAACGCAGAGAACACGTCGTTTGTCAGGATGTCAAAAGCATCATCGTTTCAATTGGCGAAGGGAGGCGGGAACAACAGGGCATCAAGGCAGCAGGAGCAACGCAGGCTAGAAAAGGAATATGCGAGACAGCGGGACGACCGGAAAGAGTCTGGAAGAGAGAGAAAGCAGGATAGGTCTACTGGCGATGCACAATGACACTACAGAACAGAACGCTGGTAAGATGTAGTAGTAGCGCATGTAGATACATCGAACTGTCATGCATCGTCGTATAGAACAGCAGAATGACCAGTCCACAGCCCATCGAGCCACAGACCCGTGGGTCAGCGATCAGAGGAGAAAGAGAATGGTACGATACAGCACATGGTTAGCAACAGCAGGAGCTCAGCAAGGATTCTTGTCAAATCAAAAAGAGGAGAAATACAGGAGGATCGAAATAATGACTCGACAGCAGGTCACACAAACCTCTGGACGCAGCATGGAAACATTCGGACAATGGCCAACTTCACAAACGCAGACAGGCTAATGTACACTCATACACATACACACACACGCACACACCTGGAATAAGGAATATTATAATGTCACGCACACACACATACACATACACACACACCCACACCCACACACATGCACGCACACACACACACACGCAAAGCGCTGGTAACGTACGTACAAAAGAGCAGCAACCAAGCTACGAGCACACAGGCTTGCCAACATCTACGGCGGTGTGACATGTTCTAATTTGTCGACTGCATGGAACAAACTTTGGAAAAGGACCAGTTGTTGCTGCGTTGCAAAGTCACTACTGAGTGGACCTTCAGATCGAAAGCTTGCCTCCATTGACTCTAAATCTACAAAGGCAGTACACAGAACAAAGCAAAAGAGCAAACAAATATAATTATTTAATGGCATCTGGCACAACACCTACATTGCAGTAGTTCGTGCTGTGGGCTCAGTGACTCACTCGTAGTATCATACAAGAGAGGTACGCAGAAGACAGCAACGATATCGTCAGCACAATACACGGGGGAAAGTCAGAAGTGCTCAATCTGCGCCATAGACTTCTCCAAGTTGCACCAAGTATTGTCGCCTCTCCCCAAGATGAAGCTGTGGTGTGTTTACAAAAGAGTTTTGTGCTGGGACGAGTCGACTTTCAGCCGTCACAAGTCCACAAGTTTTAACAGCGTTCTGCGATGAAGGAGAGTAAAATGGTTGTCATAGACTGCAGAAATCCACTAAGTCGAGTCAAAGATATGCCCAGGGCGAGGGACAAAAATACGGGGTGTCAACTGGTAGTAGGGTACCCGTGCTACACGTCATTAGATGGGGTAGCAAGGTAGCAATTTGCTCCTGCCAACCCGATCTGGTAGTTGGAGTATGGTGTTTTTGCAACGGTGCACGCAAAAAGCACAGCAATGTGCTTACTGTACACTTTCTACGAAGCGCAAGTGCACACTCACTGTACAAACTATGAAAAATACCCGATAGGGTGCCCGTGCAACCAGGACAGAAATACCTGAACTCGTTACCCGACCAAACCCCTACCTGTTGCAGCCCTACAAAAAAAGATACTGCAAATACACGTTAACATGTGTTTGACAGGTGGTTAGTAATCAACACTTACCGAAAACCAGCTCCTCGAGAAGATTGAGGCGCCGTCCAACCGACGAATGTATTTCGCGAACACGGGATAGCATCTCAGTCTGTGCAGCCTGGACGCGCAGGTTCCGCTCTGCTTCAGACTCCACGGCAGATGAGCGCCTGTTGCCTTTACCAGAGTCCGCTGTTAGACCGGCGGACTTCTGCTTGACAGAGCCAGGACGTGCAAATGGTGCCGACGAGAGAGACTTAGTGGCGGACGACAACGTTTGGCAAGTGTCGGCTAGATGCATATCATCAACAGGTCTGGACATGGGCGAGGCACTAGTAGACCTGGGTAGGAGTGCACCGTTGAAGAACATCTGCTCAGCAGCTGCTTTGCTCAGCGTTGGCGTATGCACAGACATGGGAGATCCGGCCGTGGCTGCAGGATACTGGCCTGAAGCGAAGATAGCAGCAGCAGCAGGGTGCTGTTTGTGCTTGCGGCTCAGTGATGGAGAGGACGGCACAGATCTCGATGAGAGCAGAGTTGCGGGTCGTGCGCCAAACTCAGAATGCGGTGAGACATTGAAGGTGGCCGGTAGAGGCGACTCACAACTCCTTGCGGTTGTTGGCGAAGGCATTACAGACGACGAGGCGGTGGACTGTGGAGATATTACAGTACTGGATCCGGACACTAATGATGGTGACAATGGCTTAGTTGTCGTCACGGGTGCCGTGGTGGAAGGTAAGTGTGACAAGCCAGGACCGTCCACAAGCTGCTGTATACTTGGTACGACCGAGCCACCGCCACCCGCCACAGGTGAACCATGACTGTGGGAACGATAGCGCATTGCCGCACCGCCGAGTGGCATGGAATTGCGTGCAGACGCCATGCCAGTCATCGGCCTGGCACCGTCAGAGGCACTTCTATGCAGCGATGGTGGTAGCGCGGCATGCAGTGGCGCAACGGCAGCCATGCTGTTGACGTCTGTATCTGGCGAAATGCCGGGTGAGCGCAGATGATTAGCAAACGACAAGCCACTTGCCGCCATTGCCCTTGCTTCTCGACTGGGTGTATGCGCCGGGTGCTTCAACTTGGTGCCTCCAATCTGCTCCGTATTAATGCTGATCGGTGACACTAGACTCGCATCAGTCTTGGGCATCGGCGGGAGAAGGCGGTTGATAGCAGAGCAGTTGAACGGCTTCTCGGGGTGCCTACATAACATGAGAAAGGAGCAGACAGACAGACCAATTGGGATCAGCTTTGACAGATAATAGGTGGCCACCAGACAGGGAAATTGTGCATTGAATCAAGAGTACATAACCCCAAAGAGTGTGCAAATGCCTGCACAACCTCCATGCTGTGCTGCGACGGCAGAACTTCACATCACGTGACATGGTTCAAAAGGTTATGCTGGCAAACAGTGCAAAGTGACCACAAGAGAGTTGTACCCAAAGCTGGGCTGTGTACAACCCTGTATCTATAATGCACAGAGTGCAAATAATGTGTAAGGGTTCATCACGTGATGTGAGGTTCTGCCGTCGCAGACCCCATAGCTGGAGTTGCACACTCTTGGGGGTTATGTACTCTTGATTGAATGTCCGTCTAAAACAGTATTGCCATGCCATTTTAGCCAAATATCAGTACGACTTGACCAGGCTTGAAAGCGAGAAATCGTCCTACCGTACTCCTGTGCGTATCTCGTGCCAGGTTTGAACAGCACTGTACAGGCAAATTTCGCGCGAAAGCATTCACGTGACCATACAGGACTCTAGAAATAGACTTTCGGCTGCAAATCAGTAATTGACCCGGGTCAACAGTCTTCATGTGAAACAAAAAAACAAAAAATTCATGGTTCGCGTGAGACTCGGCTGGAGACCGAGTTTTCCGCATCCGTACGAACGCCACCACCCTTCAAGGATCAAGGCGCATTGTAAACACCCACCTATTGTTTTCCATTGTACAGACTTTCAACCCGGGTTGAAAATTCTCACGTAAACACAGCCCTGTTATAGGGTTTCCCCGAAACACATTGGATACTGGAACCGTAAAAGTACCGTTGATTGCCCCCCTCTCTAATTGGCAAGTTAATGGCAAAGCAGCCCGGTCACATGTTACCACTTGGTAGCTGTACAATGCACAAGCAACTGGACATGACTGGATTGGAGTCTTGCACACATGTACCAGCAGGCGAGCCAGGCAGCTTCATACAGTACACCCGCATACTGCAATACATGGCATACAGGCAGTTGCATTGTTACAGCAAAGAGCACGCAGCTTCATACCACACACCTGCGTACTGTGATACATGGCATACAGGCAGTATATGTAGCAACGACGAAAAGCTAGTAGTACATTGCATGCATTCTCTTACTTGATAACATCGAGCTGCTTCTTCGTCGCCGACAAGACCTCTCCCACAGAGAGAATGTCCTGGCTGGCCGCATGCTGCAGGTCGACAAACTTTGCGGCCAGCAAGCATTCTCGCTCGCTGGAGAGAATCCGTTTCGTTCGTGGCGGTGCTGCCGGTGGTGACGATAACACTCTCGGCGCAGCAGTGGCGACAGGAGCAGAACCTGTGAACGGCTTCACATCTGCCGGCAATGCTGTCTCAAGTTGCGATAGCAGAGGTGCAGGGTTTCGGCACAGCGATTGTGAACAGAACCAGTCAGCTGGGAGCTACAAAGCAAGAAATCATGTCAAAAGCAAGCACACCACACCAATGTTGGCCATATGCAAACATAGTGTTCCCCAAAGGCCAAAAATCGCATTCCACAGGACAGCAAGCAAACACGGTTACAGACTTAGAGCTTTTGATATCCAACAGGAAGTAATGAGGTAGATCAGGAATTTAGATGTACACAGAGCAGGAGTGAGAGCAGCACATTCTGGGCGGAAGTTGTTATTAGTAGCAAGACTCGACCTATACTGATAATGAAGGTCTGAGCGCCTATACAACAGTGATCTACGTTCAGCAAGAGGACAAGGAAATAATTACCTTGTCGCGAGCACCTCTCCGTTTGCCTACGGGAAACAGCAAAACAACACAGTAGAGCCTGGTCAATTACAACATGGATGATAACCTCCTATTGGCTGCTATGGATGATAACCTCCTATTGGCCACTGGCTATCACGAGAATAAAGACTAGACACTTGCAAGGAAAACCAAAGCAGAAGCAAAGCAAACATACAGACAAAAGAATAGCCAGCGAAAGAACTCACCAGATGGGTGCGTACATGCCCGGCACTGATATCTCAACCAGGACTGCTGCATCGTAGCAACTGGGAGACAGATCAGATGTTGGTACGTCCTGCAACCCGTACACTGTGCAACAACACAAGAAGCACCAACCACACAGGATAGTCAAAAGAACGTAGCAAAAACCACCAGCACCAGCAGCAGCACCAACCGCAGCAGCACCACCACCACCACCAGCAGCAGCAGCTGAAATAGTACAACAGAAGACAACAGCAGCACAAGTTATCTGCACAGAATGACGACAGCTACAGAAGTAGTGCAGCCAACCAAAATGGGAAGCGGCACATTTGATCATGCACACACCACACATATGCACACGCACACACACACACGCACGCACACACACCAGGAGGCACTAACCCGAACAAGAGTGCCTCGGAACGACAGGTCTCGACACGGGCAGCAGATCACGGCGTCCGCCGGCACCTCAACACACCCCACGTCCGTCTTCACCTGCCAGGACAGCGGGAGATATAGAACACAGTTAGCACAAGGCAGTCAATAGCCAAACACACACACACACAGACCAGTAACAATCACCAGACATGACCTGCACCAACCCTCTATAGACCATGTTATGTTGTTACGAAGTGCAGCAATTAACAAACACAGTTCACGTTTCACAGCAGTGAACAGCTAACTATTGCTGGATACACACAAAAAAAGGGAGATAAAACGGACAAGCACCAATGCCATGCATGAACAGCCAGGCACCGCCAAGACTAAACAAATCCAGCACGTGCGTGTGTGTAAGCGCAGTGGGGTCTAACCATGACAGGTGTCTGCAAGAGCAGCTTAGCTGCTACTGCAACTGCAGGCGATTTCCAAGACCCAAACACAACAGAGAAACACAGCAAGAAGCCAAACTTGTGAAGTCTACCGCGTCGGTCACCAACCCACCTTGGGAGAATCCGCCTCCGGACTCAATTCAACAAAGACGGAATCAGACGAGAAACTCAGGCTGCGCCTGCTGGACTTGGGAACTCGCACTGGCGCACTGTCCCTACTTGACTTTGACTTCTCGCTACCAGTGTTGCTGGCCAAGCTGCCCCCCTTGCCAAGTGCCATGGGAAGACGCGGAGTGCTCTCCGTGGATAGCGATGATGACGGCGGACGGCCACGTTTGGCCGGGACCCCGTCGGTGCCACTCGACTTCCGTTTGCCTCGGCTGCTGGGCAGGAGCGACTGCGTGGAGGCAGAGGCCACAGCAGCAGCAGAGTCGCCCGCAGGACTACTTAGCGAAGTGGTGAACGTAGGTATGTCCGGTGTCATCGGCGAGCTCAAAGAGTCAAAGTTGAGTGACGCCGGCGCAGAGGACTGGCGCTGCGTTACCACATCTGAAAAATGCAAGGACACACAGACAGACACACACGTACACATAGACACATACACGCATCACAGGAGAATGTACACTACTTAGAGAACTTTTCGCAGAGCAAAGATGAGTGGCAACGGAAGTGTCCAGAAGAACCCTGCCCCACACTACAACCACCAGAAAAACATGAGAAAAATCTACCAGAGTACAGACAGAACAAATAGCAATCCAAATTAAAATCTACCACAGAGTGCAGAAAAGGAACAAACCGCAATCCAAATAACGGAGAAACCAGAACATGCCCACGCAGTGCACGCATGCACACACGCATGCACACACGACAACACTTGTCCTTGCTCACTGCCAAAATTAGTTTCGTGGGTCTCCCCGGGAGAGGGGAGAGAGACTCAAACACACATACACACGGACCATAACCAGCTCAGTAGCATAGGAAACAATCAAGGCACAAAATGCCTACCAGGTGCATCCTTTCTCTTGCTGTGAGGAGCAGAAGCAGTGGTTGCGGACGTAGAGCGCTGGCGCGTGACACTGGGCTGCGGTACATCTGCTGTGCTGCTGGACATCGCTGTTGCGGACACAGACTTACTTGATGTATTGCGCTTCTTTTGTGCTAACTTCAGCATTCGATCAGCATCTGTAAGCAAAGCACACACATATAGCAGACTTCTGTGATGCCAAGGTACAACGCTTTTTGGTAGACAGCGCTTACAATTCACGCCAATGCCGGCGTATCCTACAGGAGATTCACTCTCTTCAACCAAATCTATCTCCAGTGATGAGGCTTCAAGGGACTAAATAGCCATCTCGAGTTGAGGTCTGCCGGCACCACTATCCCAAACAGAAATTTCCTCTTTATGGCGGTTGTCATGTCTTCCATGGTAACTAGGAGCGATAGGAGCAACACCACACGAGCAGAACCCCAGAGTAGTCAGAAACATAGCCTTTACCAGCAGTAAAACAAACATGAGCATCAGCGCAGTTGTAAAACAACAAGAACTCAGCATGTTACTAAGAGTCCACAATCCCCCCAGAGTGCACAACTGGGATGGGGTTGTGGACGGCGTAATTCGTGATGTACGTCGTTTTTTGGGTCGGACTCGCGCCACTCTGTCGACGCGGTCCACCACGGATTTCGCCGTCCCAGATCTGATCAGTGAAGGTGCACACTCTGGGGGATTACGGACGCTTGATGTTACATATCGCAGCATATGATAAGACTGACCATTGCCAGTTACAGCCGGTAGTGACGGCCGCTTGTCGCTTTCTTTCTTAGCCTGCTGCAAGTCTCTTTGGTTATCAGGATGGTAGTGCTAAGCAACAGGGAAAGATAGCAGCAGCAGCAGCAGCAGCAGCAGCAGCAGCAGCATACACACACACACACACACACACACACACACACACACACCAAAGACACTCACACGCACAGCAACAAGGAACACACAAGCATCAATACCTAGCTAGACACATTCAAAATCACAGCCGACAGACGAGCACCATCAGCGTACAGGCGACAGGTTTTAAAAGCGTCTCCAGTTCCCTATCCAATCAGGTGTTGTCTGAATGTACACGCACACAATCAAGGACAAAATGTCCAGAAACAAGTTTCCGAATGGAGCATACCGGTACCCTGATTTCAGAAAGTTTAGGTGCTCATTATTTTCGGTACGAGGGCAAAAGGCAAGTTAGGTGAACAGAAATTTTAGGTACAGGGAAGCAGTTCCCTATTGGATTACGTGTGTCAGTGTTTGTTCGGTGTGTTGAAAATTTAGGTATGAAACAGATGCACCGAAAAGTACTGAAAATAAAAGTGCAAAACAATTGTGACATCACAGTACCTTGTAGTGGGACTCCAGTAAAGGCCACTTTCGGAAGGTCTTTTCGCACACTTTGCATTTGTACGGATTGTGATCTTGAACTGCAATCACCTCTTTCGGCGCAATCCTAGCCGGTGGAGGAGCAAGGACTGCAGCAAAGCACAGAGATATGTTCCAAATAAAAATTAGACACAAAATCATGATACAGCAGGAAAAGGGAAATACCCATCCGTCACCTGCAAAAAGCAGTGCTTGCGGTCACGTAAGCTAATTTCAGACTTTCACATTATTACTAATTTTGACACAGTCTATGTCATGCCTGTTAGATATCTTCACATTTGCACCTTTTTGTCATTACTTCTAAATGTACGGGGGGGGGGGGGGGAGAGGTTTTAGTGTGGAGCTCGTGTGCGCTCGAAGGCACAGATTGTCTGCAGAACGTGCAATATGTGTACAAGTTCGTGCCGTATGACCTACAGACAGGAGACCCACTCCACAATACGACGTTCTGGTGGTACTTTACGGTAATAGCACGTTTGTCTCCGAGGAAACTTTATACCACAAAGGTGATAATTATGGATTCTCCTCTGGGTCCAGATAGAATTGGGCACACGATCTTAACGTCTGCACCTGCAATTACAGAGTGGGTGACTTTGTGAGTGTGTGCCCATGCAAAAAAAAACATCGAGCACATGCAGAAACATCATCAGGACCAAGTCACCAACTAGAAACGATAATAAAAGCAATGCCCGACAAGCTGAGAGCAAATGCCAATGCTCACACACTGATAGCGCAGCCATCATGCACGGCCTATCACCCTGATTAGCTTACCTCCGTCCAGTTTCTTCCGCTTGGATCTGCCCGAGTTGGATGTCTCGGAGTCTGTGCGGTGCCGTACAGGCACAGGTGGTTGAGCGTCCGGGGCAGGCGCCTCTTCGTGCCTTCTCGCACACTCCATAGCCATGGACACATCTTCCGTGGCAGGGGAAGACTGCACGAAAGACGCAGTGCTGACCGTTACCGGGCAGACTGCAACCGCGGAAGCAACGATTGGCGAGTCGTTGGGTGTAACAACAGACGTGGGCGCAGTGCACGTGGGGGATGCCATACTTGTATCCATTGGACACACGAGCGGTTCACATGCAACAACGCCGTCGGATGTTGGCGACGGGCAATTGGCTACAGACGCACAGTTGACACCAACAGCAGCACCGATATCAACACCAGTACCGACAAGACCGCACGACGTAGAGTGTGTTGTCGTCGCTGGGGCACACCCGACCAGCGGCGATATGGTGGCGGCGGGGTGCGAGGAAGGAGCAGCGTGATGGTGCGGTGAGTGGTTGGGCGACAGGGGCGTGAACTCAGGCAGTCTTGGCGGCGTGACGACTGTCATATCAGGGGAGAACTCGCTCCTCACGGCTGGGCTGGCACCGCGACACATGTCAGATGAGGCCGTCGGCGCTGCTGCTGCTGTTGTTGCAGCAGAGCGATCACCTGTGGACAACGAGGAGTCGAGATGAAATCCGTTCTGAGTACCACTGGAACTGTGCTGCCTTGTCAACGATGACAAACTAGCGACAGTCGTAGTACCCGCCGTTTGCTGTGCCACAGCTGGAGATGCTGTTGAAAATACTGCTGTTGATGCTGGCGGCCGCTCGAGAATGGACGCTGAGCTCAAAATAATTGAACCAAACGTTTTGCCGTTGGCTTCAACTGTTGTGTGCGGCGGTACAGCAAAGCCAGTGCCAGGGGAAGTGCTCGTAACTATTGCGTGACTGGTTGAACCGTTCCCGTTAACGTGCCTTGGACGGTCACTGCCTCCGTTGCCACTATGCTTGCTGCTGCTGTTGTTGCCAAGAGGTTCAGGGTCCTGAGCAGCCAGCAAAGGCGGCGATGACATTACACACTCGCTGAGGATAGTCGAGCACAATGGCAAGTCTGCCGGCAATTGCTGCTCCGCCACAAACGACACCCTCGTCGACAACTTGAGAGACTGGTGAGAGACAGAAATCTGAGAAAGACCGTTGGTAGGAGTGTGCTCGCCCTGGGTGTAACAGACAAACAGGAGTGCACATCAGTATACATGTGCAGAGATTGGGATGCGCCCAGAAGAAAGGGGTGCGCTTGGACAAGCAGGAATAGATTCCTGGTTGGAGGAAAGGAAATCAGCACACGAAGCACAGAAGCCATATAGTTTAGACTAGGCCTTTCGTACCATTACTTTTCAAGTCGAATGCAATGGTGATTAACAAGGTAGCAAGCATGTCCTTATAACCGCTCTTTGGCTGTAAGAGCATTGACAAAATAGCACTTTAAAAGATAATGCTAGTGGCGCCAACTACATATTTGGCAGTCAGAGCATTGACCAAATAGCACTTTAAAAGATTAAAGATAGCGCTAGTGGCACCACCTACATAGGGAAACAATAGAGAGGTTCCAGAGTACGATTTTTCGTGCCAAAATCCGCAGAGGCGCTACGGATTTTTTATACGTCGTTTTCGAGCAGTGAAATGTTCCGGAGTACGGAACTTATGTGTTTGCCGTCATTGCCTAGGTTACGATCGCAAACACGTCACATTCCCGCGCTATGCGTTTTTATTTTGAAAATTTGTACCGAAATCAAAACTTCCCGCGGAAAATCGATGTTTCTCGTACCAAATTTGTACGCGAACGCAAAATCTCCATACGAAACATGGTTCGCATGAAAGCCAGTCCACACGGATTCTCCATGCCGAAAAATCGTATGGAGCACGCCTGGAAAAATCCGTAGCGCCCATATGAATTTTGGCACGGAAAACCGTACTCCGGAACCTCTCTAATGAACACTACTCGACACAATGTTTTTATTACAATCAGCAAAATGGGAGAACAACAATGGACAAAGAACTCAACGAATAATAAATTGAATATTACTAGTATCAAGCAACAGTGGGGACCACGGTACTACAATGTCAAAACAGTGACAACTTTCACACATACATGAACTTCTTTTTGCACACACAGTTCAGACTTCAGCTTGGCAATGTACACAGCCTCCAGCACACCAAGGTGAGATTTGTTTCACGCACACGCTTGAATGGTGAAGTGAGAATGAGTGCCATGTTAAAGACTTCACTTACTAGTTATACTCATGGTTTCACTATGTAGTTGGAGCCACGAGCGCTATCTTTTAAAGTGCTAATTGGTAAATGCTCTGACCGCCAAATATGTAGTTACTAGCGCTATCTTTAAAAGTGCTATTTTGTCAATGCCCTGACCGCCAACTTCCCAAAGTGCCGGTTTAATGATAGCTTACGTTGCCAGCAGGCGACACTGGGTAAGAATTTGCAGGGGTAGTTGCTGCAGATGACACGGCCGACGAGTTGCGCGATCGCCGGCGCGAATTCACCAGCTGCTTTGCGCAGCCAGCGGTCGGTGTGTTGGCTGTATCACCTGAAGACCGTCCGCTGGACCCGGAGCGGGAGTGAGCACGGCTTCGCTGCTGTTGCTGCAACGGCAAAGTACAACAAGACACACAGGAACAGTCCAGCTTGAGACCAGGGGAGGGTGCAAAACAAAGAAGGTCAAACAAACTACAGTACCGTCGTCGGGTAGCGCCGAAGAACGACCAGGCTAGAATTGTTACCAAGTACAGCATACCAATGTATACACGGTGATTCAACTGTGCATAGACTGTAATACATGACAATAAGAACGGTCTAGGCTAGGAGGCTGACCCCCCAGTTCATCGGCGACCGACAGTACTGTAATCGAACTGACAATGATCACACAGGCACACTAGAACCCACCAACAAGACATAGTGCACACAACACTTGCAAGTGCATAAGATGCACAGTTCTACACACTATCAAGGCACAGCATTGTGACTGATATACACAGTTTTACAAACCAAAAAAAATGAAAGCGACAAAGAAGATTCAGCCAGTCATTAACAAGGCAATGCCTACAGCATACATACATACGCACATACATACATACGCACACACACACAAGTACACACACACACGCACACTACCAAGTTAAAAAAATAACAATACTTACTGTTGGATCAGCAGGGCGAATGTGATTCGGGGACAGCGTGCGTGAATAGCCGTCGTAGAATTCCACACGATACGACTCTAGATAGTAAGCGTGACAAACAATAAAAAAATAAACAATTCGACCACCGTCTTTCTTGTTTGCTGCACGCCGCCTCAAAAATAGCAGCCAAAGGAACTCTGACTAAATAATGTACACTTTGTGTGTGTGTGTGTGTGTGTGTGTGTGTGTGTGTGTGTGTGTGTGTGTGTGTGTGTGTGTGTGCGTGCGGCACTCGCGTACGCGTGCAGAGAGAGAGAGAGAGAGAGAGAGAGAGAGAGAGAGAGAGAGAGAGAGAGAGAGAGAGAGAGAGAGAGAGAGAGAGAGAGAGAGAGAGAGAGAGAGAGAGAGAGCAGAAGAGAGATCCACCCTCCACACACAGCAAGGATCACATCTATGGATATAACCAATATTTGTGCTATAGGCTCCAGCCAGTGCCAATGGTATAAGAACCATCCAACAAGCAGAAAACACGGTAACGCATGCCGTGCTATGCCAACATTACTGTGATAATATAGTAACACATACCGTTACAGTACAGAGAGACCTATGTAAACCGACCGCTCAAGGGACCTTACAAATGTGGTCCCCGTGTACAGGTGGTCTTCTTATCTAGGGTCATTTGACTGGAAATGACACCAGTTGGCTCTAGCTAGAGTACATAACCCCCAAGAGTGTGCAACTGCCTGCACAACCTATACAGTGCGGCGATGGCAGAACTTCTGATCAGGTGACATGGTTCAAACGTTTATGCCGGTAAACAGTGGGAAACGACCAGCAGAGTGTTGAACCCAAAGCAGGGTCAATCAAGCACAGGGTGCAAATAATGTGCACGGGCTTGTCACGTGATGTGAAGTTCTGCCATCACAGACACCATAACTGGAGTTACCCCGAGTCGCACACTCTGGGTTTCTAGCAAGAGTACATAATCCCCAAAAGTGTGCAACTCCCACATACCCTGCTGTCCCCACAGAATTTCAACTTGACGTCATTTTTTTTTTACGATGCAATGGTCTTCGCACGAGTGATTTACGATGTTTGTGCGGGGTGTAAACGCATCACATGTGTTTCCTTGTCACAAGATCAAGCCGGACTTGTCCACCACAGGTCCAGGATACATCTCAATATGTGTGTACAATGCGCATTGCATCATCAAAATAACGTCAACTTGAAATTCTGTCGGGACAGCACCCATAGTGGAGTTGCACACTCTGGGGGGGGGGGGGGGGGGGTATATACTCTTGTTTCTAGTTGTAGTGGTCCTCTACATTGTAGGACAGGTGGTCGCCTTTACAGGTTTTCAAAATGTACTCACCCTCTGATATCTCCGTGATACGCGCTGGATAAAACTTCCCATCTGTCCACCGAGCCAATACTGACTCTCCGACTCGAAGATGCTGAAGCTACAGGAATACACAAATGAGAAAAACACAAGCTAGTGACGTCGCAAAAGCAAGACTACAAGTACCGCATTTCCCTGCTTATTACATGTAGTCACACTCGATTCTAAGTCGCAACTGCCGTCTTTTGCTGGTAAGTAGGGACAAGCAATAATTTCACGCTTGCATGGGCTATCAGTACCGGTCAGAGTAACAGAAGTGGTTGATGTACATGCATACTGTACACTGTATATAGGATACTTAGAGTTTGCGAAACGAGTACTCGCTAGTTTCGCTCCAGTATTCGATATACTGTATTTCCCCGATTATAAGCCGAACTCGGTTATAAGTCGCACCCCCATTTTCAGGTTTGAACAATATTGATTTCATATACATGTATTGACTTCAGTAGTACGTCATGCTCGATTGTAATCCGCATCCCCTGTTTTCCCCTTGAATTTTAGTGTAAAAAGGTGCTACTTATATTTGGGGAAATACGGTACTGTACTCGTTTCACCCCTAAAAACGGTACATGTACAAGCAAACACACAAGTCTCTGGGAACAGGCCATTGACACTAGTGTACTCAGTAGACAGTACACCAATGCAAAGCCCAGGCAATGGAACTGGCTAGATCCCACTGCAATATCCAGGTCACTGTGACAAGTCACCAGATAGCTAGCTCACACCACTGTGCAGAATTCTTTTAAATTATAATTATACAAGCGTTATGATTATGCCCAGACGGATGTCCTATCCAGGCCATCTCCAGGACTGAACTACTAAGTACTGACATTGTATAATGGACAACGCTACACATGTGCTAGGACAGAAACGATACCAGACGCCCATTACACTGAATCTTCACACATACTTGTGACATAGGACGCGCACCTGAACTAAAAACCAATTAATTATTTCAACAGTAAAATTAATATTCTCAAGTGCTAGCAGCTCCCACACGAAAAACGATGATGCACGAAGCTTTATCACACACGCACACATACACCACACACACACACACACACACCTACGAACTGCTTCCTTGTGGGAAAGATTTCAAACATTCTGTACAACGACAGGTGATGAGCAAACGTTTGCAGTCACGACGTGTCTTTTGCCCAGACACTCAATCAGCAGCGAGGTACGTAACACGCTTACGCTCAGGACAATACTCCCCGCTCTTGGGAACACTAAATTTACTGACAGAAACTACAACGCAACTAAAACACGTCGTGCACTCGTTCTTGGACGGATTTCTTTGCCTTTTCAAAAAAGGGACGCTTACCGCTTCAAACGAAGCAGAGACAAGCGAGGACGACGACGCCAGCAAGAGAGCATTTGGTGGCCAGCTGGCATAACACTACACGCGTCCAGCTACGGAGGCATTCAAGGACAGGAAGGAGAAGGACAGGTGCTTCTCCTCGCCGCGTAGGCACCGAGTCCTTGGTGCTCCGAAGAAAATTCACAGAGTTGCGTGGACAGCACAGTCAGTGGCAAACGAACACGGAGTCCACGTAGACGGTGTTGTACCATTCTTCAAGTCAAGAAGAAGTGCTGTGGATCATGGTCATTCAAGGCGCAAAACAGGCAAGTACAAGTGCCAAGCGAACGTGCACTTGCACTCTTGGCTTGCACTGCAGGCTTGCAAAAAGAGCAGCTACATCATTCAGTAGCCCAATGACGTTGGCATGGCGTGAGGATGCGAAAAAAGAGCATGTGGCCACGCGCAAAAAATGGGAAGCAAAAACGCAACCCACATCATCACCCCCATTGTCACGCACACCGTTACATGCCACAATCACGACGACCATACTCCACAGTTTGGCATTGAGAAAAACGTACAAGACACCACAGCCAGACAACACCACCAGTGCACTACAAGTGAAGCAGGAGATAAGATAGCCATAAATGCAATGGTGGCCAGCAGGTACAACATTCAACAACAAGCACCAAAGCTAAAAGGAACAAACACATAGACCCCCCCCCAAATAAACACAAATGAACAAATGCCGCGAACAGAAACGCCACAACTACTTGCACTCAGACAACACATACACCTGATGAACAATTAATTCAATAATGATATGTTTAGGGAAATCTAACAGCTCACGTATTAGATCAAGAGTACTTTAAAACACAGTAACAGCCAAGTTCAACTCTAGTCTATGGAGCTTGCGACGGAAGAACACGTGACACGGTGACAAAACCATACACATTGTTCACACCCTGCGCATGATAGATAGCAGGATTGTATATGTAGTACAGTGCTGCTCAATGAAATCCTGCGAGTCACTCAAGTACGCGCCGTGCCGGGCGTTGCGCAGCCCTAGACCCGCGAATACTGGGCCGCGAAATAGTGCGAGGCGCAAACTTGGCTCACGCGACCGGACTTCATTGAGCAGCACCGTACTTGTACCAAGAGTACATAACATCCAAGGATGTGCAACTCCCGCATACAGTGAGTGGTGTCCCGACAGAATTTCAAGTTGCCATCATTTAAAAAAAAATGCAACACTCCTCGTGTGTGTGATTTACGACGTTTGTACGAGGTATCAACGCATCACACATGTTTCCTTGCACTACGTTGTACAAGATCAAATGGGGATTTGTCCACAGCAGGACCAGGGATAAGTATGCTAATACGTGTACCATGCACATTGCATCATAACAATGCTGTCAACTTGAAATGCTGTCGAGACAGCACCCATAGTGGAATGCACATTCTGGGGGGGGGGGGGGGGGGGGTATGTAGTCGTGGCCATAGAAATCCGTTGAGAAGTCTAGCGGGCATGGGGCGCTGGCCTTACAGCTACGCGCACTGCTGGTCCATTTTACAGTGCACGTACGCGCTAAAAGCAGTAAGGGCGCCAGCCCCGGACATCCCATCGGACTTCAGTGTCCACGACAGCACTCTTGGTTGCACGCAATCCTGCTTTGGGTTCAATTCTCTGGCGGCCACTCAGCACTGTATCCCAGTGTAACCTATAAACCAAGTCACGTGGTGTGAAGTAGAGGCTGTCCTGCAGGGTTGTGTACTCCCGATTACACACACAGCACACATCATACACAACCCAGCGTGTACTTGCACTGCTCGAGTGCTGGCTCTTCTACAATTCACACAATACTAATCCACATCCCAAACAAAGACGAGGTGGCAACAAAACAAAACACAACAGCATAGATTTTCACACCACAGCACTCACCGCCGTCTTGTCTCGGCCTCGCCGTATCGGCATGCGCAGCTTCGGAGAGGCCATTTCGATCCACTCATCGTAGCGTGCACTGAAGCCGTCAAAGTGAATCAGAACGCAGCTATCCTCCTCATCTACTTGCAGGATACGAGCTGGGTACCTGGAGCATAGGTGAGAAAACACGAGCAGACGAGCAAAAGACTAGAGTGAACTCATCCAGGGGACCAGTCTGATAAGGAACTCATCCAGGGGACCAGTCTGATAAGGAAACGATCGACCATAGTGGATCGTCCGAGCCAAGACTAATGAGTACCACTTCCACTAATAGTACAGGACAGGCGGAAGCAGTTTTTGATTGGTCCGGCCATACCCTAGCCTTTCCTACAGTTTGTGTATGATAAAGAGGGTATACATGACCTCAGCAGTAAACGCAGTGTGCCATGTTGGTGGTGAAAATGTTGGTCCGGCCACGGCCTGACCAACCGGACCGGTTCCGCCGGGCCAATCAGACCGGTTCCGCCGGGCCAATCGGACCAGTTCCGCCGGGCCAGTACTACAATGACTAGTAATATGTGATGGCATAGGGGGTGACCTATACACCAGGAGCACGGCTGGGCTGGGGGGGGGGGGGGGGGGGGAGTGCAGCCAGCCTACACAGGTTACACTGTGCACAAGCAGGGTAAACCCTGTAAGCCCAGCCAACACTGCAATAAGGGAGCACCTGCTCCTAGAGACCGGCCGCAATGCAACCTACATAAAACACACACATCCAGCATGTGCACAGAAAGACTTAGAGACTAGATTTACATGCACCATGGGTAGGGTGGCAGCTAAATCTCCTTACCATTTCTTCTGGCTGTCCTCGGCTTCGATCTTGTCGCCGACCCGGAAGTTGCGGCCAACAGCCTTGCGCCGTGTCACAGTGTGCTGTGATAATGGAAAGGCCTATCCAGGACGCAAAGCAATAAAGTAAGATAGAAAAGTGAGTTGACGGAAATCGTGTTCTGTGTACGGGTTTTTCACCACACACACACCTTTGTCTATATTGATGCAAGCAGATCGTGAACAAACGTCGAGGAGATAAAAGGCATAAAATGGCCGCAAACCCAACGCGCCACTTACACATATTTACGAAACCCCACTCCAAGATTCCAGCAACGGTCTCGTCACAGTGAATCAAATCAATATCACTTGCATGTACCACCAGGCCTGAAAATTTAGTTGCTGGTGGTGGTGGGGAGGGTCCACCAAATCGATTCGATTCGCAGTGAAGAGACCGTTACTGTCCCAGTAACCCAGTAATACTGGGGTGTTGGAGTAATGTTTCATAGATTGTAGACACACGACGAAATAGTACATCAGGAAAGAAACACGAACAAACCCGCACTTCCAAGACACCAGAATTCGAGCGAGCTACAAAACAAGTATGTCACGAGTGGGCTGCCTCACTAAGGCATCACAGGCGGGGCCTACCCGAACGGGGAGCACAGAGCGTTTAGAAAGTGTTGGGCAGCGCTTCGCCCAGTCACATCAGTGACGCACTGACTTCACAACTCACCAAGGTTCTCTAACAACACCAAATGCTAATACAAGACATAGGCCACGATCAAGTGGAACTTCCACATCTGAGGTCAAACACACAGACCGCTTTGGATATTCGGTGTTGTCTCCCTAGATGCCATGTCTCCGTGACGTACATGTATGAACGTTATGGGTGGTTTTGTATTTTTGTATTTGTATTATGGATTCTCCACACAGGCCTTAGCTGTCTGTGGTTTGCGGTCACATGACGTGAACACCCATACAAGGAAAACCAGCACCCAGGGAAGGATGACACTCATACAAACTGAATGCGTTCAACTCCACGTTCTGGACACAGGTTCGAGAATTCCCGAAAGAGCTGATTCCGGCCTAGCAAACAAACGTATCTACCCGGGGCCTAGGGGTGAAAGTTGGCACTGAGATCCCGAGTTCGAGTACTCTGATTTTCTCCGATCGAATATTCGAGTATTTTTCGCCTCCAAAAATTGCACACCAAGGGCTTTAAAATAACATGATACGACCCTGATTGAACCGAGTAGCAGTCATTTTTCTCGGGTATATTGGTTGGTGGGTCATTTGGGCTCTCTCTACTCGTGAACAAATGTTCACCACACAGCCTGCACATCTCCATCTGCCGACTGCTGCCCTGAAACTGCAGATTTCTGTAGTAAATGCATGTACCATGTATGAACGAGTACTCTGATTTATTCCGAGTACGATTATTTTTGAAAAAACCGAGCGAGTACTCGAGTACTCGGTATAATTGTTTCACCCCTAAACGGTCCCAAACAATAAAAATAAAGCGAAAGAGACAACACGACAAACACCCTGAGCACATTTCTCCCTCACCAGGACTTCACATGGGATACAGTAGGATGTTGACTATCCGAAAGTCAACTATCCGAACGATCAATGATCCAAAATGCATGTTTGCATTGATTTGAAGAGACCCATTGTTTTGCTCATTTTCCCCACCCGAAGCACAATTCAAGCGGTGCACAAGACATTTTGCGACAGGTTGGAGTGACAACGTATCACCGTAGTGTCATTTTGAGGAGCTGGAGTGCGTCTTGTTCCCGTGGAACTGCTGAAGCGAATGAGAAATGATGGAAACATGAGGGAATGTGCATGTCTTAGATGGATGTGATACTGCTCCCTTATCCGAACATTCTCCTCATCCAAACCCCCCTGGAGACAGCCCGCGCCACAAGACATAACAACACTTCAGGACGGTCACAAACCAGACCCAACAGAACCCAAGCATGCTGCCGGCTCCACAGCTATACTGCGCATTCTGTCGCTCCATGACACTGATTTTTTAAACTCATTGCGCTTGGTCAGTTTCCCTCTGCCTGTATTCCACCTGATGACAAGGCCATGAAAGTACCAGTGGAAGAGTAACGGGTTTTTTTGGTTTTCTTAAATTAGAATCTGAAGACTCTCCAAGTCCACCAAGATGTGAAATTTCAGCCAAGCTGACTTGATAAGCTACATGACAGAATTGTTGCATGTGTTGATAAACCTAAAAAGAGCCATGGCACCAGCAAGCTGAATATGCCTGTTATAGAGTGCCACAGGGCCACTTGTGCTGCAGTAATCATTGTGCCAAGTCACCCAATTTGGTATCCATTGAAAGTAGCCATGTGACTTCAAAGACCCACGATTAAAACCACCCAACAGAAATAACTTCCACCATTGGACATAGATCAACATGCACTCGTACACCACAAGCAAGTGCAATAATTAGTCATGTGAATTCCACATACTAGGTAGGCGTTTCATAAAGTATCGGAAAGTACGAGCACTAGTTTCATACGCCATTCTCTACATCATAGATCCAGGAAAAAAGTCTGCACTGCCATAAAATTGCTTGGTGCGATGTGCCTTGTGTTAGTAGCACTACATGCACTACATGTAGCAAATCATACATGTGTACAAATAGAACTACTGTTCTATCCAAGATACCGTTATTTCTAGGGCTCAAACGATTAGTCCGATTAACTGGTTGCAGACCGGTTACGAAGAATTAACGGTTAACCGATAAAGATAACGGTTACGCAGTAACCTTTCAGTCAAATTTCAAGTATCAGGTCGTTGCAAAGTATGCACTTTCGCAGGCTGTCGCACGTCTACGCAATTTCTGGGCTGTCAACTTGGTCATATCTGGTCTCTTGGTGTGAGAGTATGTATGAATGAGCATGCAAGAGAATGTACATGTGTGCGTTGTACTGAATAGGGTACATTTTTTGAATGAGTATAGGGCTTGAAAGTGATGACGTCAAAAACGGCCAGGGAGTACTAAGTTGACATCAGATTTCTATTTTTGGATCCACTAAGGTGTGACTTTGCTATTGCCTCAGTATGTAGGTGCATAGCAACCCACTCATGTCGTATGCAGGTGTGACTTTTACTTCGCCACCAGTTGTAACCCCACCCCCAGTAGTCAAATCAGTCAGTTTCACTGGTAACATCACCTTGCTGAGAGTAAGACGGCTTGAAATGTGCTTGGATCCATACAAAAACTGGATCCAAGTGGATCCAATTTTTGAATTTTTGAAATTGTTGCTATGCTGTGACGTAGCACTTTCAAGCCCTATAGTCAAATATACGGTTAAAAACGAGTCCGCAGGATTGCCGTGGCTTATAGGTTATAACCGTTAAACCGAACGTTAGCTTAGCAGTTAACCGTTAGGGGTAAAACCGTGACCGTTTGAGCCCTAGCTATTTCAAAAAATTTCAGCGTACTTTTAATTTCGGTGCATCCGTTTCATACCTAAAATTTCAATAACCGAACAAACACTAACTCACACAGTCCAATAGGGGACTGCTTCTCTGTATCTAAATTTCTGTTCACCTAGCCTAGCCTTTGGCTCTCATACTGACAACTTTGAGCAACTAAAATTTCTGAAATTAGAGTACATGGACTAGTATTTTATACTGAAGTAACTTTCATGCTGTATTCTGATCACGACTAGTTAATTAATCTATGGGGACTCCTTTGATTTAGGTCAAGGCCTGTGGAGAATCTTTAGGTACGAATTACAAAACAAATCTGCTTGGCTGTAGTACTAGACTATTACTGGTGTATCTACACACACATGCAGTATGTCCTTCACTGACTGGCTGGGTGAAACACTGTGCCACCGCCAACGCCTCGCACAGAACCATCACGCCATTCCCATCAAACTTCAAAGACCTGAGGGGAGCACTTCTCCGGCAAACCATATACTGCAGCTCTCACAACCTCTAAGTGGACATCCCCAGTTACGCCAGTCTTCACTTAGGTGAATGTCAGCTTACAAAGTAGTTGATCTAGGACAGCTTTTGGTGAAGATCACACAGTGACACAGTTCATTCTAATACGAATCCATTTATCACTGTGACTCAACACGCAGCCGGAGGACCAGGATAGGAGTAAAGCAAAGAGGATAATGATGGGAAGCAGGGCCAACCCTGCCACCCAACTGTGCCTTATGGATACTACTACAGACCCATTAGTAATGAAATAATAATATAAAAACTAAGTCTAGTGTCGCTTTCTGGGAGGGCTATCTTGCACAATAATTATAAGTAGCGTTTTTTCTCTAGTCTGGTTCAGCATTAATAAATGAAATGCTCACTGCTGGTAATATGCCATTGTGAAGGAGGGACGGAAATGGAATATTGCCAGGAAACAAAATCTAGCGGTTCAGGGCCAGGGGATGACAAGTATTAGTTGATACCCCAGAGTAACTCGTGATCTACGATTTCGAAGATGAGCCCAAACACACTCAGATGGTGAGTATTGTAGTCATAATGATGCAGCCGCTCACACATACTGGCAAGGACAAGGTCAAGTGCCAGCACACCGTTCCGCGTCTCTGACTCTTTTCATCAAACTAGTAGCGCAAGCGGTATCCACATCCGCCGAGGAAGGTCAGTCACGCGCAAATGTTGGCAAAGAATTTTTCCAACCCCAAGAAATAACGATGAAGCCAGAGGGATTATAATACAACGTGATTGCATGCTTCCGGAGAGCACGAGAAGAGTTCTAGCTCGAAGTGCTACAATGCAAGCTTTTCTGCACAGCGGGACAACCAAACGCGGGCAGCATGACTGCTACTTCTCCCCCGCACGGCGACGACAACACCACCACAAAACAAAAAATTCAACAACACGTGGAGTTCGTTGAAGACTGATCAGTGTTGCGAAACCACGCCAAACAAATGCGACTGATAAGGTACGGTAGCAATGCAATCATGTAGATTCCACAAAGTTTTTTCTGGACTTGTGCTGTGCTACTTTGACCAAACTTGGCATACATTGCTCGCAAGAAGAAAGATGAAGTGCAAGACGTAACTCTTACCTGTTCTTGCTGCCGGTCGTGGCTAGTAGCCGGGGTCATCTCGAACAGAGTTCGTCCAAGAACTGCCAGGTCATTGTACTCCCTGAGTACTACGGCAACAAGATGGCACTCTTCCAAATTCACCACACACTGTTTTCCAAGATCACAAACACCACGAACGGCAAACCACACACTCCTGAGGGTGCTCGAGTGCCAGATCTTCCTTCAAGCACGACCTCAACTACACGAGCAAGAAACTCGACAGTGCGCCGCACTTGGGCGCGAGTTCACCAACACTGTGTCACCTCAAGTCCTCTTATGATCTCGTGACGAACGCAGCCTTGGCGTTGCACCATAACAGTGTGAGTTCCACTGCAGAGACTACGATAAGTTTTGAAACACCGAAGTGCAGAAGACGCAGGGAGTAACAGTACTTTACTGGCTCACACCACTACAGTAGATACAATAGTCATAGGTGAAGAAGCAGCTTGCTTTGCTCGCAGATAGATGTTCTGTAGTGATCAACGTTTTGTATCTCAGATGGCGTGATCTGACCCCGACAAAAGAGAGATCGCGATCGCTCCACAAAAGCTCCCTCGGCACACGCGCAGCCACAACCAATTCGGAGCTCTCTGCCAACAACAGATTAGCTCCTCTGGCTGAGGTAGATGTGCACAACTCGTATCGGTCGCGTTGTGAAACACGGCATGTCCAACACAGACTTTGTGCCTGAAAACATGGAAGGATGAGGTTTGAGGAGGTACGAGGTGGTCGTGCATGGGGCAACTCTTGTACTGGACTGGAGTTTGTACAGGAGTCGGCATCCCGGCCCCCAAGGCTTTGCCCAGTTTGGTCAATGCGCGAGGACCTCTCGCGCGGCAAAGACTCAGTGCAGTGCATGTACTGAAGTGATGTAGACCATGCATGGTACTAGACTACAGTCTGAGTAGACTACAGCACACACAGTCATCAGTGTAGATTTACTGCATCTGATCTGATACAGTACAGTAGCGCAACTCCGCAAGGTCTACTGACTGACTGTCGTACTGAGCTCATGACATGAGCTCGTGAGTGACTCAGTCTGTGTAACTCAACTACAGACTGTACAGTGTGGTTACTTCAGATTTCGGTGAGAGATGAAGATCAGGAAGTCGACTCCATAAGACTAAGACCTTATCGGTTGAAGTAATAAATTAGTTATCCCTGGCCATGCTCCTGATCCTAGACCTACGCAGCTACGCTATGCTATAGGCTACAGACTACGGTACTCTGAAGTAAATCCATTACAGGTATAAATAATTTTGGTAGATTCATTATGCTCTGATTTGACCACTTTCTGGGAAAGCCAAGGCAAGACCAAAATGCTGATACGCAGCTGGATCATGGACTGGAGTGGAAACAACTGGTGGGGTCATGCTGTGCTGTGATGGTGCATGCACTGCAGGAGTGCATTTGTACTGGTACATGTAAGGGGCCGTCCATAAATATAATTATTATCATGACAGTACAATTATGTACAATGCAGCTATATACTACCTACCCTGATGCGCAGACTCAGTGATTGGGTGTGTGGTGCTGCTAGCGCCATGTATCCCCCTGTCACTATTATATTCATGAGCATGTGTGAGGTTGGATTTCTCTGGCCGGGACTGTAGATGCATTTCTGTACGAGTTGATCAAACTGGATCATTATGAGCGGTACAGTTGTAATCAGCAAGCGAAGTGCACCATTTTGACGTGTGCACTGCTTATCGTCATACGTACCTCGCTAATACCATTATGCAATGACCCTGCGCCGGTTCAGGCTGGCTGCGTGTTCCTGGGGGCGCTGGCCGGACACTGATGCAGTGTCCTGTCGCGTGTTTGCATGCTGGCAGACACGGCACCATGCACACTCCTGAATTGCTTATGCCCATTCTAATACCATGGCGAGGCCCGGCTGCATAGTTTATAGGGGAAGGAAGGAACAGCCTGCTGCCGCAAAGCGTGAGTCTGCAGCTCCGGAGGGAGCAGAACTGACGGAGCATTACTACCGCTATGCAGAACAACATGTGATGGCTGCATGGATTGCCGGTATGGTGCAATCCAGCCTATAACACTGCAGTGTCGCACTTGTGCATCTGTATGTACTAGTATATTGTACAACGTGGTTGGAGTCGGTGCCCGCAAAAAATACCCATGGCTCAGGAACCGTACACACACACACACTCACACACACACACACACACCGTTGACCTTCTGATGCCCATGCTACAGCAGAAGCCATAGCAACTTGTGCTGGGATTACCCCATTCAACAGCTTGGAAGGCTGAAGAATTGACCTTTTTTTTAAACTAAAGAGTTTAAAAAACACACCCGCATGCACACACACACGCACACACACACACACACACACACACACACACACGCTATCCATATGCACACAGGAGCCTTCATTCACTGTCCCCAGGCAGACCGTATCACACCTACAAGTACAAGTCGTGCATTCCTTTCATGCAGCATTATCAAAAAATATGCGGTTTAGCAAGCACGTGGCTGCACTGCAATCATGTTGTAGCCGCGCCTTGGGTTTCTGCTCAGGCCTTGGCATTGATGCCAACTGTAGCCTAGGTGACAAAATTTGGTGAGCAGTTGACAGTTGGGCATGGGTCAGCTGACACAGAGATTGTCTACCTCAAGACACCTGGTTGGAGCAGTGTCGCGCCATTTTTCGCTTTAGAAACCATTGGCCAACGTAGTTTATCACTTGCCACTCTCACTCAGTGAGTGATAATGAGTGAATTCAAATCACGGTTTACCATGTGTACTGTACACTCCATGTACATATTGTACAATCATCTCTATTGCTATGACAACTGTACAGGCCAAATCTGCTGGTTCAGGGCAGGGGGTAGTAACATCACAATACCGTATGAACATGTTTCACGGTGACAGTATGTTACAAGGCAGAGGACACACTGCATGGAAAATAGTGCTCCGTTACGGTTGCAGTCAGGAACACTATTTTTCCCATAGCGCTACAATACCGTATTGTACTACTCCCTGGTTAAAGGCTACATGTAGTCGCTTACGGTCCCCGTAGATCAAGGTAGATACCAGGGAGTACTACTCCCTGGTAGATACCTGCTGCATACATGGCCGGCACGCGGTGGATGGAGCCCAGCTCTCTACCCCAGGCATTAGCAATTCAAATAAGCATGCAATCCGCCAACCATGCTCAGGAGTCAGGACAATACATCATGTAGTAGTAGAATTATTTATTATTTTGATAGGGAAGGCCCTATGTAAAATTAGCAAGGCTATCGGGGTAAATTGAAATCATTCAAATTCCCCAAAAATTCAGATAGTAAAATTCTCTGTATGTTGGCGCACAGCACCATAAAAATTAAAATTTGCTTCGAAGGAAATCAACTCTTTCATATTGCCGCAGGGCATGGGGAAACTAAGCCTACTTGCGCCAATCGAAAGGCACATTATGACAAGCTATGTACTAGAAAGTGGGCACACAAATCATTGTCCTTGGCAGTCATCGTAAGATCTTCCAGGCCAGAGTGACCTGCATAGCCGCTGTGCGGTATTGTGCGTAGATTTTCACTGTTGATCACATGCAATGTACCATGTTGGCTTAATTTAAGCTTAGCACGATGCAGGGTCGATGGCGTACACTACCGAGCCATGCGGTGCGACGTAGTCACTGATCTCGGTCTGCGTGTGCAGCACCTCTTTGCTCCAGATGTTCCGCAGCTCGCACATACTTGCGCGGATGCCGATGTCGGCGAACTTCACGGACACCTTCGCAGTGTCCTGGGCGTCCAAGTTGAACAGGCCCACGTAGACCATGGAGTCTAGATTGGCTGCCCAAGCCACAGCACTGACCTCGTCATTGCCCAACACCTCTGGCCCACCTATGAGGGTGGACGTAAGGCAGCCACCTATGGCATAAAAAAAATAGGGCAAACAAGAACCTGCAGATTGGCTATCAGCAGATTCAGCACACAGTCGGGGAAAGTCACTTGTATGTTAGGATCATGCACTACTAGTACAATCTGAAGCAGGAAGTCGTAAAATACCGGTATTTTACGACTCCCTGCTCTGAACGATGCCCTGAGGATATGCCCAAATGGTCAGTAAAACGTACGGTGCAGTCCACTCGTGAATGAGTAACAGTTAGCTCCAATGAAAGAGAAAAGCCATGTGTAGACATCCGTGCCAGTACCGAGGCATGACTCCAACCATCACCCAGCTATGATGTCGCGAACGCGATCGTAATTTCCATAATTATCACTTAGACATAAATTTGTAGTGCTAGAGCCTACTTTTTCTGACCTTGCCGCGCTCCTTCCATATTCTGAATGGCTATAGGCATGCGCAGTATGGTACGCGCGCATATTAGGCATGCGCGATCTTGGCCCGTATAAATTAGGCATGCGCGTTCCTAATCAGCCTCTCTTTTTTCTGATCACCAAGATTGACCTCGTGTTCTTATGGTTCTTGTGTGAATCCAAGCTTGCAGGCAGCTCGCCTTTTAGAGCAAGATGCCATGAGTGGATTGTTTGTAGTGCAACTGGCATGAGTATGATTAGATCAGGGTAGTCGCACGGCGACAGATGTGATCATGTCAGGACGCCCGGCAATGGACACTGCAAAGTCTACGCCAAGTTACAGCTCTGCACAACAGAAAACTGTAGCTTGCCCCATTGTGTCATGCAAAAACTCCACAGTAAAGCATGAGTAAATGTTCGTCTCCGTTCGACAGAGGGAAGTCACGACTGCCACTAACACCCGGTAAATCCAGCGTCAAATGCAGTCCCTAGCGATGGGGGTGAGGGGATAAGAATCACAACTACAGTCCATTTCAAAACTATAGACGCGTACCTAGGCAAAAACCGTTATGCCAGCATCTATACCACATAAAATCTGTGATCACTTTGTGCATAAATTTTTCCAAATTGGGCGTCTGTTATCCAATCCTTTAGAAACTATATGAGAGTAATTGTGGAGCGATCCTGAGCAATATTCCGAAAACTATTCTCAAAAAGTTCCAGCCAAATTTGAAATATTTCAAAAACCCTACGCGTCTATAGTTTTGAAATGCACTGTACAGTACTGTTGGTCGCCGAAGAACTGGGGGGTCAGCCTCCTAGCCTAGACCCTTCTTATTTTCATGTATTACAGTCTATGCACAGTTGAATCACCGTGTATACATTGGTATGCTGTACTTGATGAAATTCAAGGCTGGTCGTTCTTCGGCACTCCGTTCTTCGGCGCCGACAATACTGTAGTCCTAGCGAAGTTCACTGTAGCTGACGGTCTCACCTGTGGCTAGATGGTGTAGGGTGTTGTCAGTCTCGTTCCTCATCCACAGCTGCAGCTTTGTCAAGTTGGAGTCCTTGGCCATGGCGGTGACATTGCAGGGCAGTGAGGTGGCGGATGTGGTGGTCAGCACAGCTTGGTTCATGGGAGTGTCGATGTATCCATCCCGGCCTACTTCCCACACCTATAGGATATAGGTAATGAGGACACGGGCAATGAGCGGCCGGGGTCAGCGTTAGCTGTACATACATGTAGTATAATTCGATTAGGAGCCAATTTGTTCATCATGGTGATTTAGAATACTTCGTTAAGTTTGCAACTAGTCTTAAAAATGTAGTAACATGTCTTTCATTGAACATTGTTCCAACAGCACCATACCTGATTAACACCATCATCACAGCCTGAGCCGACATGACATCTCTCCGCACCAAGGGTAGCGTTCTTGACGCTGGGACAACAACAACGACAACAACAACAACAACAAACAACAACAACAATAACAACAGCAGCAGCAGCAGCAACAACAACAACAACTCTTATTCAAGTTGGCTACAGACCATCGTGAGAGTAAAAGATTTCAAACAACAACAGCAACAGAAACAGGAATAACAACAGCAGCAGCACCATCACCACCACCACCACCACCACCAACAACAACAGAGACATGTACATGCCTGTATGTGTAAGATCAAGACATGCTGTATGTACACAGTCACAGGGAACATGCCTGCGCAGGGTCTTGTTGAGATGTTGTCTTTTTCAAAATGTGTCAACGCGTAAGTTTTCTTTTTCCAAGAGCTACATTGCCATACATGGTGACCCAGTAGGATGATGACATCATCAAGTAGTGAGGGTAATACTAGCACATGTTGCCATGGCGAGCAGTTGAAAATAAACTACAGTCCTCCCCCCCCCCCCCCCCGCGTGTGGCTATTTCACCATCAACCAGTGCAGAATAATAGGGCGATCTCGAGCAACACTGCCAGGTGTTCTGCACAGTGATGTGTCGTGCAGGAATGTACCAGACCTTTCCTCTCTGCGCCATCTTGACAAACTCTCCGCAATGGACCAGGGCCGAGCAGCTTGGAGAGGCTTTATTCACGCGGCATAGTACGGGCGATCTCTAGCCGAGGAACAGCAGCGGAACCATGTGTTGCGCAATGTCAATGCATATTGTACGCGATCTGCCACATTATTATCCTCCCCCCCCCCCCCCCCCCTCACACACACACACACACACACACACACACACACACACACACACATACACACACACACACATACACCCCGGCTCTACTTAGGAGACAGGGCGGTGAAATGTGTGACTAACAAGTGCACACTTGGTCTCATGGTTACGCAATGTGTGGGTACGTACGGGTTGGATTTCTTGATACATGCATACTGGGCCCATCCCTGTTACATGCGGATCAATAACAGAATGTAGGTGATCTGTTGGAAATGAATTACTTGTGGTCAGTATACTCACAATGAGCAGTTGATCAACGTCAGGCAACCAAACGTGGCGTGATTCGGTAGAGAGCCATCGGTCGTTGCCGACACGTGTCCCCACTGCTGGTGTGGGTCGGTGGGCACACGACACTTCTCAACGTTGATCACCTCCTGAATAGCTTGCTCGGATACGACCTGCAACAGGTAAAGGATCAAAGACGATAATAGTGAGTAGGATAGCGGCAGCGAGGGCCAAGCAGCATAGAATGCTACATCACCAGGCTACACTGTATACCAGTCTCAAATAAAATAAATAAATGTCACGGTTCGCGTGAGACTCGGCTGGAAGCCGAGTTTTCCGCATCCGCCGTGGGAACGCCACCACCCTCTAGGATCAAAGGCGCAGATGCAGCGCCTGAACGGTGGGAGGTGAGTAGATCAGACCCACCACCAAGTGGTCAAAGACCGAAATCCCATTAGCTGCATCCATGTTACCAGTCTCAAACGGCTGGAGAATACACATACACACGAGCAGCCATAGTTTTTGTTTGTTAGTTGTCACTCATTTAGGGCCTGGTCAGACTGCGGCAAAATCGAAATAATCCTAGGATTATAATCCAAAACTCCATAGTAACTTGCCGCCAGAGCGGCAAAAGCGAGAGTTGACGCTCCAAAAAAAAAGCAAGAACGGACCACGCTTTTCCGCTCCAAACAGGATTTGACGCTGATACGCCATTGACGCTGATAATCACTAATTTTTTCATCTCGATATCGAGGAGCTAATTGGCCACGGACAACAAAACTCATAAGGATGGTTGCAAGGATTGCACTGAAGGTGTTGGCGATCCCCAAGGTGAAGGAATTTGACGTCGTTCGTGGAGATTACCACTTGACGCTCGAAATGAAGTTTGAATTTTCACTCTCCCCACATGTGTAGTGTGATCGCGATTCAAATTCTGGACGCTGTTCTTTTTTCGTCAGGCAACCAAAATTTGCCGCAGTCTGACCAGGCCCTTACCCGTTTAGACAATCCTTGACTCGATGAATGAACTGTCAATGTTAAGCTACAAACAAAGACAAAACGAGAGCAAGTCGCAGTCCTTACCCGGAACGCTGTGGACGTGATTGGTCGGTTGTTAGTGGAGCTGCTCTGGACCTTCAGGAGCTCCTCATTCGTCAGCAATGCCGTGGTGGCGTCGTCGAGGGAACGCAAATCCCCACCCATAACCAAGGGATTACGAAACATGCCCCTGTACATACAACAGAAAAAAGGTATGCAGCAAAACAGGAAAAAGGAATGTTCCCACACCGGGAATCAAACTCGGGTCGCGGCGGTGAGAGCGCCGAACCCTAACCACTAGACCATATGGGAGACGCAGTTACTTCCATCGGCAGTGAATTGATGCATATCTGAGTTCCACTACAACAGCAGTTAGTTTGTGCATGATTGCAGTTACACCGCCGATATCGCGTGTGAAACGATCTCCAGGGTGGGTGACTTTGATGAAAACGGCCCATTGTCCGTTGTTTGCGAACTGGGTGCAGTGGAAAGCTCGCGTGTCAAAGTGGTACCACGAATTTATCATCAAGTTGTGTACCGCATTTCCTTGTTTGTAAGTCGCTCTCGATCGTAAGTCGCACCCCCGCTTCCAGGTCCATGTCATATTGTTTCAATACATTATTCACTTCAGTAGTAAGTCATGCTCGATTGTAAGTTGCAACCCTTTGTTGGGAATGAAGTTTAGTGTAAAAAAGGTGTGACTTAATTCGTAGAAATACTGTAGTCTTTAAGCAGCGCAACATGCAGCCAAACCCTACCACAGATTCATCATTGTGCGCTGCTCGACTTCCGTGAGTGCCGTTACACGCTCCGGGCCGTGGCCGCCGCGCACGCTCAGCTTGCCAAGAGGAAGCATGTCCAGGTCTGGGTACGAGGGATTGCCGATCAGGGTCGGGAAGGTGGCGGCGGTGGAGAATGCTGACTCGATGTTGCCCCAGTTGTCCCACACATCGCCTGTGAGTACGTACACATAGACACAACAACATACTAGTACACGCAAATACTTTGAAAATCCAGCGGCGGATCCAGAGTTCAGCTGAGGGGAGGGCGCGGGTAATATTCATGACAGGGAACCCATGCGGTACATGTATTTTGTACACATTACGACATAGCGGCTATTTTACGTCATAGGCTTAGCGGTTATGTAGAATTACTATTTTAGCACATGCACTCACTCCCACTTTTTCAAGTTTAATCAGTAGTAAAAAAACTAACTTGTACGGGCAAAAATAAATAGATCGTGAAGTCAATAGTGATGAAAACAACGCAAAGAAAAGAGCAAGCAGAACACAATGTCAATCATCCGTCTAACCAGCCAGGGTAGTTAGAGCACATTAAACTTTAAGGACACCAAGACAGCATGGTCGTAATAAAAACACTACTCCTTGCTGCTACAGTAGTACGTCGCTTGTCCGGATGTCAACTATCCGGACGATCGATTATCCGGATCGCCAGGTCAGGCTGGATCATAGCAGCTTTTCGAGGCTTTTGCTGATTTTCAGCACCATTGAAGCGATGCACAAGATGTATTACAACAGGTCGGAGTCAAAATGTATAACGATAGTGTCATTTTGAGGAGCTGGCGTGCGCCTAGTCCCTGTTGTACTGCCGAAGAGAAAGAACAATGATGAAAACGTGCAGGCATATGCATGGTTTAGATAAACGTGTGACTGCTCCCTTATCCGAACAATCTTCTCATCCAAACCCCCTGGAGACAACCCGCGCCCCTAGGGGTGCACATAATCGGCACTCTACCGTGCTGTAAAAGCAGACATTTTCGGTGCTGTAATTTTTTCGGTATTCTCCAAAATCGGCGGTTCGGCGGAGGGAAGTTTTTCGGTAAACCCGTTTTCGGTGCGTTCTATTTTCGGTAAAAATTTCGGCACTGAAGTTACCGAAAATAAAACACCACCGAAAATTTCTGCTTTTCAACAGCAAGTCTTATTGGAGGATGCATGGTCCAGATTACCAGACCCAGTACATCAGGTGTAGCTCGGGGGGAAGGCATTTGGGCATTCACACAACGGGCAGCAGCTGCCAGCAATACATCAAAGAGTGCCATGCGTAAGGCATGACATCATCATTGCCAAGTGGTGTGCCGACAAAATGCAATCGCATAAGCAGGAAAGGCCTAACGGGCAGCATAATGCCAGGCACGATGTCATCATTACTAAATGGCATGCAGAATGATGTCACCATACAAGTCAGTCAATGCTTACCATTAACTCGGTACATTGACACATTTCCGCGTATTTCCATGGCAAAGCTTGTATCTCGGTCCGTCGGGGACATGCTGAGGACAAATTCCCTCTCCGACTCTTGGATACTCTTGCTGATCTGTAGGATCTCAGATTTGGTTGCGCTGCTGTAGGCACAGTCCATCTTGATGAAGTCCACTCCCCACTCGGCGTACAACTTGATCAGCGAATCGTAGTAGGCCTGGCCAGCGGCATTGTCGGCTATTCCGCTCATGTCGTCACACCTGATGATGATAAGGGTGTTGATGATCATACACAAGAAAGAGTGATGTTTGTTCATGTATGTGTAGGTGGGGGTGGGGAAGGGGGATGGGTGAAGGGGGGGGGGGGGATTGGTGAAGGGGGGGGGGGGGGATGGGTGAAGGGGGGGGGATTGGTGAAAGGGGGGGGGGGCAAGATGTGGGTATACCAGTAGCCGTAGCAGCAGCAGCTAAACCAAAGGGAGATGACTTTACTTATGAATCTCTTCAACCTTTGGGGATGGAACACTGGCCATTTACATTCAGGCCAGGTTAAAATTCTTGCTTTGGACTCAGTAGGCAGTCGTTGTCCTATAAACAGTTGGAGGTCCAGCAGAATTTCAAAATAATATTCTACGTCATCACTAGGTTCAGCCTCATTTTTCTGTGCTGCGCCGGCGAGTTCTAAAGGGAAAAAAACAGTATTGTCTGCTGCACTGAGGCGCTGAGTTTACATGCAGCTGGTGGAGGAGTTTTCAAGGTACATGTATGTCGACAAGCTCAGTGTGGACACCAGGAGTCAGGAGTCAGTGATGAGCAGCACTTGATCAGCTCCCCTAAATCCATGTGGACAAGAGAAGTTGAGAACGTACCCAGACGAGATAGCCTATCTATGTGAGTACCACATGTTCGATCACCAATGTACATCAGGGTTCTAGCCTATCTATGTGAGTACCACATGTTTGATCACCAATGTACATCAGGGTTCTAGCCAAAGGATATGACAACACCCCCCCCCCCCCCCCACACACACACACTCTGATTGAGCGCCCCCCCCCCCCCCCCTAGTGAAAAAGTGCTGATCGCCTACTCAGTCGTTGATTATTATGTTTTTCATGCCATTCAACAAAAAATGCAGTTGATAGTTACTACTAGAGGTTTCACAAAGGCACATTTGTTTCCCCTGCCCGCCCGCCTACTATTTTGGCAGGAAGCCTCTGCCCTTTTTCAGACAATTTTGGAAAATGGAAAAAAATGGGTAACAAGGTAATTGTTTCCCCTGCCCGCCCGCCTACTATTTTGGCATGGCTAGAACCCTGTACATGTACCCAGTAGACTTCATAACCTTACCAGCTGCAATAGGTCTTGTTGTCCGCCGCGTCCCGCGCTGTGTAGCTGCTGCCAAATATGGGCATGTTCTTTTCCACGGCAACACGCGGTATGCCGCGCATGATGTGTATGCCAAACTTCTGGTCCAGGCCGTGAACGAAATCAGCCAGGGGCTTGAAACCGGGCAAGCCAGTGTCGGTGGAGTCCTGAACAATGAACACACATGTGCTGAAGCTAACATAAATGCATTGTCCCTTTCTCGAAGGCTATCAGATTTTGCCCGCGTGCCTCGTTCCACTGATAGGTGTCTGTTTCGATGAGGTAACGGAGAGGCTCAATCACCGGCACATCTGAAGCCGTCTGAAGGCAAGCGTAACATGTTCTATTCCGTCCGTTAAAGAACCTCGTCTCTGGGAAAGGGAGGAGTGAGGGGTTTAGTCACCCATCACAATTCTTCACCGTACATTGTGGAAAGCACTCAAACTGCGGACAACGCATGTACGGCATGGGATCATGGGACCCATGCTCGCATTGCACTTGGCGGACAAACGGCACAGACTATGGTCTACCGTATTATTTCATCGGCGCAAAGCATGTCAGGAGACGCAGATGGGACTCAACCCCAGACCGGTCGGTAACCTTGGGTTTTCCACACGACAGCGGCAGCGACTAAGCCTCTCTGTTGTGAAAAGACCGTGTGAAAAATGTTGTCGGGACGTGATGATGTCCGCACACATCCTGCTGGATGAACTGATGTTACTATGCACTGCATCTGCTGTACATATCTGTAATGCTGCAAGCATCCACTCTGCTCTCCAAGGCAGGTTTGTACACACTTGACATTTCAGCATAAGCATTCAGCATATCGACCATTCCGGGTAGGCTCTGCGCTTGTGCGTAGCATTTCGTTTTACAAGGCAATATTGGATAATGGAAAAAATGGGTTAACCACCTATTTCCCCACCCGCTATTTTTCCCACTCTAGAACCCTGTGTGATGCAGTGAATCCTGTACTGCACATACTCCATATCACCTACACCTACACTATGCATCTTACCAATCAAACTACAGTGCATTTTTGCTGAGATAGTACTTCATAATTATATATATGCGGCTGACTGACGATATACCTTTGCTGAAGGATAACGATCGGGCGATGGCAGGGCACGGCCATACTTGTCCACGACCAGGTCCTGCCATGGGTTGCGGCCGCAGCATGAAAACTGCCCAGTGCCCGGCCGAAACCACTCGTAGTCGATGGTGACGTACTCGTAACCGTACTTGGCCAGCTCGTCGTGCATGATGTCCGCATTCGCCTTCACCTCAGCCTCTGTCACCGTGCATGTGAAAGCATCTGTAAATAAGAATATTTAAGAAATAGATCGTGGTTCACGTGAGACTCGACTAGAGACCGAGTTTTCCGCATCCGTAGGAACACCCTCAAGCTGATCAAGGCGGAAATGCAGCTCCTAAAGTGGTGGGAGGTGAGTAGATCAGACCCACCACAAAGTGGTCACCCAAAAATCCCATTTGCTGCATCCATGCTTCCCTCACGGCTGGAAAATGAATAACGTTGCTTACATGTAAATGTAGACTGCAGGTCACAAATGCTGCATCGACAAGTGCAAGCCAAGTGGTCGTAGCAAGGAACAGGCATGGGCAAGAGGAACGTGAACCAATATTACGGGTTTCCCTCCCCAGACTGCCTGCTCCTGTCGCAATTGGGGCAGCTAGGGCTGACAGCATCCTGTTGTTTAGTCTTGCAGTGCCAGAGACACGCACGACCAGGCTTAACAGCTGTAGGCTATCATGGTTGTAGCGACTGGTTTCATCTTGGTACCTAGGCCAAGGGTCCGCTTCCAAGCAATCCGCATACACCATTGTAACAAACTGACTGGACGCATTCCGTACATGCTAACAGAGTACGCTCACACCTCGTGTATCCGTGCTGTCCGGGACCGGGCAGTGCTCATAACTTTGAAATATCCGTAACTCGGCCAAGACACACTGCACGTGCTCTGATACTCTCCCTGACTTCTGTATGCATGCACGACTTCCTGATCCATGACTACCATAGGCTCTGTTTACCACAGATAGGGTCTACAGTGGCCTACAGTGAACTACTGTGTTGCTGTGTACATGGTGTATGGCTTGCAAGATACCAGTGGCTAGCACGGATCAAGTCTTCAGCACAAGACAACGCAATTCGTGGTGGGTTCTTTTGTAGTGTGTGAATGAATAGCTGCACCATTTCATGCAGAACTTTGAAAGGCTTTGCTTGGCCTGGTGGGCCAGGTGCGTAGCTGGTCCCCCTTTTACAGGAGAGGGGGGGGGGGGGGGGGGGGGGGGGTGCACGGCCGCTTATGCGCATGATGGCTGGTGCATGTCATGAGTTCAAGGTCATTGTGTGTGTGCTGAACCCATGTTGAACCTAGGTTGAAATTTTTAGGGTGGGGGGGGGTGCAGGTGCCCCCCCCCCCCCCTCCCCCACCCCATGCATGTATGCATGCCAATATTAAACCTACCATAGCTGTTCCAGCCCCGCGGCGGAGTTCCTTGATACAGGCGAGCCGAGCACAGCAGGGATGTGTGCTGGGACAGACAGCAGTACAGGAGCAGTACTGCGAGAACCGTTCCACTCCAGCAAGTCATGCTCTCGTCACCTGGATGCAATGAGCAACAAGCCAAGCAGCTATGGTCACGCAAATATCACGCGAGGTCCACTGTAGAACAGAAGGAACAACGTTAATCAGTTAAAATTGTTCGCTATTTGAGTATTTGTATCATCAATTATTGACGTCAGTAACCATGCACAAAGTTGGGCATACACGAGTACACACTAGGCCATTGAGGTTATGCGGTTACATATTCAGTTTAGAACTTGAGATGCTTTGGCGAAGTCGCGGCACAGCGCTGCACTTGCACTAGCGACTCATGCTACAGACGTAGCGACCATTAGAAAATCCGCTGACTCATGCTGTATACTTACGGTGCCCATTAGAAGTCCGCCACGAAACCGTGCATGGCGGGGGCAGTGCCACACTATGTGCAAATGAGTCGCTAAGTCACCAGCGTGAGTCGCTAATGCAAGTGTAGCGTTGTGCCGCGAGTCTGCGACTTCGCCAAAGAATCTCAACTGATTATGGAATCTCATAATATCCTGCATCTCCAAACTGGCAAAAGTACAATGTGCAGCAAATAATTGCTGACATTTCGGAACCTCGACGTTGGAGGGCCGTTATTTGCTGTTGTTCCTATGTGCACTCATATCTCACGTATCCGGGCGGTCCTGGACATGGGCACTGCCGGCATGCCATGACTTCGAAATGTGCACTTCTCACAAAAAATAATATCCGCTCATGCCCGTAAATGTTCCACACGCTCAGCGTTTTCAAGCGACCGCACTCCCCGGATCCTCTTACCTAGTACCTACTTTGTAGTACCTGGCGTCTTGTGACTCTCAAAGCCTAGCCGCTGACCCGTCCACAACGATAACCACCGCGAGTATCGCCCGTTAGATGAATGGCAAGAACACTCAACAGTTCAACTACTAAGTACGTAGATCTACTACAAGTACTTGAAAAGTTGATGGGATCGGATCGGTAGAAAGAAGCACTGGAGATCTACGTGCTTGCCAAGAACCGGACTTGGCTAACTACATAATTACTTCTTGCTTTGAAGTCCTCGTACTTGTCATGTACTGTCTGAAAAATCATGCAATTATTTATTTTTGTTTTCTGCACCTAGTAGATCTACTATAGTACTACTATTACCTGTCAAATTTCAAACAAAAAAATAGCATGCACTGATGATAGCAAGAGTCCATAAACAATTAAAGGGGAAGTATACCCTAAAATCAAATTTTCACCAGTTGTAGTCTTCGGGGTGCTGAGTCGAATGGTCTTGGTCCGAGGAAGCTGCGACGCTCCCTTCCTACTTGAATCCCAATCGAACTCGCGCACTTCCACCGAAACTGGGTGACTGCGCCCTACTAGATGGGGATTTGTATGCAAAATCTCACTAAAAGCGCCATTTCGTTCTTATAAAAGCACGGATGACCGCGATTGGCCCATATGTTGTAGTCTTTTGGACGCTGAGTCGACTGGTTTTGGTCCGAAAAGGCTGCGATGCAGCGTTCCTCCTTTATTCCCAATCGAACATGGTTGAACACGCGGTCACGTGCTCCTGGGTGCCCAAATCACCTGGTCACCGCGCCAGCAGGCGACAACTTTCACACCAAGGTTCAACTCGAGTTCAACTCGAGTGACAGGAGTGCACCCAAAAAAGGTCAAACAGGCTAGTAAGTTGTACCCTGCAGGCACGGTGACCAGGTGACTGGTGTACGCAGGAGCACGTGACCGCTTCTTCAACCATGTTCGATTGGGAATAAAGGAGGAACGCTACATCGCAGCCTTTTCGGACCAAAACCAGTCGACTCAGCGTCCAAAAGACTACAACATATGGGCCAATCGCGGTCATCCGTGCTTTTATAAGAACGAAATGGCGCTTTTAGTGAGATTTTGCATACAAATCCCCATCTAGTAGGGCGCAGTCACCCAGTTTCGGTGGAAGTGCGTGAGTTCGATTGGGATTCAAGTAGGAAGGGAGCGTCTCAGCTTCCTCGGACCAAGACCATTCGACTCAGCACCCCGAAGACTACAACTGGTGAAAATTTGATTTTAGGGTATACTTCCCCTTTAATGTTTATGCACTCTTGATGATAGTGTGTACGTTTGCAGACACATGCAAAATAGCAAACTAATACTTTCTTTCCTTGCAAAAACTCCCCTGAAAAATACTACATTGTACTCAGCTGTCCGGAGGTTGTGTATGCATTATGTGAGCGATGTGTGAATTCGGTCCCACAATAAGGTAGTTTGAGAGTTGAGAGGTCATGTAGATCTAAGACTAGAGTAAGACTGAGCCATACAGTGTTGTTCAATGAAATCCGACTTAACGCCAGCGCTCTGCAAGCAGCAACAGTAAGCAGCTGCGTGTCCGCAGGTCTAGGAGTGCAGTGGCGTGCAGCTCCGCACTCGTACTAGCACCTCAGTCGATCGGATTTCATTCAGCAGCATTGCACTTGACAATGTACAAGCGCACACATGTACGGTGCCTGCGACCCAGTCAACCACTACCAAGAGTCAACAACTGTGTTATGGACTCTTGACACCACCTATAACACCCATCAGCAGAGAAGCTAACAAGGAATTCGGTGTTACACAATCGTTGTAACGTTAGTAGGCCGTAGGGCAAGCACGTCTTTAATACCAGAAATAGTGGAACGCAAAATATTCTCGAAGAGCACTTGACCTGACACATGTAAACAATACGTGCTAGGTACAAGACTTAGTGCATTGTAATACTTCAGTACATGCAAGTATGTATGCACGAAGCAAGTCAGGAAAGCCCCTGTCAGAAAAGAAGGGCAACTGCGTAAATCTAAAGCTGGAAAACGGACAGGGTAAAATAAACGAGTGTACAATCATACAAACAAGGAGTGAGCCGTCAGACAGATGGCTTCGCACATGCACACACTCGATGCATGGGGACATCTGAACACTGCAACAGCAGCGCCAGCCAGATCCTGGTAGCAAAAAAAGAAGAAAAAAGTCAGCCTGGCAGGGACTCACGGACAGCAATAACACAGATATAGAGTAGAAATTTCACAAACTTTAAAATAAGACAAAACAAGCCAAACGTGGCAGGAAATTTTACGTGCCAGAAGAAACGTGAGTATATGGCGAGAGTTTACATGAAAAGCTAGCGACGCCTGTCGTACGGCGCAATCTTGTGGCGAGAACGTGGCGACGGAGATGGAGATCTATAATGACGTCGATCATGATGATGTGGAGGAGGAGGAGCATCGTGCCTGGGCATATCTCTGCCGTGTCGCGCGTTGCCAGCGGAAGAGTTGGTGGGCGTCAGCTGCACACGGCGTACAGTTCGCACGGACCTACTCGGCGACATAGGTACGTTGTCGTGTGGCGAACGGCCAAAGTCGCGCCTGAAATGCGCCGGTGACTGGTGCAGCGGAGGCGGTGAGCGTCGATCAAAGCCGTGAGCGTAGGAATCACGACCGCCGCGCCTAAAGTCAGCGCCAGGCGGAGGACCAGCACCATGCCGAGGACCAGCACCATGCCTGTTACCGCCACCACCACCTCCGTCATGGAATCCACCTGATCGACGCGGAGGGTCATGTCGGTTTCTGCTCGGTCGAGGACCGCCGCTGTCAAACATCCGTCCTCTCCTGTTGCCAGGCATTCTACTCGGCGAAGGACGGTGACCACTGTTCGGTCGCAGGCGCCCCTGGCGATCCAGTTTGTACAAGTGCGAGAGCTCGTCGAGCAGCTGTAGGCGTGATGCGCGCCGCGACCACAGGCGCCCGACCATGCGAGTACGCTCGCGAGGTGTCTGCCGGTGCATACCTTCTAGCGACCGTGCCCGGTTCAGGTACTCATCCAGCTGCACACCATACTCCTCGTAGAGCCTCTGCAAACACCAGTACAAAAAACAGGACAGCAGCAGGACGAGGTGAGTGCGCCAGCTTTTGAGAGGAAAGTGAAGAATGGCGCGTACAGCCGGCGGATACGAGCCAATCATGAATACCCATTTGCAATCCAATACTTTTAAAGTCACGGAGAGATGGATAGATGTTAGATAAAGAGAGAGAGAGAGAGAGAGAGAGAGAGAGAGAGAGAGAGAGAGAGAGAGTGTGTGTGTGTGTGTGTGTGTTAATGTGTGTGTGTGTGAGAGAGAGATCGAGAGAGAGGGTGGAAAGGGCGCCCACACCCACACGTATGCATATACACGACCCACACCCACACGTATGCATATACACGACCCCCCCCCCCCCCCCGCACAAAATCTAACCTCCATAATCTGTGCGTTCTTGTTGGGTCGGCTGTGTTCGCCGGCAAACCGCTGTGGACTAGGTTGCTGCGGCGGGGTGCGTCTACGGCGCTCATGCCTGCCACCACTACCGCCGCCATCATGGCGAGAATCTGCAATCAGCTGGCGGCGACGTTCCCAGCTGCGCTCTCGTTGCATGTGACGACGCTCCTGTTCGCTGTCACGTTCACCAGTGTGGCGAGCGGGAGCGGCGTGACTTGAAGAACGCCGGCGTCCACCGTTACCACTGCCACTAACATGCTGCTGCTCATCACTACCATAGCCAGGCTGCTTGTCACGGGACTCCGATCCCATTCTCAGTGGGCTGTTGAAGCGAGATGAGCTGTCATCTGAAAAAGAGAGAGAGGGAGAGAGGATTAAGATGAAGTGTTGTCACAACACAGCCGGCACTTGGCTGTTGTTGACAGCATAACTGTTGACAATCAGTAAACCGTGTCCCGGACGATATACAAAAGAACACACATGGGTCGTAGGAACTGCCAGCACAAACACACACACAAAGGAATACACCTGCCTGACAGGAACTACTAGCATTACAATACGCTGCCAATTGAAATGATATGTTGTGTCTTACCTTCGGACGAGGACCCTGAAGATGACGACGACGACGATGACGACGAAGTCGAAGAGGACGAGAAAGAACTACAAGAGTTTCCGCCCTTGCCACATTCAAGGATATCCATATCATCTTCAGAGAAGAAGCTGGCATCACTACCGTCATCAGCATTAGCACCGCGGCGCCCTCCTCCTGCCAATCAAACAGTAACGTTATCCAACAACACAAGGACATGATCAAACAGTGGAGTTACCATGTAGACAAATCATTCAGCTTCAGAGCTGCAGTTATTACTGCTTATTGGCAATGGTGCCATCGTCAGAATGAAGAATTCAAACAAACAAACAACAACAACTTCTCTTGGTGGACACAGGCCACCGTGAGAATAAAACATTTCAAACAACAGCAGCAGCAGCAACAGCAGCAGCAGCAACAACAGCAGCAGCAACAACAGCAGCAGCAACAACAGCAGCAGCAACAACAGCACCAGAACAGAAAATCAGATACATAAAAAACTCTCCTCCTCCATGCGCTCTAAAGCCGACCATTGCTGCGCTCGGTAGCCATTACTCACACCAATAGTTTCAAACAACGAGGGGGTCACGGGTGAAACACTTCCTTCTGACAGCTGTTTCGCCTATCAAAGGCTCTTCAGAGAAGGTGATGCTGGATATTGTAATTGACATGGCAAAATTACTAGTAATATTTATAAGGTATATTATGGGCGCAAGAAACTAGGCAAGGTGTACCACTGAGAACGTTGTCACCACCACTGTGCATTATCGAGCCATGCAAAATGTTAGCAGCTTGTGATTGGACGAATACAGTTTCTCACCTGCTATCTTTCCTAGAACCCTGGGCACTGCGTGCTGCTTGGAGAATATTCGTTTACGTTCTCAGTGTTACACCTTGCCTAGTTTCTTGCGTCCATAATATACTTTATAAATATTACTAGTAATTTTGCCATGTCAATCACCATATCCAGCATCACCTTCTCTGAAGAGCCGTTGATAGGCGAAACAGCTGTCAGAAGGAAATGTTTTACCCGTGACCCCTTCGTTGTTTGAAATTATTGGTGTGAGTAATGCTAACGAGGGTAGCAATGGTCGGCTTTGGAGCCCATGGAGGAGGAGAGTTTTATGTATTTAAAAAGAAACAGCCGAATGGCACTATTCCGAGTTATCCTGATAAAGAAAATCAGGTTTCAAGAAAGATGATCAATTCACAAGCTAACATCAGCAGAGTGTGAAAACGTTTCTGAAAAGCCACATACAGATGCAAGCAGAAGCAACTTACGGTCACTGTCGCTATCGCTGTCAACGTCGCTCTCACCACTGCCCTCAAAGTTGGCGAGGTCCAGGTTACGTTTCCGCACCTCCTCCTCCAGCTCAGCATCATCCATGGATGCAAAGCTCTCATCGGCAGATTGATTGTCAGCAGAGGCAGGCGCTGGAGACTCTGCCGTCTGCTTGCTTGCGTCATCGGCATGAGATGGCAAGGATTGATCAGCAGCTGAAGATGCAGGTACAATATCAGTATCAGCCGAAGCTTCATTCTTATCATCCATACTCACAGCATGAAGGACACTTGGCGGCGGAGAATGACTTCTCTTGCTAGACGAGCTCTTTCTGGTAGAATTGCCCGAAACTTCCGCCGCTGACTGAGACGAGGAATTGGATACTTGCGACTGTCCTGCGCCATTCTCGCCAGATGTCGATTGAGATGACATCGTGGCTGGAACAGCCTTCTTCTCCTCCGAAGGAGCATCAGAGCGACTGCTGGCGGAGGCGGCGACTGTGCGCTTCCTTTTCTTGGGAGGCGGTGGCTCACTGGGCGGCGGAGGTGGGGGCAAGTCCAATGAACGAGCAGCTGCACGCGCCGCCTTCACGCTGCGTGGCGCTGGTCGCTGCGATCGGAAATCATCCGCAGCAGCAGGCAAGCCTGGAGCAGTGGCAGATGAGCGCGGTTCACCTCCTGCTGCTGCCGGCGGAGGTGGCGGCGGGGGTGGAGGTGGCGATTCTTCGGCCGCTGTCTCTCTGGTCCTGGATTTCTTGCTCGGCGGCAGTGGACTCCTGGCAAGGCTAGATGTCTTACCAGAGGGCTCTTGCTGACGGCTGGGCTCGGGACTGGAGGCACGTCGTTCAGCCGAGTGCCTACTGCCGCCGTGGTGGTCATGCCCAGCATCCCTGGAGCGCCTGTCCTGCTTCTTCGATGCAGATGACAGGGCACGCTCTTCCTGCTCAGCACGCGACGACGTGTCGTCTCTGGTGCGCTTCGAGGCGCCGGCAGAGCCAGCGGTGGCCGCTGCTGCAGGGCGTTCTGTGTCTGGCGGCGATCGGCTACGGGCATGTCGCTTCCGTGAGGACTGACTGCCGTGCTGCTGCTGATGGTGTGCATCGTCTTGATGCTGTGTAGCACCGCCAGCAATGGCCGATAAACGGCTCTGGATAGGATTAGTATGGCCTTTAGCACTGGAGCTGCTGTGAGTGCCATCTCTCCGTGGCGGACTCTGGGACTTGCGAGACTGCCGATCAGCATCCCTGGAGCTCCGTGACTCAACCTTTCGTGAAGAAGAGCTACCGCTGCTGTTGCTTCTGTGGCACGACAAAAAAAAGTGAAGGTGACGAGAAACACTATGTCACTCACAGCCTACACGACGCACCAAGCATGTGCACAAGCCAAACATGTAACCCTGTAAGGGCAAATGATAAGATGTCTCGCTCTGTATAGTATACCTGAACGGCGGATGACAAACCTACGTAAGTTACACACATACCCCCCCCCCCCCCCCCCGCACACATTGAGCCTGTGCATGAGCTGCGCAGTAGCCTGCACCAAGTACATACAACATAACAGTGATCCTACACAAAGACATGCTAGCACTAACGTTGCTACTTCAGCTACTGGACGATGTCGGCTGCTTGAAGAACCAGAACCAGAACCAGAACCAGAACCAAAAGAGGTAGTCGTCCCATGTTTTGATGATGAGTGCTCAGACCTACGTGTATAGGGCAAATAGAAGGAGAAACACGACAGCGAACAGGGTCGGGCCAATGTGAGGTAAAGGTGCAGCTGGTTCATACGTTTCTGGTCATCCGGGCCAGGAAGTGTGTAAGAGACATTATGTCTCATAGAACTCGACATGATGAGAGCAGTGCTCATCTCCTCTCTTATGCAGGCTTTGTCACTTTAACCAAAGGGTAGGGCAGTGGGCTTCTACTTCAAAGTATTATGAACACACACACACACACACACACACACACACACACACACACACACACACACACACACACACACACACACACACACACACACACACACACACACAGTACACACACAAACATGCTACTGGAATTTGATAACTAGCGGGCAAGGCATGCACTAAACCAGCACTACATTTCCTTTGCAGATTTTGCAGGGAAACAATCACTGAACACTGGCAAGCCATAACAGGCAGGCTCTTTACTCACTCCCATATGTTCATTTTCAAAATTTCACACAACACTGGTTTGAATAACATACCGGTAAATAAAGGACAGTTCCCAAATGCAAGACTAGCGGGGTAAGGTTGCTTGTTAAGCTGACAGGCTGGTCTGATACCAGCAGAAATAAGGTCCTAGTCCACCTTGTTGCGATACTAAAATTGTTGTCTCCTCACTGATTATTTAAATACGGTAAAGAAAAAGCTTCCCTTCAAGACTTACCTGGAACTAGTAGTAGTACTAGAAGTAGTGACTGCATGTTTGTCAGAGTGATGATGACTGCTGGCGTGCTTCTCACCAGAGCGAGACGTTGAGCTAGATGAGCTAGCGTCCGGTCGGGAGGAGCGCCCGGAGCCAGACGACTGGCGATGATCGTCACCAGAACGACGAGACGACTGCTGACGGGAGTCAACACCGGAAGCACCTGAAGACTGGCGAGCAGCCGTGTCGTCCTTTGAGCTCCGCGACGACGGCTCCGAACGGCTATTGGCGGCCGAGCCAGAGCTCCGGGAAGACTTTTCACCGGCGTCGACTCGACTTTTACTACTCGACGACTCGTGAGGGTGGCGTGGTGAACGGTCGGCAGCACCTGATCGAGCTCCGGCGACTTCGTGGCGTCTTCCCGGGTCCAGGTTGTGTGATTGATGAGAGGAGCGGCTGCGTTCAGACTCGCGTGACGGATGAGACACGGAGGAGCGAGCCACCGGCGAAGGCGATCGGCTAGTGTGCTCGCGAGTGCTGCGAGACTTGGCGGCCGACATAGAAGAGTGTTTGTGAGTGCTGCTGCTGCTGCTACTTTGCGAATGATGGCGACTATCCGGTTGAGCGCGAACCTCTGCTGAGCTGCCATCGGTGGTCGGCTGGTCACGGCGATCCCGGGAGCGAGACGGACCAGCTGTCTCGTTCGGAACAATCACAACATTGCGGCCGGGCTTCAGCTGGCGCCTGGAGTCGGGCAGGGGACTGTTGCGCCCGCCCTCCGAGTGCTTGAGGGACGCCTCGGAATGCCGCGATGGTGGCTTGTCCTGATAATGGCGCGTGCGTGACGAGGACGATGTTTCTGAATGAGACTCTGCATGCCTGGACGAGCGGTGTCTGTCTGCCACGCTTCCTTGGCGTGACGACACATCAGCCTCATCATACCTTCTTGACTTGCTGCCACCAACCGCGCTGCTACTACTGGATTCCGGCTGTCGGCGATGGGACCGATCTCCAGCACGGACATCATCATGTCTGCGTTTGTCAGGCGAGCGTGTTTCGGTTGTGGGTTTTGCATCCCTCGATCTGGAGCTACTACTCGAATCTGTGGACGACTGACGGGAGCCAGGCGAGGAGCGCTGAGACAGGAACGCCGTCTCCTCGGCAGCAGGAGTCGTGGGAATGGCCGAATCTTGCTCAGTATCCGAGTCTGGGAGCTCACCGTCCGTGTCATCCTCCTCATCCACGGCCGCCGCCGCTGCTGCTGGTGCGGAAGGTGCTGTAGTTGCTGTGGCACCTGCCGCTGGTCTCTTCTCATCTGCACTCTCCTCGTCGACCGGCAATGACGAGCTAGACCTAGACAAGTGAACGAATTACAAAACACCAGTCCATCGCATCAGCACACAGCAAAGAATCGTCCTAACCCGAAAATAGCAATCGCCACGGCAGCTGGCGTTATACAGCACGTGCTGTCACTGCCATCATTAAAAAAATCGATACCGTAAAGGGAATTATCTTCATGGGATAAACCTTTGCGGCGACCCCAATATCATCATCCTCTATGAGGAATTTTTTTCCGTGTCTGGAATGACCATCGATACCATAGCATAAGACACTTGATCTGGGAGAAAGGTTTGAGACTGCTCCTTACTTTGCAAAAGTTCACACAATTTCCTCATCAGACAAAGGAATAGCACAGGCTCGAGGCTCTTTAAAGTCAGCATTCCAAGGTTTCCACCAGTACTTTCATTGCTTTCTCTTCAGGTGGACACAGGCTTTCAAACATATACGTTACACAAGCAGGTGACACTCATGGTGCTTAGCGATGAACAACACCACAGATGCGCTGGACACCTGCTTCTGCCTGTATCCAGCCGAAGAGAAGGCAAGGAAAGTACCAGTGCACACTTTGGAATGGTGCTTGTAAAGAGCCTGAAGCTTGCGAGATTACTTCGTCTCATTGCGAGTTTGTCTCCTTGCAAACAATCTCCCCATATCAGCATTTCCTTACACATTAGCACAATGTCACATAAACAAGTACACAGGGAAGTAAAGTCACGTCAGGCTACATGTACATGCACCAAGCAGTTCACGCAGACGTGATCTACAAGGCGCTGCTAGCTGCGCGGTCCTGCAACAAGCTCCATTCCCCAGCTCCTATCAACAACCAGAGACTGGAGCAAGCGCACGTCGACACAATGTTTGATAGAAGATTAGATGCACACAAAGACAAGAAGCCCTGAGTTTCTAGGCACCCTTAGAGCCCTCTACGTCCCCTCACAGGGCTGACACGAATGTATTTTTGAGCGACACACAGATCGTGCAGGGAGCGGAACGGAACGAGAAAAATGGCGCTGGACCAGCTGGGTGGAATACCATTGACTTCTAGGATACCAAGGGCCAACATAATTGAGTTGGGTATCATCATTTTTAACATCTCAAGAATGCTACTTGGCTATCTAATCCTCATTGTAAATCCAGACTTTTGCATGTGCCTTCCGCCTGGACTAATAAATCTTCACAAAACTTGTACAAGCCAAGAGTGGTTCAAATTCAAACATTTCACAGTTGTACCATAGGGCAAGTATCCAAGTCTGGCCTTAGGTTTGAAGCAACAAGCCATGCATCATCCAAGCCATGCTATAAATAGTATAATTGTATGTTTTGTCAATATTGAAAACGCATGGCACGTGGCAGCCTAAGGAACCATTGATACCAGAGTGTGAGAAGTGTACCGTGATAAGTCTCTAACTACAGTCAACTTCGCTAATAACGACTTCGGATATAACGACAATTCGCGAATAACGACAGAATTTCCATGCCCAGAGCAAAGTCCCATACCACTGTAATACATTATAATGAGACTTCGGGTATAACGACACTTCGCGAATAAGGACACCTTTTTGATGCCCCGCCGAATGTCGTTATAAGCGAAGTTGACTGTAACTTGCCAACAACCCATTGCTTAGCCTTACCTTTGCAAAACGCCCAGGACACGCGTGCAACACACAGACAAATAACACTTCAGAGCAGAGTAACCAACAGCTGGTTTGATACGGCCATTTCACCAGCAACTGATCGAGAGTTGAGCCGCTAGTCGTCATGGTGTTCCACCCATCTGGTCATTTTCCATCGTTTCCGCCATTTTCCTCGCTCTCGTGGGGATGTTTGCACCCGTGCGAGCTACTCGGTAGAGCCAATTACTGAATTCGGTCGCTTTCAACTGCCCAAGCATGCGCTGAGAACCTGATACAGCTGCCTCCTCGTGCCGCACCTTTGCCGCAGTACTCTGTCTGCAGGGTGACCGCGAGCTGCGTCACACTGCAAAAAGGGCGACTGGGGTAATGCGCCTAGCCCACACCGACGGCTCAAGGTGCATGGACACTCATTAGCCAGCACTCAGGGATGAGAATTTTTACAGGTGTGCCACTGACAGCAGACAATAGCTAGCAGGACAAAGGCCACCATCACTTACACATCCGGCTGCAGATCTAAATCATTCTCTGGATGAAGCTCTAAGCCCATGCCGTCGTCCAGTAAATCTTCTCCAGTCTCCGACTCGTACAATAGCTGTTCTTCCTCATCATCATCGAGAAGGCCACCTTTCGTTGTATTTTCCGTCTCGTCTTGCGGCGCTTCCATTGCTAGACAAGCGGCGGAAGTTTTCCCCGCCAAGGAACACCCAATTTACCTGATCTGGTCTTGGCTGCAGATAGTAAGTAAGAAGACAGCAGAGTAGGGGAACAGATCTTCGTTTCTTTCCTACTAAAATCTCGCCACTCCGGTCGCGAGAGGTTAGCAGAGGCACACATGGTGAGTATGGATCTGGAAACACCGCTGTTCGCCACTGCAGACTTCTGCACACTTACTCGTATTAGCCACGGAAATTCCAGCCCCTTTCAGCCGGAGAACGAAGCTCGGTGATGGTTGGCGACACACAAAAACTTCCCTGCTTCACGATGCTTCTGTTGTTTCCACATGGGCAACTGCTCCAGAAAACTTACAAAAATATTTTTATGCCTCCCGGTAGCAGTGCGCGCGTTGAGGGTCACAGTCCAAACTCCAGCAACAGCAACGGTTGAATCCACCGACAGTTTTATCAGCTACCAAACCAAGCTCCTCAAGTAATAGTTGCATGCAAGAGTTCGGCTTCCCCTCTCTCTCTCCCCTGCTTTCCTGGCAAACACTTCTTTCCACGGTCACTTGCAGCACTGAAAATTCTTTGCACCAGGGAGTCGTAAAATACTTTACGACTCCCTGCTTTGCACGCTTGTTTTGTTGGTTGCTTTCTTTTTCTTCGGTTGACTGAAAATTCGTTTCGAAAAACACCACAAATTGTAGCCGGTTTGCAATGTCGTCAACAAAATCGGATGCTGTAATACTCTGTAATACTCAGATCAAACAAAACTCGTGTCAATTCGTCAATACCCCCAGCTCAAACCTCTACAATTTTTGTAGGAGGCCTTCTGCGATGATCAGGGAGTAGTAAGATACCGGTATTTTACTACTCCCTGCCGATGACATGATCGTCTGGACTTCAAATATTTTTCCATGAGAAGTCGTGTTCAATTCAAGATCAAGTGCTGTTGAAGACGATCATTCTCAGTTTGCTTTTGGAATGTAGAAGACCATCTCTTTCTTTCCTTTGTTGTTTGCTTTACTCGGATTGTCCTCGGCGGAGAAGCTGCCTTGAACGCGAAATGGCGACTCTTGAAATTCGGATAAAGCGTGCAAACAAGACCTTCAAAGAAGGCGAAATTATTGCTGGCGTCCTGGTAATAAACAGCAAAAGTGAAATAGCTCATAATGGCATCAATCTTAGCATGGAGGGCACAGTCACCTTACAGCTCAGTGCACGAAGTGTGGGACTCTTCGAGGCTTTCTATAATTCGCTAAAGCCGATAACAGTAAGTTGCCTTCATTATTCATTTTCAAAATTCTGATATGAACTGTCAGATGTCCCCTTTCCATTCTTCCTCAACCAGGTGACTATCAAATTTCTTTACTGTTTCATTTTCTGTTCATTTGCTCACATGGAGTGGCAAGGTCGTGTACCAAGTTATGGTCTGGCTCTCGACTGAACCTGTTCGTTTAGCAAGTCTTCTAATCACTTGCTTTTCCCTTGTACAGTTGAAGCGGTTTTGATGCATATTGCAAGCACAGGTTTGGTACTTGTGTTTCAGTTTTTCAGTTTTTACTGAAACACTGATTGCAAGAATAGTCACAGAGATCGCTCACAGCACACCAATATTGGACCACATTGGCCACATGCAGTTGGACAGGAATAAAATGAAGCGAGGCAGGCATGACGGGAACGTTTCAGATCCGTGACAAATGGAGGGCCAATGGCCAGATATTGATGCTCAAGTCGTTGCATCCTAATACATATAGAGATGTTGTTTACAGTGTGCTGCGGAAACACGAAATACCAATGAAGTAATGAGCCTGAGGTGGAGCGGACAGGACATGGGGAGGGTCAGCGGATACTTAAATGTATTGCTGTTTGTGCACATGTGTGTGTGTGTGTGTGTGTGTGTGTGTGCACTCCTGCCTGCAGCTCGTCGACAATAGTATGGTAATGGCTAAGCCGGGTAAGCTACCGGCTGGTAAAACGGAGATCCCGTTCGAAATACCACTTAAGGCTAAGCCGAACCGAACACTCTATGAAACGTATCATGGCGTATTTGTCAACATCCAGTACCTGCTCAAATGTGAAATGAAGCGGACATTGCTCGCTAAGGACCTCACCAAGCAGGTACTTATCGTGTGTGTGTGTGTGTGTGTGTGTGTGTGTGTGTGTGTGTGTGTAGTGTGTAGTGTGTGTGTGTATAGTGTGTCCGTGTGTGTATGGTGCGTGCATATGTGTGTGTGTGTGTGCGTGTGTGTGTGTGGTGTGTGTGTGTCTTTAATGCTATAAACTGGTAGATGTATAAACTAGTAGATGGAGGCCAGTGTAGACGTGGGTTGATCTAAAAGGTGTGACAATGCAGACCTTGCGCATGCCCATACAAGTGCGACTAAAACGCTCCTACTCGATGTCTCTGCGGAAAGCCGCGTGTGTACGAATGCATGTCCTGCCCTCGTCTCGTATCTCGGGGTTTGTTTCAGCACGAGTAGGAATGGGTCTCTAGTGTCCGAGTAGGCCTTACAGTGCATGTTGTCATGCATTCTGTCAACTCTATGTCTTACCCTGCTGTTGATCCAGTGCTTTTGCCACTTTGTCTGACACGGTGCAGGATTATTTCCTGCTCTCTGGCTTATGCTGTTCTCTTCCGTACGTCTCTGCTTTCTGTATAGCTGTTTTCCGGGCTTTTATCATCATCAGCTCTAATTTGCACATCTGAGCCTCTGTGTGCGTGTGTGTCTGTGTCTGTGTCTGCTCGTGCGTTGTTTGTGTGTGTGTGTACCCGTGTGCGTTTGCATTTTGATATTGCTGCTACTTCCTGTGTAGACTGAGTTCATTCTTGAGTACCGTGATCAGAAGGAGAAGGTAACCGTGTCGCCAGTGGATTTCTCTGTCTCGCCAGACTCATTGACAAACGTCAAGGAGAGAGCCAACGTGCCCAAGTTCCTCGTGAAGGGAACGCTAGATTCTGTATCGTGCAAGATCATGGACGTAAGACCTTGATTATACAGGTTACCACTTCCTGTGAAAGTGTTCGACCTGCAATAGAAACATGAGACTTTAGCTGTGTTCTCAACTGGCGCATCTACATGTACGTGGTGCGTTTGCAGTACATGCGTGCCGAAAACTGTGTTCTGGCTTTCTAAATCGTTTACCCCACCAATGAAAGTGACTGGTATGTACTTCTGTGTGCGCCTGACATGCGCTCATAAATACGAACGTTGGAATTTTCATTGCAGTATGTTTGAATTGTTTCCGTTTGCATGATGCCTCCAAAGCCTGCGAAATACGCATAACGTCAGGTTCCCTTGTACGCACGCCAGCTCTGAACACAGCTTCAGCTTGTTGTAGTTTGTTCTGTTATCTGGAGAGGTTGTATTTTACTGTGCCTTTAGTGTTTATGTATATACTGTAGTGCTAGTAATGGCAGCAACTGACCATTACTAGTACAGTACAGGGTGGTGGGACACTCCTCTCTCTCTCTCTCTCTCTCTCTCTCTCTCTCTCTCTCTCTCTCTCTCTCTCTCTCTCTCTCTCTCTCTCTCTCTCTCTCTCTCTCTCTCTCTCTCTCTCTCTCTCTCTCTCTCTCTCTCTCTCTCTCTCTCACTCACTCACTCACTCACTCACTCACTCACTCACTCACTCACTCACTCTCTCACTCACTCACTCACACACACACACACACACACACACACACACACACACACACACACACACTTATGTATCTACCTGTGCACATGTGGTCGATGTGCAGGCGCTGACAGGCAATGTGAGAGTGGAGAACTCCGACATTCCAATCAAGTCCATTGAGCTGCAGCTTGTTCGCGTCGAGACCTGCGGATGTGCTGAAGGCTACGCAAAGGACGCTACTGAAATTCAGAACATCCAGATTGCAGACGGTGACGTGGCACGCGGTGTTTCAATTCCCGTCTTCATGAGCTTCCCGCGTCTGTTCACGTGCCCGACAATTGCAACAAACACATTCAAGGTCAGTGACTGTTCTTGTCATTATTCTCTAAGTTGCCGTACATGTTCTGGACTGGGTACAGCTGAGTCTGCTAGTCTTGATTTAGTACTAGGGCTGTATTGTACATGTACATGTACTGGAGAGACAGACAGTCAGACAGAGAGACAGACAGACAGACAGTCAGACAGAGAGAGAGAGAGAGAGAGAGAGAGAGAGAGAGAGAGACAGAGACAGAGACAGAGACAGAGACAGAGACAGAGACAGAGACAGAGACAGAGACAGAGAGACAGAGAGAGAGAGACAGAGAGACAGAGACAGAGAAACTGAGAGGCTCGGAGAGTCACGAATGCTGTGCAAATGCCTGCGCTGGAATTTGCGAGCAATTGAACACTATAAATAAATGTACTATCTGATAACAATACAATCATGTTGGTGTAACAGAGAGAATTTTTCTATTGAATGCCCCGTGAACTACATGCATCCGTTTTAGGCTTAGGGGTTACCCAGGTATCCTGGTCTTGTAGTTCAAGTGCACACTTGGCTGAATGACTGCTTAGCGCTTGCTGGCATGACCATCATCCCTTCATGCACCTACTTGACAACTGAGTCTGACCAGGGTCGTTGTACTGTGTGATGTCACTCTTCAATTGAACATGCAGGATATGATGCCATTTGCTAGGAATTTGTGATGATGTAATGGCTGAGTAGGAATGCATTCAGTGTGTTGTCTTGTTCTCAATGACTGTATGACTGTTGTTCAGGTTGAGTTTGAGGCCAACGTCGTCATTGTTCTGCAAGACGACCATCTTATCACGGAGAACTTCCCAATCAAGCTGCTGCGCTTCTAGAAACCCACGCCTGGCCTGCACTGGGTGCTCGGCATGGGCATGCAGCACTGGAGGAAGAGAGAAAGAAAGAAAGAAGCTGTGACCCATCCACTTGCTGGCAAGTGGTGTGTGTGTGTACAGTGAAGTGAGTGATTAGCAGTTTCTACTCATACTAATGGCTTGTATTGCATTGTGTAAAAGGCCGCCTTTTTTTGATATACGTTTAGAATCAATTCTTTAGTGACCCAGCTAAACACGTTCCTGAGCATGTCGGACCCAAGCCAATGAGAGATTCCCTTCATGAAATTATTCTTCATATTCGAAACATTCTCTGCATGCAACGTTAATTTTACGGAAGCAGTCCCGTCTTCTTCATGCCTGCTGGTGATTTCTTGCAAGGATGAAACGTTCTTCAAAAATCCTCACAATCATTATTCGCTGCTATGGAAATTCGTGAGAGAGTCTATCGTTACTCTTTAGTGAACTCATTCTAACGCCGTCTACGCACGGTTCTGCCCCACTTCCGTTCTCACACACGCACACACATTACCACATGTTTCCATGACAGCAAATGCTCTGGTCAGAAGGTAACGATTTCAATAGTGGACAAGTACTGTTGTTCTGTTGCAAATACCTTGACTATATTGCCAAATATTTAAAAAAAAGATTTTTCTTGTTTTTCCGTTTGTTCCGCGTCTCGAAAAGGGTTTCAGTTTTGAGAACATCGTAAGACTAAAAAGTAGAAAATATTTGTTCATCTGGATATGCCTAGCACAGGGTCAACAGACCCGGATTGTTGATATTGCCGCGTTTCATAAATCCTAAAATCCTACGCACGGTATAATTTATATTTTTCAGACTGCTTAGATCATCGTACAGTGTGATCTGGATGGGGATGTATGCAAAAGCAAATAGAAAATTTCTGCATTCAAGGAAGAAATCATTGTCTCGCTGCAGCATGTCTCAACAGGTAGTAGCACGGTGTTGTTGGATGTGTGAGGGGAGCAAGGTTTGTTGCTAAGTGTCTCTCTCTCTCTCTTGACTTGTATGTCTACATAGGTGGTAAGCAGTGTGCGTATATGTAGGTCTATGCGTACGCGTGGCACAGCAAATTTACTATGGGACAAAGATCAACGCTCAAATGGTTGGGATTCAAAGAGGCGGTGGCAGCAGGACTTCCTACGTTCTGCACCTTCCATCCTATTCGAGTGTGCCTGGAGGTCCTTCCGTGGGATAATTAACTCCATGATCAAGCTCCATGACGTCAACAGGGTGCATGCTCAAGCGCTGCGCTGTCTTGGTGTCCGTGCGCGTGACGCTGGGCCGAAGGGAGGTGCGCCGCTGACTGGGACTCACAGACTGTGCTACTGTTGTTGTTGTTGCTGCTGCTGCTGTTTCTACTGCTGCCGGCGCATCACTATGCTGGTGTTGGCGTTGTCGTATCCGTGGCTCGTAACTAGACACTGCAGTCGGCGGCTGGTCGTGCTCATCTGGAGGGGACGCGAGGGGGTGCGGTGCAATGATCGATTCTAGTGTCTGCGTGGCAGCGGGGAACATCACCCCGGTTGACGTGGAGTACATTATCTGGGCTGTCTGGCTGGCGAGCAGTGGTTCTCGTAGGGGCTGCTGCCGAGTTGTTCCAGGCTGTTCCTCGCCGAGAGGGGCTCCTCTGGCACCTCCACCTTCGCCAACTACCACCGTCTCGTCGAGCGATCTGTGATAGTGCACACCGGGTTCGGCTAGTTTGGAGCGCGCTGTGCTGGCATCTCCGACACGCTTTGGCGGCACTTCTGCGTCTTCGGTATTAGCGGCCGCCGGCTCGTGCGGTTGAGGCGTGACCTGGGATTGAGATATAGGTGACGATGGATGGAAGTCAAAGTCGCTCTGGAGAATGTTCTCCTGGCTCTCGATCCAGCTAAGAACGCGGTCTTTGTTCATTGGACTCAAGCGGAACTGGTCCCGTCGCGCTGCCGCCACTGAGCTAAACTCATTGTAACCCACAATGGCGTGATCACTAGCAGCGCGGCCGAGGCCAGGAGGTGCTGACACGTGCGATTTCGCGGCCATGTCAGCCGGCCGAGCGTACGCCGCAGTGGCAGCGTTTGTATCCGCCGCCTGCCAGTCGCTGGCTGTCTTCACACAGGCACCGCCCGCAGAGCCGCTGTCGAGACGAGTGCGCCAGCGGCGTTGCCGATCGGGCGCCAGTGTGCGGTGTACGTCCATGCGCTGGCGTTGCATGTCACGTCCTGCAGCCGCCGTGGCAGCGGCTGCAGGACTGCCCGGCTCGGATTGGCTTTCCATGGCGTCGCGCGAGGCTCGCGCGGACGGGGGCACAACTTCCACCTCGTGTCCGCCAGCCATGCCCGTGGCGTCTCGGTAGAGATCGTCCAGTGCTATGCCATTGTCGGAGGAAACCCGTCGTAGTGTGCACGACTTAAACACACTGTGCCGCCTTGCATCCGCCTCCACGTTGTCACCGGGCAATGCCAAGTCTTGCAGCGGCACGCTGAGATTCTGTTCGGGAATATTGGCGTCTGGTAGGCTACAGGATCTTCCTTGAGCTGACCTTCTATGGCCGCCCACTGAGACTTGGCTTTTGCGCGCGGTCACCCTCTCCACTACGGACAACGACGACGTGTCCTCGAACGACTGTCTTGGCGTAGGTTCCAGAACAAAATGTGATTGTCGTGTGTCCAGCACATTGCCAGCAGCTGCCAAACGCTGTAGCGACTCGCTGTACTCAATGGCCGGAAGGCTTCGATCACTGGGCTCCGGCGAACGGCGAGCGGGGGACGCGACCTCCATCATGTTGCCCCCGATACCCTGACCCTGATGGCTGTATCTGCCGCGCGTTGGCTCGAGAGCACCGGCAACTGTCGTGCTACCTGCACTGCCAATGGGAATGTTCATGTCCTCAACATTGATATTGGCAGTGATCACAGCCCAACCCTCGTCGGGCACAAAGTATCCTTCCTCGAAGCCGGGCCGATGGAAGCGGTGCGTGATTGCGGATATCGTTGATGGCAGGGCTCGAAGGGACGGGTGCCGTGGCTGCAGTGATCCGTCGGCAGACTGCTCGAATATCGGATTGGCCACCACCTCACTGTTGGCAGCGCGGGTGCCTCGTTTGCGCCTCCTCGCCGCCATCAGCCACACGGAGAGACCACCGACAATGAAACCGGAGAGGAACACGGCACAGACAATGACCAGCAGGTGGAAGACCTTCAAATTGACGCCTCCTGCACCCTCGCTCCTCACCACAACCGTGGTTGCCGTGACGACGGTCGAAATCGGCTTGGCAGTTGCCATGGAGTTGCTGGGCAGGTGACGGGTAGTGATGTCATCGGTGGTGGTGTTGGATAGGTACGGCTCTGTTGGAGTGTCTACGTCAGTAGTTGTGACGTTCTCACTGTCTACGTTTGTCCCGTCGTTGAGCACAGCTCCGCTGGCTGGTGCTTCTGGAGTGCACAAAACACACACCGCAAGCACGTACATACTGTTGTGTTAGTTCTTACCGAATACACTGAACCATACGCAAGGAGAGTTACACTCCCAGTGCTTATCCCACTCCATACTGTAAATCAACATAATCTTATATTCGGCGCCTATTTATTTTCGGCTCTTTCCGGCCTCAGCCTTCGGGGTCTAAAATTCAGCGCGGCTGAATTATTAGTATGCATGGTACAGCGTGACACAGTATACATACAGAGGGAGTAAAGGCTGACATTTACACGCGCTGACGATTTGTGGACTTGCAGTGCCTTGTTATATTTCAAAGGCCTTGTTTGAGTGTACATTGTACTGTGAGAGTAAGTACTTCACATTCGGGTACACATTGTGCCACCTGTCTGGATGACCTTGCTGCTTTGTCTTCCCTAAACAGGCGAGATGGATACGTCTCTTACGTGGCACTGAGAAAAAAATCCATCGATAGCTCAAGAAACGGTACCAGTACACCACTTCTTCTCTCCTCGTACTAGACCTAAAAGATGGACATGTGCCGGCAGGGTTTGTAAACTTTATGCCCGAAAAAGTAGCAAATAGCTAAACTTTAAATTGTGAGAGCTACATTTACTCGCATCACTTTCAACTCTTACAGTAGTTCCTGCATCATGCAATGCAGCTGTCGGGAAACATGTGCCTCCTAACTTCACACACCCCTCGGTTCATGGGAACTACTAGGTTGGAAGTGTAGCCAATGACTCTATTGAAACCAACTTCACACCTCTGCAAGTCCATGAGGACAAACTCAGGACAACAATAAAAGGGGCAATTGCCGGGTATTTACCCAACCGATCGCTATCTTCCGGTTATAGCGGGAGTGGAATTCCCTACCACGACAGAGCTAGAGGCCAAACAACATGCTTGTGTTCAAAACCAATGGACAGAAGTCCAACCCAGTTGACAGTTTATTTGCCGGGGGCCGTTCCGGTACTGCTGACTACGTCCCCAATGCCATCCTTGATCATGAGCACTAGCTTTGTGTGGAGTCACGAGTCATGATTAGATTTTTATCAAGCATCTCCCAACCTCATTCCCGCTCGTTCCTCATTCTTCCTTCCATTTGGCAAATGCTGGTTTTTAGTGTAATTACTCAGCATTATTTGCAATAATAATTATTATAATCTCCCAAGGAAGTCATACTACTACTACACTGTAGTACATATGTAGTTGTCCAGGCAATGCTGTGCAACACTAAAGGAAGTCCCCGGGTTGCAACACGGAGGTCGGGTCGCCAGCCGCCCCATGCAGCCAGTGCCCTGGAGCTACGTATGCATGGACTGCAGTGGCACAGGGCAGTGTTGAACTAGGTACACATGTACTACTACTACTACTACTACTAATACTACTACTACTACTACACTACAGCAACAATGCCATGACTTTCTGCACACAGGATAACCGTTAGTCCCCCGCACATGTCACACGGAACTTGCAACCTACCTAGTCCTACAGGACTGAGCAGGAGTGGCAGGATGGTTACATCCTTTTCCTTGCTGCAGACAAAACTTGTGACCAGTGTCCTGCATACAAACTGAAAGTACATGTACTACTTGTATCATGTTCAGGTCTGCTCTATACTGCTTCCTACATTTTTCTTGATATATAGCGGAGCTGACGGCTCAAGTTCACACACGCAAACGCACACCTGTGCGCGCGCACACACACACACACTGGTGTGTATCTGTGTATGTGTGTGTGTGTTTTAGTGTATATTGTAGTGTGTGTGTGTGTGTGTGTGCATTTTCAGCCTTATCGTAGGTATCAGTTCTGATGCTAGCTAATGTTTTCCCGGTATCACTGTTTGCCTACATGTTCTCTACGCGAGTAACTACCGTAGTCATGTACGGTTGACCAGGACTGCAGTCATGTAAGTCCCACCCAGTCAGTTGTATGAACACCAGTGCCGGAGTGGAGCTCCACAGCACTGCACTACGCTGATACAACGTGATCATTATCACTATATTTCATCATTTCATGGCACATAACATGGCCAGTATAAGGATGTGAGCGTGACGAACCAACCACAGGGAGAAAAAGAAGAAGAAGAAAAAGAAAAGAAAAGAGAGATAACAGTTGACTACAACGAGACCGTGGTCAGCCTATTTCACATCACGCAGTGCATTCTTAAAATCTGAGATGTCAGAGCATGACAGCACCACAGCCTAATAATAGACTGGTCTCAGGAAAATCACGCCCGAATCCACCGTATCCCAAATAACTGTATGTGCACCCAAGACTGCGCCTGTTTGTATGTGAACTCCACGCCTGTACATTTGTAGTGCCTTCCGCATACAGCAAATACTTCCTTACACAATACAGTGCGTTTGTAACATCCTCAACTCGATACCAGCCATTGCAGATCACTCACTCCTATGGTGCATTCCGCTTACAGCAGTTCCCTAAATAACTCAGTCTGTGACATCCCCGAACTCGACACCACCCGTTTCATTTGTTCTTCAAAACTTCTACCGGTATGGTGCCTTCCATTTACAAAAAATCCTTACAACAACAAAACCAGTCCACTAGATGTATTACATGTACATTGTTGAGTAGGCGAGGGATGTAGCGAACTTCACTTTGTATGGAACTACGCGTCTTTAACAGAAAGCACTATTGGTGCAAAAAGAAGTGTAACAGTTGGTGTAGAGTTGAAAGGATTTAAAGGTCGACTTGGGCCCCATGCAATGGAATTTAACTCCTTTGCGGGTTAAAAGCAAAACATGTACCTGAGACAACTAAGGCATAGCACATGATTGCATACAGTAGATAATTCACATATTGCACAAGCTGTCACATACCTGCAGCCCTGACCATACGTCTGTGGTGGGCGCCAACCCGCTTCACGCCCGCCGCGCCAAACGCTTTCACCACGCTGCTCAGTGTATCGAACAGTCCATTGGCGTCTGAACTACGCTCGATGCCTGCAGACCTTACGCCGAATGCTTCAACTATTACCGGCAGCAGTTCTGTATGACTCTGGTGGCTAGCAGTGGACACGGTAGGCGCTACAGCACCACTGTCGTGTATTCTTCTCAGGAGGTGTAACATGTCTGCAAGCCGGTTAACATCCCAGCCATCAACTCCTGCATCGTTCGACAACACCGGCGCAGCGTCCACGCTCATTGCTCCAAGATTCAGCATTCCGTCGGCTAGCACAAACACTAAGAGAAGGGTGCACACAGAGGTCAACTGATGTCGGCAGCAGCAGCAGCAGAGAAAGGAGTTCACAGCTCCGTGCTGGAATACCAAAAGCATATCCAGATAGATGACAGACTTCAGGCGCCTCAGCGTCACATAGCACTAATAATTATTATAATCAGCAGAGCTGCTTCCGTACTGCTTGGCAAACAACCGCCAAATCCATATCCATTTGCCAACAACTCCCAGAAACTACTGCGCAGAAGAGTCTGGACAATTATTTTTGTTGATGGGCGGAATTTCGTCTGAGATTGACGATCATTCCGCGCATAGCGTTCGGGTCAGATCACTGGCCTAGCGTAGTCCAACACTCACTCCAGGTTTTCACGCGGACGATGTGCCGCAGCAGCAGCCCGGGCGTCCTCCGCACTGTTCACAGAGTTCAGGGTGACCTGCGCCCTGACAGCCACTTTACCAACGTTACATGAAGCGAGTACACATCGTCTTGCTGATGTTAGTATTGCAGTATTACATCAGTCGTTGCTCCATTTAGCTCAGGATCTACCGACGTTGGGACCACGGCGGTTATCAATCCAACATCAGCTCGGCAGGCCAGGGGCTTAGCACATATTTTCCATCTGTCCCTGCCTGAAGTCTCTGTTGACCGCCAAATGACACTGGTTTCGTATGGACACGAATATTGACATCCACAATTGCATGCCACGCTGACATTTACATGGCAGATACCAGCACACTATTCTCGGCCGCTATCATGACTTCCAGTAGTATGCCTAAGTAAAGGCTAGCGAGCTTGTCTCCAACTCCAACAAACACCATGCACTTCTTGGCACACCACGGCGCGAGCGGAGCGGAATTTTCACGAAAATGGCAATTGTGACTATTTTCATCGGCGCGTGGTATGGGTGCGAAGTGCAATAACCCACTCTATCTCGACCAGGTTCAGAATCTACGCCTGCAGTGACGACGGCGCTTAGCACCTCGTTCCTCTGGCACATGTCCTCGCAACGGTGCAAGTGCAAAGTGCGCTAGCTAGGGCCGTCCGTGCCTTGCAGCTTGCCGAGGAAATAGATTGTGCATAATGTGAGTGTGTGAGGGTGGCATGGCAGGGTAAAGAGTATGCGACAACGTACGTAGGCATGGTGCGATAGGATAAACTGACACCGTTTGCCATGATTTTCTATGAACCGGCACTCATTTGCCGTAGAATTCCTATGTGTTGTACTGGAGAAGCGTTTCCTGCCACACATCAACCTGAACAAGCTGCGGATCCTGCGGATGAGGACGTCGTTCACGCTTGAACTCGCTCACGCGAGCCGAGTGTGTATGCAGATATGCTGGGCAAAAATAGAAAGTGTGCTCCTCTCGTCGAGAGAGTGTGTGTGAACTCCGCTAGCGCTGAACTGAAGTCTGAAGTCAGAGTCGACCTGGTGAGTGAGTGTTGCACTCTTGCAGTTGGATAAAATGGAACTGCGCATTGTTGATCCAGACATGCACCGCCTGCGTTGTTTTCAATACGCACGCACGCACGCCGTTGTGAGGCACCAACTACAGTGCAGGCAACTGAAATCCGACCCCCTTGGCGGCGCACCGCCCCACCAAGGGGGTCGGATTTCAGTTGCCAGCACTGTAGCTAGCTATGCAGTCACGGCATTTTATTGCCATAATTATTGCCTTATTGGATTATCACACGCGTGGAATCGTTGACTGGATCACAGTGCAGTGACTCGCTGCATACCAATGCCATGGGTTGTTGACAGGTTGCCTTTTCAGTTTCCACCAACACTGCAACAGACTGTCGCCTTGTCGGTAGATCTACTCCGTCTCCTACAAGCAGTGAATGTACATGTATGTAGCAGGGAGTAGTTGTCTATGTAGTGAGGGAATTAATTATTTGAAAAAGTTCTGATCTAGGCAAAGAATGCACCCTGGCCGGTGTGCTGAAAGGCCACCATAATAATTGCACATGGCTGTTTGTCATAATCACTGACTCTGTTGTACTTGTACTACTACTAGTTGTAGTTTTAATAGAAGTGAATGTGTAAGTGCCAGATGGTGGGGCCTGTATGTAGACCATGGTAGACCATGATGTATTAATATTACTGCATGTACTTACTAGCTGCTATGTTACTGGGTAGTGCAATGGTTGCTGCTAGTGTGCACGGGTACCTGGTCGTGCTACCCGTGATATGAGGACCTCGGGGTAGACGGGTAGGGCCGAAAACCCGAAGTCCTAGATGACATTATGTACAGTGCACGTGTACAAATAATTCATGTAATACTCTGCATGTCCACCCAGTGTGTAAGGGAAGGGGGACATTGTGGTGTTACCATGGAAACATTACCCGATCGGGTACCCATGCTACCCGTGTAAAATTACCCAATACCCGAAGAAAATGCTACCCGGCTCAGCCCTAGTTGCTGCAATGACGCCCTATTATTATTACTGACAGTGGGTGACATGTGTGTGTGTGTGTGTGTGTGTGTGTGTGTGTGTGTGTGTGTGTGTGCGTGTGTGTGTGTGTGTGTGTGTGAGGTGTGTGTGTGTGTCCCAGTGTGGTGTGTGTTGGGGGGGGGGGGGGGGGGCTAGAATATAAGACAACAGTCAGAGGGGGTTCACCAAACCGTGAAAACGTAGCCGGGCTAGCCAAGTAAGTTCATGGAAACCATGATGCCCAGGGAGCAAAACACGAACCATCAATTGATTGCTTGCCCAATACAATTGACATAATTATCACAGCAAGCAAGTGCATACATTAACCTTCCATGGTTGGCAGAGCCCCTGTCCCTGCGGACCATTTGAACCATATGGGTATCGCACCCGGTTCTGACCCTCATTATGCTAGGGGGTTAGGAGACTACTCCTGATACTGGTTTTTACCCAATGTTAGGTTATATCATACCAAGTGCATACATGCGTGGGCCACCGTCTGCATGGCGGAGGAGGGAATATTCCTGGCTTATGTGAAGACACTGTTGTGTTGGGTCTGCAAGCCACGCAGACTGAGTCCCGGGATGATTGCCACGCAGACTGAGCTCCGGGATGATTGCCACGCAGGCTGAGTCCCGGGATGATTGCAACACTATACAGTCAGCTGTACACTAGAGACACCATCGCAGTAGTATTTCGAGGAAACCTTTGCCCCTCCATTGCAAACCTCTAAAAACAGATACATGTATTGTTGTGATTGTTTCATACAGAATGTTAGTCATGGGCACAGGCCGCGAATCGTGACGGCTGAGACGCTCTGACTGTGTAGTGCATGAGTGCCAGTGGCGACTCGAGATACTCTAATCTAAGTACTTCGAAGTAATTTAGTTGAGTTGCAGTTGAACTTGCAGTCCACTCTTAAAATCATACGATATACATGTACATGTACATGTACATGTACTACACACACTGAACCTGGCTCTAGCACTACAGCCCGGCGTCATGGCTGGTAATTCAGCTCCATTTCAGCTCCCAGCTGCACTGATGAGGCCCCATTGGCCCCGAAACAAGTTGCTAGTACCTGTCTGTCTGCAGCGTAAATAATGAATATGTTCGCAATGATTATTCTCTTCCCTCAACTGTAGAAGATTCATGCCACGCTTAGTTCTCATACCCTTGTGTTGTGCACACTTTTGTGAGAAATCACACCTTGGTATTTTAGTGCTGTCATTGTACTCAACCTGCGGACCCTACCTTGATTGCTATAATTATTATTTCCTTTGTTCTCATTTGTTCTTTAATACTTTTTATAGTCAAGCTTAGTCCGCTGATGATTGGATCGTTTGCATGCCACTTCGGAGTAGAGAGGGTTTAGCCTGAAATCCATGCTGTGTGAGTAAGGGTTAAAGATAACACCAAGTCAGCTGCTGAGCATCACAATATATGAACACATACGCGTTATAAAGTTGCTTCACTTATATAGTATAGTATGGGTATTCTATCTGAATGATGTACAATGTAACACAATCATGTACTTGTAACATGTACGTACATGCAACTGACACAGAAGAAGACAAAAGCCAGCTGAGTGACTGAGTCAGTTATAACTGTGCCCCTGAGTTACCCTGCATGCCTCAGTCCCATCACTGCATCAGTGACTACTATGATGGTTGATCATTGATTAGAGCATACTCCATGCCACATAGATATAGCTGCACACCCATTCCGCAAGAGATAACGCCATTACTATTCCCAATAGGCAAAAGCACAGGCTGCACTGGTCCACGGTAGATAGGTTTCCCGGCAAATCCCCAAGGTAGCAGAGTTAGTCCACACAAGGTGGTACAGTGCGTCCAAGAATAATTTCCCTGATTCTTACACGTGTGTAGAACTTCTAGAAGTAGCAGGCACATCCCGAGCACTGAGTGCGGTGGCCTTTGACTTGCTGCCACAGGACTACAGAGCATGGCTAGTTTAGCACATGCAATACCTCATGGTACTGATTTCCGTGCACATGTCACAGTACCTAATATCAACTTGAAGTATTGATTACCAAAACAAAGAACTCAGCACAAAAGCCGAGCCTCAGCAGGATCTAGGAGCTGCACGTACATAGCCTCTTATGTCAACATAATAATATTTTTTAAAAGAGTCAAGGGCAAACCCATGTGTCACACAGTGTCAAGGACTTGGTGCTGAAAATGCCGTAGTTCTAGTACCAGTTGGACCAGCGGAGGTACTAGGTGTGGCTGGGTATGGTGTCCCACTGTATTCAATACTACATCCTACTTCCAAGCAGTATTGAAAGTACTATAAACTCACAGCTAGCAGCTGAGAGCTCAGTATGCTCTTGTCTTGGCAGTACGCTACTGCACGTCCCTATTATAACCAGAAAAAATTAAAACATTTCACGGTTCGCGTGAGACTCGGCCAAATGCCGAGTTTTCCACATCCCCAGGAACGACACCACCCTCGTGGGAGGTGAGTAGATCAGACCCACCAGCAAAGTGGTCAAAGACCGAAAATCCCATTCAGGCAGGCATAGTGGGATGGTCTAAGACCATGATTGAGAAACAACGGGTACCAGGTTCAAGTCCTGTTTGGAAGCGGAAGGATTTTTTCCAGCCGTGCTGCGACCCACAGTTAATTGGGAACTCGTGGCCTGGCACAAGGAAAACATGGATGCAGTGAATTTTAACCAGAATATTTGAGACAACTACCACCAAGGCACCAACCACTGGGGACTGTGATTTGCAGGAAGTATCAGCCAAGTTACAACCTGGTTGGTAAGACCGCTCTTCAAAGACGGTGTAGTATTCTATTCCCTACAGTTCAGCCATCACGGGCAGCAGTTAACCGGGGCCCCTCAGCAACTCAAACACAATTTGCTAGTCCCACACGGTACTGAGAGAGAGAGGAAGCCATGTTGCGACTCTGAGTTTCACGTTAGATCACAATCATCCAGCTACCGCAGTCTCAACACAATACACTCTACATTACGTGAAACGGCAAATTTTAGCGCCAGTGATATTTTAGCGGTTTTAGTGAATGGAGTGTTCTCGCTTAAATTTTTGCATGAACAGTACAGTTCTGGTCATATTTTTTTTAAACTCTGAAACTCGCACTAAGTCTGAAACTCGCACTAAGTCTGAAACTCGCACTAAGTCTGAAGCTCGGATCGCTTAAATAGTTCATCGCGAATTGATTCAGATGCAGAAAGCACTAAAATTTGAAATTTCTCCCCGCTAAAATTTACCTTTCAACAGAACCCCAGGTGCTCAGTATCATGTTGCTTAGTTTGTGTAAACACACTGTGCCATGCCGCTGCAAGCACCAGGTATACCCTGAACTGCAACACCGCCAACCATCTCCCAGTTCTCCTGGCGATGCAGTCCTATTTCAGTGACAAAGATCAAGCAGGGTGTAACTTAGGATAGAGGCACCTCGGTGACGTATTACGGTAGAACTTCAATGTCCCATAACCCGGGACGTTGTGAATGGAAGCTGCCCGAATTTAAAACACATACTGTTTGCATGGAAGTTAACATGTTTTACGACAATTAAAAATAATTGGTATCGCTTCTCGTTGAAGTCATTTGTGTGACCTAAGAGGCATCAAAGAGGTGCCCCCAAGACGGCAGTACCTGGAGTAGGCGAGCAGTGCTGTATGAGCATTACCTTCAGTAGCAGCATGTGCTACGTAGTGTGTTAAAAAGCTATCAACCTGGAAATGAGTATTTCAGATCTAAGTACACAGCATTTAAGTTATGAAATTTTTATCTTTGACTGGCGGCAAGGAATGAATTATAATGTTACAAATTAGAAATTAGAATTAGAACTGCGTCAAGAAAATATCAATTTTAGAATCAGAGCACGTTTAACCAAGTTATCAAACTCAACAGCTTGCTACACGACTAGTACTACTGCACGTGGGACCCAGGGTGGATGTCCTAGCTGTCCACATGTCTAAAGGACGGCATCTGTTGGTAGCACTACTTTCATAATGACCAGCAACTGTGAAGAGACGCATCTATCTATGAGTTCAAAAATTGAGGTATGGCTAGCCACCATACTACCCAATCTAGTAAATCTGTGGATTGTACCAGCGCGTCTTCTCTCGGATGCTTTTCTATCCCGGTGAAAAGTATACGAGTGCAGATATCATGAGCAGCATTGTGAAGAGTGATCCTCTTGCGCCCGCCAATGAAGACGCTTAGTTGTCACCACGCGAGGGACTCAACTGAAGGCGGATCAGCTATGACGTCATCTTACCAGCTTACCCCACATGGATTGCAGGTTACCTGTCAACTGATCTTCCCGGCCTACAGATTGGAGTGCATACAGGGAGCCTGGGCAAGTGCATTGGTCGTGAGCAGGAGATTAGCAGTCACATCCTGATTAGTCATCATCGTCGAAGAACGCTGCATCAAAAATGAAGAAAACAACGAGAGAGCAGTGTGATTGATTACTGTATCACTACCACACGCAAAGCAGCAACAGACATACCCTAGTAGAGGGCTCCACTGCTCGAAGAGTGCTCAATACCCCAGGGCAGACGGAGTCTTCCACATGAGAGAAAGAGAGGAAGCTGAGTTGCCTGATGGTCACGAGGTAACGTAAGGATCAGAGTTCCAAGAAAGCTTAGCCTCTATTTCTCCCAGTGTGTAACAGCAACAAATAGCTGTGTGCAGTCTCAGTAACGGTACGGTGTACACAGGCGCGCGCCCCGTATGGGTTCCTGGGTGCCCGGAACCTCCCTTTTTTCGCTCAAAATGCAGGATTTTGCTTCATTTTTTGAAAATTTTCCCGGGGGAGGTCCCCCGGAAACCCCCCTTGAAGGGCACCGGCGCACGCGCCTGGTACACCACGGATGAACAGAGGGAGCATCCTTGAAGACCTCTGCTTATCGGATGTAGTGGAGCAACACTGAACATACACAACCTTGTAGGAGTTCAAGCAGTGTTACAAGATACTGCTAGTAGTACTACTCAAGTGTAACTACTAAACACATGGATGGACAGAAGCACTGGTACTGGCAGCACAATAGCTGACTTGACTTACGATTGGAAACGATTATGAAACCATCCGAGCCTACATCTGCACACACACAGAATAAAACAAAGACAAATACTATGTTAGCATGACTGGGTTTGCTGCAAGGGACTGTTCAGACCCGCTATGATTAGCACAAATACCGCTTGAAGCAAATGGGGCAGGAGGGGAGGAGTTACAACCTCTGGTCCACGTAGGTGGGCGTGGGTTTCAATCACACTTCTGACACCAAGCGTTGCGTTACTGCAACAGCACTAAGGATAAATGCCCATGCACACTCTCTCAGTCCAACACAACCATCACACTCCCGGGTAGGAATTACAAACTATACTTGATGAAGACAGAAGGAGAAGTCGAGAACACAGGGACAGAGTAGGCATGTAAACAGCACAGGCACGCAACAGTTACCGCTGGTGCATACGAGGTGCATGTGCGTACGCGAAGGTGTGAAATAGGAAGCGGGGTCAAATTACATATGGGTACACTATGCCAAATATATAGGCACAGGTAGGTGGCTGTACAAAACCTTCCTAGGACCACATCTTCTTAGAGCTTGCAAGAAAAAGAGGGAGGGGAGAGGGAGAGAGAGACTCTGAGAGAGAGAGAGAGAGAGAGAGAGAGAGAGAGAGAGAGAGAGAGAGAGAGAGAGAGAGAGAGAACCCCATTGCAGATGGTAGGGATACCCCCTTGCACAGCAGGGCTGTCGGAACTGGTGCGGCAGGTGCGGCCAAAGCCGCACCTATAATTTCATCTTCGGACTTTTGAAACAATCGAATATGGGCTATTTGGGCCCAATTTTCAAAACAATCCTGGGGATAGCCCCCGGACCCCCTGCCTCTTTATATGACCGCACCAATGTCGAAATACCTTCCGACGCCCCCTGCACAGTGCGGGGATAGTGGACTCTTGCTGCTACGGTACACACAACTCAGTGAGATGCAATGCATCAGAGTACCATATCAGAGTACCATAGCATACACAACTACCGGATGGTGCCGGTTGGAGATACGTACCCGGTCCCTTCAGCGGCTTGTCTTTGGCGATTGCACGCACACCAGATACCACAGCAGCTATACAGAGCAAAACGGGACAGTACAGGGAGGACATACACACACACACACACACACACACACACACATACACACACACACACACACACACACACACACACATACACACACACACACACACACATGCACAAACAGCCACAATCATGCTCTGAAGTAGTGGGCTATTGCACATATTCGGCCAATCACTCTGAGGTCCGATGAAGTTCAAACAGCTAGATGTCAAGAGAACGAGCATACATGTACTTTCTTCGGAAACAGCAACTTCATGACTTTGATCGACCTGTCAGTTCTGGTGAATCAAGCTCTGAGGAATCAAGCAATGAAGAATCTGAGTGAGACTCAAGCGGTGTAAATTTTGGGGTACAATAGTGAACAAACTTCAAAGAAGTGCATCAACTCTTTGTCCCGAAGTGTTTTTGTTCCACTGAACCGAATCTCTTGAGCATTGCGGCTTCTTAGAACGTGAATACAAAAATGGCAAGGGTTAATTTTTCCGAGCGGAGGAAGTATTGGAAAAGACACACAGGATGTTCCCAGTCACGGTGGCGTGCTGAGAGTGCTCAATGCCATGGCAAAGGCAGAGGAGCATCGCACACAGTACTACAGTGTACACTACCAGGGTTATCTTGCTGTTCAGACAGGGTGACTCTGAGTAACATGCTCCTAGCGTAGTCATAAATCAACATCAGACATGCAGGGGCGGATCCAGGAGGAGTTCCAGGGGTTCCGTAGAACGCCCTAAATTTCGTAAATGTACTACTGGCAACCATACGCGTGACCGTGTACATGTATCAGATATTCAGTTTTGACTAAACTGGAACCCCCCCCCCCCCCCCCCCCCAGTAGAGATGGCTGGATCCGCTGCTGACATGGTAGATGGTGTTGATCATGCTGGTGTATGTACAAGGAACAGAGGGCCCAGCCAGCGGAGGTGTTGCTGAGAGTTGCAACAAACTATAACCCTGGTCTACCACTCTGTTCTACTGTACTGTCCCGCCGGAACCGGTCCGGTTGGTCAGGTTATTGACGGACCAACTATTCGGCCACCAGCACATGTTTCTACTGAGGAGGTCATGTGTGCCCGTCATCTCATACACAAAGTATGAACTGTCATGTGACTACCGGACCAATCAAAAACCGTTTCTGGCGGTCCTGTTGTGTATTGTGAAAGATTCATGTGGCATTCTCAGGTTCTGTTTGGTCTGCTGCCTAGTAGTGCCCGTACCTCCGACAACATTCGACACGTTGTAGCCTGGGGTGCTGGGGTTGACCTTGGCATGTCTCTTCCGCTCTGCATCGGACGAGGACATGGTAACGGAAGAGTTGATGTCCGCCGACATTCGCATCTTCTCCTGCTGCCGGCGCGACTGCTGCTCCAGGGCGTTGCGGTGCACCGAGGCCGGGACAAATCCAAACGTGAGTGCCATCCTCTTCGTCAATAGCTTGCCCGTACCAACACGCTGCTGTTTGTCTGCAAGGAGCAAGTAAAGAGAATGGACACACACAACACAACACAGTGAATATCACGTAGAAGCACTGCGGCTGGATGCTCTCATCGAGCCTTCTAAACAATTAATTCCTGCATATGGCAAATACAGCACAAGAGAAAGTCAACACCGTGTATATGCATGTACCGTACTATACACAATATGCAGCAAGTATTGTTATGGTCCAGCTTACTCGGTCAGGCAAACAATTCGCCAGTGTGGTCTTCCTTGGTGGCTTTGTGGACTGTCACTGCATGACCTGGTGCCAATAGATTATATCTTAGCCTGACTAATAGCCACCGAACCGTTCCAGACCCCTAGACTAGACCTGTCAACATGTTGGTATTAAGACTCCGTCATGATGGGATGCAATTCAGGACTGTACTCGTAGTGTGCCATGCTGTGCGGTAACCGTAATGATGTCAGTGAGGCCATCTGGCTGCATTTCCTCTAATGGTCTTATTGACCGTGTCGTCCGGGGACTGTCAACGTCTGAATGGGTTTCTTAACCTTTGCAACACCGAAATACAAGTGAGCTGTATGAATCGGCTCTTGGTGTAATGATCAAAAGCTATTGTTACATCACTACCAAGCTTTGGTATTCCAGTACTTGCATATCCCCCCCTCCATCCACCTCAAGCTCAAGGAAGCTAGGCATTCCAGCACTTTCTGTTGTAGATTGGAGTGTCAAGACTAATGCTGGGCAAGACCAGTGCAAACCAGACTGCACCAATGGAAGTGTTCTATTACAGTAATGCATCCTGTGAATGGCAAACAGTGAAGCCTGTGATGGATCCATAGCATTGCTTGCCAGCTAGTGCTGGCTTACATCACAGTCCACACCTGCTCTGTGCTACCAGCATGGTGCAGCACAACATGCCATGGTATGATAATGTGTGTGTGTGTGTATGCGTGTGTGTGTGGACATGTGGACACAAGGTGATGCAATGAACTGCCCATCAAAGAACAATCACCGAGTCTCTTGGCAGAAGTGGCGAAACAGCGCCAAGCCCTCCCAGACCTCTCATGAATGATGCCATACCATACCAGCAAACACACAAACTAATAACTAAGTTGTCAGGACATCCTGCTGTGCAGTTCTTGCAACACTTACTACTGCATTGTACTATAGCCAAAGCATACTGGAGCGTGAGTACTCAGACTACTTGTGTTATTAATGTGCTCTCCGTCTGTGCTCTCAGTACCGTACCTTCTAAACAAACTTCAACCATGATCCACTCTGATGCCGGCCTGGTTATCCCAGTCAACGTTGTAAACTGAGAATTCACTCAGTCTCCTTGGACAAGACCATGGATTCAACAAGTCAATGTTGAAAGCTCAAGTCAAGTGCCCATGCATCAGTGAGTTGAGTTGAGTGTATGCCTTATTAGGCTATAGTACCCTAGGGCTATGATCTGGAATGTGGTTGGGAGACAGGCCTGCTGCTAGAGCAATACCCTAGAAACTAAGCTATGCTTTAGAGTTTAGAGTAATGCTAGGGTCGCACAACCTTTGCTGGGGCATACTCAGGAGGGCGCCCTTCACTTCATGTACATGTAGGTCATCAACGCCATGCTTGCACAGTGCCCACAGCCAATGAGCCAATCATATCTTCTCTAGAAAATATTGGCATTCAGTTGTGGATTCGGTTGTGAATGATCCCTAACTAAGAAAATGTCCACCATTGATCTGGAACACTGGCACTTAGACGTGGAAGTAGCTTAGGGAGATTATGATCATGCAGACACTTGAAACGGATAAAGTACAAGGCCGCATTCATGCAATGGCATGCTAAACGTCATTCTGCAAAGATCATCTTTTACTATTACATAAACACCTGCTCCTTCCTTTGGACATAATTGAAACTGGGCGCATCAAAGATCCGGAATGCCAGAACTGCAGCCTAGCCCTCTGTGCATAAATGCTCCATTACCTAATGCTATAATTTACATTGCACGTACTTTGGTACTAAACCTCAGACTGCATTATGAGCATAAAGAGGGGCGTCAGAAGGTATTCGACATTGTGGGTCATGAAGTGGCAGGTGTGTGTGTGGCGGGAATGGAGGGGGGGGGGGGCTCCGCCACACCCCCCCCCCGAAAAAAATTGGAAAACTAGACCCAAATAGCCCGTATTTTATTGCTTCAAAATCACAATATGATTTTACTGGTACGGCTTTGGACACCTGCCGCACCGGTTCCAACGCCCCTGATAACACACAGAGTTGCACCAACACAACCTTGGTCCACCGTTGTGCTGTATTCTGCAACACCCCACCCTCTAGGCATTCTAGCACTCTGAACAACACTGCCACCTTGCTTCCTCTCCATACACCATGTTCTACTAACTGCCAATAAGACAGGGCACATCTACATGTACATGACTGTACATCTATATCTGCTGATATTTTGCTCTTTACTTCTGTAAAATGCTGCTTGATGAGGAAGTCCCAGTTTTATAAGTAGCTTGAGTTTTCAAGTGTTTGTCCAGCTCTCCAATGGCTATCTTTCACCCTAAAAGCTAGTCAACACTGGAGCCAAAGGGCAGCAATGCATCCTTCTCTGGGATTTTCCACAGATCACCCTTGAAAGGCTTTATTATCCTCTATCGTTCTCATCACAACCATGCATTCCTGTTACTGAAGTACACAACTACATGTATGTACACGGCTAAAGTCACTTTGTGCTACTACTAGTGTATGACATGTAATTTTTAGGTGTACTAAAATGTCGGTGTCAGAGACCTGCCAGGTTTCAGGTGTAATGTAGAATTAGGTGACCAGCCTACCGTTCATATACAGTGCATACTCTAGCGCCTTTTAGGCATAATCTAAAATAATTAGGTGCCTGGTTTCTCTACCGAAGTTACCGAAATTAAAATTACACAGAAATTAAAGTGTGTTAGTATCCGCATGTGGACAATGTACAAGTCCTCCCTCATTATAACGAGTACGGTTTAATAGCACATAAACACCGATAGTAAAACCCGATAGTAAATAGAAATCGGAAATCCCCTGGTCTACTAGTATACAACTGTTTACAGGTCAGGTTACAACATAATCCGTTAGTACTGTAGTAGTACTAATAGTACATCAAATTCGTTATAACGACCCTTTGCTCAGGACCCCCCCCCCCCCCGGAGTGCCAAACCCTCAGTATAAGATAATATTGACCATTCAGGACCAAGGCCAAAACACATAGCAGAAAACAGAAAGACACAACTTATTATATCCATGTAGTCGTAGATATGCACCATCTCACCATCTCACCATCTTTTGCTTCCAAGAAAGAGCTTTGTTGGAGATTACCTTATAACGAGTTGAAGTGTCGACAATAATTATAATGTTGTATCCAGGGTAGCCAAGGTAAGTACGAATTAGTACCTATTTCACCTTTAGGCTTAGCTTCAAGTCCTGTTAGTGTTACAAGATAAGTCTCGTTACAAGACAACTTTTTTCATGGCCCAGAGATTATCTACTAACGTCGAGGGAGGACTTGTAATGGTAGGAAGTACAACGTAATAGTGATAGTGATGTGTAGCTTTGCTACCATCGACACGCAAGGCGATACCCAATCTGGCGCACACAATGCTATCACAGGCCAACAGGCACTGCACTACTACTGCTGCCAACACCACTACGGCACTAGACTCTAGAGCAAGGTTTCCACAAACCGACACCGTCTTGCAGCACATGTAATGCTAGTAGTAGTACACTGTACACTCGGGACAGTCGGCGGGCGGCACCGATACGGCGATAGTCTCCATTTCCGTTTCCTGAGCGGATGGTGCACAAGGAGCCGGCAAACCTGCACTACAGCAGTACAGGACCTTTTGGAGAACTGCCGCAAGTAATGCTGTTCGGAACGCGCGACCCGTCAACGTCAACGTAGTCGTACTGTTTCAACACTCCAGTCGGGACTCGGAGGACCCACAAGGCAGACATTCACCACTGTACACGGGCTATGTAGTGTCCACTACCGATACACCGCCATGCCTGAGCCACCCAACAGTCGTGTCATGAATCCGGCAACAACGACACGGGATCAAAATGCGGAGGGTGCGCTTCCTCCAGTGCAATCATGCATCGTGGTGCCCGATTCACTCAGAATCAAAAGAAACTAATTAGTAACTTGCATAATAAGGTCCCCCGATCTTGTCTTGGAAAGCTAAGCAAACCATGAATGTCAATCCCTAAGGTGGTACTTACCTGTTTAGACCGCTCACAATCCACGTAGATCTACGTCGTTGCAAACCTCGTCGTCACCGCGCACCAGGTGGCGAATGCGGAGCAAACCCGGACGGCAGGGACAGGAACGATCCAATTGTCGGGTCGTCTTTCCAGCAGCCCGCCTGGGGTGGAAACCTGCCTGTTCCGTTAGAGGCTGCACGGCAGGAGTGTGGGGCGCAAGACGTTCACAAGATGGTTTCAGTGCAACTCCTGCTTCACTAGTTCCCTCGACTGACGGTACGGGGAACCTCACAGTGAGCTGTGAACGACCTTGACAACTGTGTGATGCCGAGGGGCACCCAGTACTTGCACGGAATACACATGCAGTTCTGGGTGAAGAGCAACAGCTAGTACTAGTATAGCCTACTATAGCCTAGGTATCTGGGTGCAGAGCGTTCGTGGCCGGCCCAGTCGAGTGCACCAAGTCACGTCACTCGTCGTCAGCTAGCTGGTAGATCTACTTCACGTCTTCAGCAGTGCCAGTGGAATAGAAAAGTGTGGGTGACCCAGTCTTGCTTTGGATTTGGGGGCTAGACTCGAGTAAGAGGTAAAAGGGGTGATGCGAAGGGTGGCTACACTGACTGTAAGTTTAACAGTCCAGCAAGCTATACTCAACATTAGTCTATTTCAAGACTCTACTCTCAGATTAGATCAAATCCACTGACTGAGTCTGTCAATGGAGAGTGTTCTTGTTTACTGATGCTGCTGCTGACCTGACAGTGACACAGGGGCTGAGCTGAGGGTCAGGGTCTGATGATAATATTATTGATTCTGATACACTTTATTATGACTGTAGTCTACCGTCCGGTTCAGTGGAGTAGGTTACGGGAATAGAAGGTCTGCGTTCGGTTAATACTGCCCAGGAAAAAATGGTGGAGGCACCTAATGAGGAATGGCTACCGCGTACGGTATGTATCATGCCGACAATGACCTGTCGACAGTCACGATAAAGGTCATACCAAACACCATGAACACTATAGTACAGACAGTGACTACACGTACTAACGGTACATGCTATCTTCTCGAAATGAACTGAGACAGTCTGGAGAGCGGGACAAGCAAGCATACTAGTACTAGTAGTAGTATGTGAGGTGATTTCGAGCAACAGAAAGCTAAGCTATGTGACGGTGGGCAGCCGCCGGTCCTGGAATGAAGATTGAAGTGCCTGCCTGCGCTGTAAGAGGAATAGTGGATTTTGTGATCCACGAAAATCCAGGACTTGATGGCATGTGTTGGACGGTTGATCCACAACACTCGCTACGATATCATGTAGATCTACCGCTAGACATTGCCCATAGCTAGCTAGAGTAGAGGACATTCACAATGTTCTGCCCTTTCCACCTCTCTTTCTATCCAACTTAGCACACGCACTTGCCCACCGTGCATTTTGTGCATTCTGCACCACGTGAACGCTCATTCTACGCGGCAGGTAGATCTACTTCAGTACTACATCATGTGTACATGTACATGTAGGTTGTGTCCGGTAGACCGTCGATCAGTCCCATCCGTCAGCTCTCACGGAGAAACCGCAATCCTTCCCCTACGTACAACTAATTACTTCTTGATCTACGACGAAGCATAGACTAATGTTTCCCCAACTCTCCAAACGCTCCAAAGTTAAAGTCATTGCCAATCGATTGTGCTCTATCATCAGTCTATGATGTCCACACGGGTACGGGTCAACTCGTCCTGTCAAAATCAGCTGCCAAATTAATGGCACATGCACCGGTATAATACTATCTAATGACATGGACTAACAGCTTGCTTGGACAGCCGGCACGTTTTCGCTTGCAACGACTTTTACGTGTAACATCAGCTCAATATCAAGCGGTTGGCCAATCGTTCGCGAATGCTCCTTGTCCTGCACGTGAAGCCTTCAAGAATAAATGCCACATCAAAGCCCATGCACGGCAACGGTACGTAAAAGTATTTGAAAAAATGCCTATTCACCTCTCTGTGGCATTGCACGTACAACTACAACAGTACAACTTACAAGCCTACAAGACGAGTACAACCACATGCACTGCAGCCACTGAGCCAGTTCTCTTGTCCCCGACCATGTACATGTACATGAGTCATGTACATGGAAGCCATTGCGCAACCATCTCTCCATCCTCCCGGGGGATCCAATAATTCCCAAAATACCAAAGCCCAAACCGTGGCAAATGTAGCCATGCAACGCAGTCAACTATTACTTACTAGCACTACAATAGGCATGCATCCAAGAATATCGATGTGACATTGTGAGTGCCAGATTATCGGAGAACATGGCGAGGTACATTATACTGTACGTAATGTACACGTAATTGTTGGTTGGTTGGTTATTATTAGAAAGGAAAAGGACATAAGGATACGAGTTAAGAGTAACTCTCCATCACTGTAACTGGATACTATAATAAAATTATACAGTCAGAAAGTGCAATAACTAGGCACACAACTGACAAGAGTACTGAGTAGGCACCGGCGGATTATGCCGGCATAATTATTGGCATAATTTGGTGGTTGAAAATGTAGAGCATAATTTGGCATCCTCTAGGAGGTAGGAGCATAACTACACGATTATACCACAGTTCTAGTATGTAGGCTATACCATTGTGTACAATGCACCTGATCAGTGCTGGTGGTCTGCATGGTAAAGGTTAAAAGGGTTCGGAGGTTATGCGGATAGTGTTTTCAATGAAAAGCAGGGTAGAAATCATGGCAATACAGTATTGTATGCTCGAACTCGTCTTCTTCAAAGTTCTTTCTCACACTGACACAGTACATGTAGCAGAAGATGCGAGTGAATCAGCCTTCATCAGGTATCCCGGCCCGAGGAGATGCCAAAGGGGAGCCGTGTATAGCAGAATCTGCAGATTGGCGTGACTAAGGTACTAGTAGTTAGAAGCTGCGACTCGGGCGCCAAAGGAATTTGGTGAAACCCGCTGCTAGCGTCCAACTTGGAGAACACCTTGGCATCACCGATGCGAGCGAGAAGATGGTCCGTGGTGGGGAGAATGTGCCGTTCCTGTTTGACTGCTTTGTAGTGTTGAGCCGTGTGAAATCACCGCAGATGCGCACGCGGCATAGTAGCTTCCGTATGTGCAGTTTCTTATCAGCTCTGACTTCCGGTGCTGGCTCATTCTCAGTCTGTGGCAAGTTTACGCCCTGAGGATTGGTCTGCTGCCATCTGAGGGTGAAGACCATCCTCTCCACGGACGTCTCAACATCTAAATTCTCTCTTGCCGCGTGAGTTTTCCTGTCGTTGGAGTGAATCCCGGTCCACGTTCCAGATGACCCTTGGACTGGTCCGACACCGTGACAGTCGCCGATCACCAACGCCCTTTCACGAGCCACCTCAGCGCCGACGGTCCGTCCTGTCGATGGCACTGCCGGTGAACACTTGAAGAACCAGCCACTGTGCTGCCAGCGCGTCTGCATGCCTCTCTTTCCCTCTCCCGGCAAGTAAAAAAAAAAGTAAATTATCGTGTCCGTTCCCAAAGGGAACTCACGACGGCCGCTTACACCCGATAAACCCTAGCGGCAGATGCAGCACCTAACGGTGGGGTGAGTGGATAAGTCTCACAGCCACTGGCACAAGTGCCGAAAACGACCCCATTAGCTGCATCCATGCACAAGTTCCTATCCCAGTTGACTGTGGGTAGCAGCACGGCTGGAAAAACCGCTCCCAGGCAGGACTTGAACCAGGTACCTCTCGTATCTCAATCATGGTCTTTGACCAACCCACTGTGCCTGCCTCCCGGCAAGCACTTGTGCTATTTTTCTCACTACCGAATTTCGTCTTCAAGATCGGGTGCGCGACTTAAGTTACATGTATCAAGAGCACAACAGCGAACACAGTGTTAGTTCGGCAGTACGAGACGCTCAGCCGCGCACTGGAAAAGCACAAACATTTAATATAATTGTACATGTACACTGTACTTCAAAATAGCCACCATGCATTTATATCAAGTACAGACAGTGTAGATCTACAGTCAACTTCGCCAATAACGACATTCGGCGGGGCATCAGAAAAGTGTCCTTATTCGCGAAGTGTCCTTATACCCGAAGTCCCATTTGAATGTATGTGAACCCATATTTTGTATAGTATGATATGCATATCAAAATCAAGCTCTTTTCTTGCTCTATGTCAATGTGTACTTTATTTTCATATTGCAGTTGAAAGGAACTAAAAATTCAATTGAAAAGTATGCCTTTTTGAGCCATCTACAGGGCCCGAGACATGTACATGTATGATGATTACTGTACAATCATGTACTACATGCATGTAGGTGTGCTGGTTAATCCAACACTTTTGAAGCAAAATAAAAAGGAAGAAAAAGCCCCCTTGGCTGCATTTTCTTGCATGTGTGCCTTTAAAAAATAATATCCATCACCATAGGTTCTGGTACCGTTCTGCATGACAGGTACATGTACATGTACATGTACATGATTGTACTTGACTGACGTGACAGGTACTTGAAATAGCTGTCAAAAGCCCAGAAAGTCGTTATTCAAGCAGCGAATATGACCTCTGGGCACTAAAAGCATGTCGCTATACGCGAATTGTCGTTATTCAGATAGTCGTTATATCCGAAGCTAAATGTATACAGTTAGATGGGACTTTGCTCTGGGCATGGAAATTCGGTCGGTATTCGCGAATTGTCGTTATATCCGCAGTCGTTATTAGCGAAGTTGACTGTACATGTATTTGCGCTACAAGCTGCATACATGCGAGAATATCGTTTAATTTCTTCTCTTCATTTCTTACTCTTCTTACTGGTTGTCATCGCTTTCATGATAATTATTGGGCAGAACTGACCGTTTCACATGCGGTGTAAATTAAATAAACAACAACAACAACAACAACTCTTGGAGACAGCGCATATCCAGCCACATAACCAGGCAACTGATCCATTGCACAAACCAGCGTATCAAGGCAGTTACACTGTCCAAATAGCTAGATATACTTATAATTATAACAAGGAAACACAAATCCTCATACTCCAAGTCCAGCATGCATGTACATGATATGTACTGTATTACAAAGGAAAGTCCGTCAAAGAAAAATAGAGCAGCCACGCGAAGGCTTGATCGAAAAGCATGCACAGACAGCTTGAACGCTACTTCCATTCATCTGCAAACGAAAACGAGTGGTGCAAAGAAAAAAAGAAGAAAACCGTATTTTGAAGTCAGTTTGTAAAGATAACGGTCATCAGTGACCGGCAGGCACATATCCTGCACAGATCCTGCACATATCCTCCGAAAACAAAACATAATCTGATAAACATGGGGCAAGCAACTAGAGAATGCAGTGTTTGTCATTGGGTGCCTTAGACTACAAGAAAAAATAAGTTGTTTTGAGAAAGATTCCGAAACAAGTATTCAGTGTTCGCGTTTCAGGGAGACATACTCAAGGTGTTACGCATTCATGTTCACTGATGAGCATGAATACATATGTACAGCAGGCAATGAAAATGTCACTGAGTTAAAATTAATACTCTCAACGGCTAGAGTCTCTAGAGAGGCTCTCAAAGGCTAGAGTCTTTAGAGAGACTCTCAAAGGCTGTTAGAGTCAAGAATTGCAAACTGTGAGAAATTAGTCGGGGTGAGGCCAGAGAGAATGGACGAGAACAGAGAGAAAAAATACTGTATATTTGCAAAGCAATGGGTGATGGCTCTACATCACACACCATGACGGAGTCCCTCACTAGTCAAGATCTCTGCTTGGCTTCGGCCGCTGTGGTGCGCTTCTTCAAACGTGCCATTGCCTTCAAAAGTCATAGTGCCACAGATAAAGTAGAGTCAATAACTAGACGATGATGTCGTGTACGTTCCAATTCATGGCGGTGAAGTTTTAGTCCAGCCTAGTTGCAAGTAACTAGGCTGGAGATTAGTTGGGAGACTAGTTGTACGCCTGTAGTAGAGTGGAGATGTAGCAGAACAATAACAATAGCGGCGGCAACAAACAACAACAACAACAACGACGACAACAGCAACAACAACAACGTGAGAATACAGAATTCAAAAAACAACAACAACAGCAGCAGCAGCAGCAGCAGCAGCAACAACAACAACAACAGACAAACAACAACAGCAACAACAGTATGGATGACTTTGGCAAGAACGTTACAACATGCTGCTGTGAACCATCAACAGCTCGGCACGGTCAGTTCAGGAAGACGTAAAACTGGCCGTATCGAGCAGTACCCTATAACTTTCTCGCTAAAGTTCCTCTGCAAAAGTTATGAAAATTGAAAAGCCACCAGAATAAGTTGAGTTTCACTTGTCCAGCAAACATTGTACTTATACATGTATGTCGCTGTTCAAGAAAGTGTGGGAATCAGGTTTGACATGCTACATGTATCCGTAGCCACGGGGTTGTGTTGATGTAACGTTAGTCATGGGGTTGTGCTGATGTAGTCACGGGGTTGTGTTGATGTAGCGTTAGTCATGGGGTTGTGCTGATGTAGTCACGGGGTTGTGTTGACGTAGCGTTAGTCATGGGGTTGTGCTGATGTAGTCACGGGGTTGTGTTGATGTAACGTTAGTCATGGGGTTGTGTTGATGTAGTCACGGGGTTGTGTTGATGTAGTCACGATGTTGTGTTGATGTAGTCACGGGGTTGTGTTGATGTAGTCACGATGTTGTGTTGATGTAGTCACGGGGTTGTGTTGATGTAGTCACGATGTTGTGTTGATGTAGTCACGTGATTGTGTTGATGTAGTGTTCATGTAATACCGCCCATTCACGCTGTTGGCTTACCGGTCTCTGTGAGATGCGCTTCAGCTGCGCCAGAAGAATGTCTTTCTCTTTCGTGGCAACCACCAGGTTGTTCTGACTTGATGCAGCCTGTGTACACACGCACACACACACACACACACACACACACACACACACACACACACACACACACACACACACACACACACACACACATACACACACATGCGCGCGAGGGCACAAGTACACGCGTACACATACACACACACATGCATGTACGCACACACTCACACACAAAGGAGTTCACGTCCATTTCACAAAATAACTAAGACGTGAGTTCTTTCGAAGGCACCATGCAGACGCATGAGATCCGTAGAAGCAGTGGTGTGGAGCAAGCATAGAACAGAGGCCCCAGTCGTACCGCAACGTACAGAGGCCCCAGTCGTACCGCAACGTACAGAGGCCCCAGTCGTACCGCAGCGTACAGAGGCCCCAGTCGTACCGCTACGTACAGAGGCCCCAGTCGTACCGCAACGTACAGAGGCCCCAGTCGTACCGCAACGTACAGAGGCCCCAGTCGTACCGCAACGTACAGAGGCCCCAGTCGTACCGCAACGTACAGAGGCCCCAATCGTACCGCAGCGTATAGAGGTTCTAGTTTAAGATATTATAAAGGGCACTTACCTCGTTCCTGGCGATCAACAGCTGCTCCTGCTGCTTGACAATGGCGTTCTGCAGCACTTTCCGATCATGGCGCTCTTTACGGAAGTCCGCCGTTACCTTTTCCACCTGTTGCAGCAACAGCAGACACCGGGAGACGAATGTCAGCGATGTATGACTCATACACTATACGTACAGTCAACTTGGCTAATAACGACTGCGGATATAACGACAATTCGCTAATAACGACTGCGGATATAACGACAATTCGCGAATAACGACAGAATTTCCATGCCCAGAGCAAAGTCCCATCCAACTGTAATACATAATAATGAGACTTCGGGTATAAGGACAATTCGCGAATAAGGTTACTTTTCTGATGCCCCACCGAGTGTCGTTATACGCAAAGTTGACTGTATGTGTTTGCTTACCTGTCAGCCTGTCAGCTATGGATTTGAAATGTCCCATTTGTTGTTCCGTATGGCCACAAGCCATGCATTCTACACAGTTAGTGCTTGTTGCGCCCAATTTTGTCGACCCCTGAAGCTATTTATTCCGAAGACTCCAGCAAGATGTTTGGTAATGACCGCCGTCTTGCCCCGTATATCGCCCGCTGCGTTTTAACACGCTGGTTACTAAAGCCCTGATGACTGCACACGACACGCCCTATGGTGGAAAACGACCCATTCGGAGTAGAAAACAGCATCTTGGCTCTTTTCTCGTTGTGATTTCCGTAAATTTGCGTCTGAGTTCTTACCTGCTTTGTAAGGGCTTCGATTTTAGCATCTTTCTCCATCGATGCCATGTGAACAGCTCGCATTTCCGCTCTGGAGCAAGCACAAAAGGACACCGGGAACACGTACATTGATCCTGAGTCTTGGAACTATCTACACTGGGCTAGTCATCGTCAAATGGTCATAAGACAGGCTTTGCGGCGGCCAGTCCTGCCATATAAACAGTTTAACTGGTGTGCTTAAATATTAATGAGGGACTACACAAGTTCCCAGTGGTGGCAAACTGTGCATTGTTGTTACTCGGAGTTTCATGGCAAAATGGGCAATCATCAGACAACATAATAATTATTATCTCGGCTTTGCGACTGAAGGACTATGTCCTTGGGCATGGTGGCACACCAATACAAGAACGAATAAAGAGTGCAGTGCAAGGGGGGTTTAACAACCTGAGTCATGCGGGCAAGGTTGCTATGGCCAGACGGAAGTATGTGCTCTCTGTGTACATTTGCAGAGGGCCAGTCTGGTCAAAAAACTCACCGCATGTCCTCACTCTGCGACGAATGAAGCGGGCCGTCAGCTGAGCTCTGCCTCCGACCGGGGATGGCGGTCAGCGACTCAATCTGTGCTTTCTGTTCCCGAACGGTCTGCCTTGCGACGTGTGCCTGTTGCCGTAAGTCCTGTGCGCAGAACAAATAGAAACGAAAACAAGTCATTTCTCTTGAACCTCCCCCCCCCCCCCCCCCTCCTTGAGAAACGTACACAAACAAAATACAAATGGTACATAGTATCGATATTTTTCCCTTTTTTCTAAACGTGTTCAGACATACAAACTGTACATCGATATCTTTCGAAAAACAAACAGGCGCTCAACCCCCCCCCCCCCCCCCCACACACACACGACTAGTTTTCGTTTCTAAATGTAATATCTATATTTATGGATGGCCCCTAAACCCGTTGCCGCAGAGAAAGAGTGGAACCCCGCTGTCCTCACATTCATACTCACGCCCATTGCTGAAGCGATGATAACGAACACACGCCGTGTTAGACATAGCCGTAGCAGTTGAACTGGCTGCTCTAATGTACATACAATGTATCATCTGAACGAGGATACCAGTGGACAGGTGAAAACTACACATACACGTTTATGTCCAGTTGGTGCCGGCCGGTTGACTTCGTAGTAACAGCAATGCAATGAAACTTCAGTATAGCGGACCTCCAAGGGACGTTAAAAATCTAACCTATATAGCTGAGGTGAACTCGGATGGTGAGCCAATTTAATTATGGCAAAAAAGCAGAAGGACCTCTTGGACCTTTCCTAAACGACAAAGTCACCGCTGACTGCCCGTCTACGCCCGTCTACGGTATGAAAAGTTGAATCGATTCAACTCTTCCCGTCGCTTCTCGATCTGTACGGTAGTACGGTTGCGTTCCCGTTCCTGGTGTTCACATTGGACGCCGTCAGACCGTCCCGTCGCTTCCCGTCGATCCTTACGTTGCGTTCCGCCGCGCCAAGTCGAATGTGAACTGGGCTTAAGACTTATTAACCCTTTAAGAGCCACAGGAAAATTTCAAAATTCTGCATTTTTTCGTGTTCCTTGGACCATAGCTTCAGTTCTACTCACTCAATCCTCACAATCTAGGGCTTCCTGGAAAGGTCTCCGCGAGAGGAAGAGAATGAGGTTGATCATGATAGCCAGCACACCGTCTATCCAGCGCTAGATCGCAGCGACAGTACGAAAAATGCCCCAAATGCGTCCCGCTCCAGATATTTCATTTTACTCGATCGTGGAGTTCCCATTTTTTCGCTGTGTACTCTTGACAATATCAACAGTGAAACCCGTGCAAATTCGAGTAAACCAGCGTGACGAAAAGTCTCAAAATTCTCAATACTAAAGTCGCACTGCGCGCTTTTGAAATTGCCGCGATCGCGGCTCAACTTACGAGTAATGTATCTCAGGAACCGTTGCTCGCAGCGCTTCGCGGATTGTTTCTCCCGACAGGTGAGAGTTTTCTCTTCGCCCTGGATATTTCGATCACTGAATTTGAGCAAGATTGGACTGAGTTACGATCTTTTGAAGTTTTGCATTTGAATGCGTCGTTTACGACGCATTCAAGTATGGGGCGGCTCTTAAAGGGTTAAAAGCTCACACGGACTTCATCATGACTTACGCTGTATTTTTGCTCCAGCTGATTTATCCGACTGCGGAGGCTTTCGTTCTCCATCTCCGCACGATGAAGGTGGCCCTGCAGCCCGTTTGTATGCTTTTCCCACGTGCGATTTGCAAGCATTGCCTGTGGGAAAGAAGACAACAGATAATATCTAAGCGAGCTGCCGGGCCATGGGCTGACAAGTGGGTGAAAGGCAAGTACACGGATACGTGTTGCTGCGTTCAATGCTATAGTCTAACTTCTGCTTACCGTGAATGAGGTGTTCAAATGTTCAACTTGAAAGCCAGATGCAGTCGCAGAGTGTGAGGCAGTGTCGCTTCCAACAGCCAATGCCTATTTTCTAGTTATTAACGGCGTAATTTACTTTCAGACACAAAACACAATTTTTCTTAGGATCCTGCCCCATGACAGGTTTCTTATTACCCTGTGTGACAATTCACCAGCTCCTCTCCACATCTCCACTGAACAGAGCTAACTGGCAGTGGGTTGGTAGAAACGATTCGAATTCCCAGACTAACCTCTTGGAGTTTCTCTCCATCCTTGACACACACCTCATTGCGGCACACTGATGCCTGCATGGGGACAGGAGGCACACCACGAGTTAAAACCGCAGTGGGAATAACAACAAGAGGGTACTGCTACAAGTGGCAGAGAATTGAATCACGTGGCGACAATCTCAAGATCAGCCACAATACATGCAAACCGAGCATGCACAGAACATGCACAGAGCTGGCAGTTGGGGTCTTGCCTGGCAGAGATATTGTGTCTGTTGTACCTGAGGTGTGACACTCTTCTTCATCTTCATGCTCATAATCTCTATTCCTATAGGCTCGGCTTCTGCAAATGAAGAGATGAACAGTCCACATGCCTACGACCTTAGACAAGCTATCGCCAAGGAAAGGTGGTGACGAGAACGAGAACTATTGTCATACATCAATATCGTACAATCACGTATGCTGGAACCGCAATGCACGCTCGCACAAACGCACACATACACACCCACACATGTATATACATACACACATGCAGACCTATACAGCCTAAAGATACATAGACGCACGGCGACATCACCACCTCATTCTGTTGATGATCATCTCCTGTATTAAGCTTGACCACCACTGTACTTACCGGCTGTACTGGCTCAACGCGTCTCCCGTACGCCCGTGTGAAGCTAACCAGCGGTGGCTCATCGTCAAGGATCAGTGCGGTCGGTGAGGCAGACGGGGATGGGAGATTATGCATCGGCGACGTACGGCGTTGATGGTCCAAAACTGCGCCACTGCTTCCACTCCCACCATCGCTGATTACGACAAAGTCATCGCTGTCTAGAGGCAGTGAGCGTGACGGTCTGCCCACCCACGCATCGCTGCCACAGGACTTTGTGGACACGGCGGAGCGCGAGAGCAGCGGGTCGGTGCGGTTCATGCGAAGACTGCCGCGCGGAGAGCTCCTCGGATCCGGCGAGCCGCTGCTCCCGCTGGATCGTAGGCTGCACCGGGCCTTCGCCCTCTCGTTGGCTATGTAGGTGACGTGGCTGGCGGCGTCATCGGGAAAGTGATAGTCCGCCAGTGAACCTGCACCAGCGCAGCATGTCAACCGGAAACACAGAACAGCCACAAGAACAGCAATAGACTCAGTCGCACACATGCAGCAAGATAACAAGCGGTGTTCCAACATTAGCTCCTTCGACAATGTGGTCATCCCGTGCCCCTTCGAGCTTCTACGTACATTACACATACATGGTAGGATGTGAAACGAGCTTACACCTCAAAGCAAAATGAGATCATGTGAACTGATGTCACCATGAGCTTGTCTACATAATTCTACAGTGTACTTGGCTGTGTAAGTAACAGTATTGGAATCAGCAGGCATTACTGGGGCGACCAGTACGCTGCATACATGATGATGATACCCAACACTTCGATGATATCATACCCTACATGTACTCGTACATAAGCATGGCATTGTGTACATTCCGATGACAGCACACTATACACACACACACACGCGCACGCATGCACACATACACACTGTACGTGTTGCTCACTGCCAAAACTGGTCACGTGAGTCCCCCCCCCCCCCCCGGGAAAGAGGAGAGAGACTCAAAAGGAATCTTGGAAAGATGACTCAATTGGTTATTGAACTGCCCAACGGCCGACACCCCCTAAAATCCCCAAAACTCTGGGTGGACTTGAAAATGATCCCACTTATGGGCTCACCACACCTCAGTAAGTGGGTGAGGACAAGGTGCAGAAAAAGGATTGACGGCATCAGGGTATCCGTCACACACACACACACACACACACACACACACACACACACACACACACACACACACACACACACACACACACACACACACACACACACACACACACACACACACACACACACACACCAAACACACACACACACACGCACACACACACACACACACACACACACACACACACACACACACACACACACACACCTGAACAACATCACAACTGTGATGTACGGTGTGATGACATCATTCGCTAAAGCAGCACTGTTCATGAGGATACTACAATAGTACAATAGTACTCTGGAAAAGGGGTTACACAATCATGTCCCCGGTATCATAAAATATGACAATCCAGTGGATGATGCAGATCATTGGAAGCCTCACTCACCTCCCTGGTAGCGATGGTCGGAATGCCGTCCTACCCCGCTGCCAGGAGCATGCATCTTAGAATGACTTGCCATTTCTGATGAGCATGGCTGATTAGATGACGACTCTACACGGGGCACATATTGTCATGAGAACAAATCTTTTATATATATAATGCAGTACAATACCAGTGCAAAACACATGTGGATACAGCAGCATTGAGATATCTCACATGATCCAAAGACGAAACAAATTTCGCGAGTTTGGGCCAAATCCACGATTTCCTGGCAAGTTCCGAATCTTTTCCGCAATATCTACCTACACTCTACCTTCAGTCGAGTCGAGCGTCCAACATTGTTTCCAAGGGTTTAGCCTGGGACGCTCCTATTTTTCCGCAATCTGGCTGCGTTCTTGTAGCACGTTCTTAGAAACAATCCGTACTGGATCGTACGTATCGCACAACCTGCCAGAAAAGCAACACCGCCGTTCTTAGCTTTAGGCTGTAGCGTTCTTAGCATTTCAGGCTGGACCTTCTTGGGCTCAACGTTCTTCAGCGCGCGACTCTACTGTACACGTACATACAAAATGCACATGTTCATGTAGTCCATCCGCACTTTTCGCCGCAATTTCCGTTGCTTTCTGCCGCGTTTTCTTGCGCAAGTTTTCGAGAAATTTTCCGCAAATTCCCGCAGGGACAAACAATCGGCTTTACTTTCACGCAGACAAACGTACGATCTATCAAGTAGACTGACTGCGCATCTAGCACAGTGGACAGCTTGAAATGCCAGGTGGACTGAGCGCGCGGTGTGCGGCCTCACACGGTGTATACTATACTATAGTGCCAGTAACACTTGGTCCAAGACAATAGAGAGGTTGCGCACAACGTAAATTGGTTGAAGATCTTGACCGTCCGGGTTCGAGTAGCGAAAGCTGCTACGAAGATCCGTCCAAGCGCGACCGAAGCAGAGCAGATCTACGAAAATATTTTTCGTCACTTGGAGTACTAAAATACTGATATTTTGCAACTCCCTGTCTTGACTTTTCGTACCCGCGTCTACCTACTATGAAACAGTTCGCACGTTGTGTGCAACCTCAAGTTTACGAATATTCGTTGGCTTTATTTGGTAAATAATTTCGTTACGGTGCTACGAATTGTCGTTGTGCGCAACCTCTCTATTACAATTGTCCGCTCGGTGGATAGTGTCCTTTACGGTTTGTGAATCATTTTTTCCTCCCAAGTCCGCGCTGAAACCCTCCGAATCTGATGCAGGAACGGAATTGTGCTCACTAACATTTCCACAATGACTCAATTCACAGATTCGTCAGAGCACTGTACAGCAAACTGTACAGGGCCGGCGGAACCAGTCAGGCTGGTCCGGCCATGGCCGGACCACTTTCCCAGCTGGATGGTCGATGTGATTAGTGCAAAACCGGTGTAAAAAAAATCCAGAGGTACATGACTCGACTGTACTGCCGACGTGTGATGTGCTTCAAAGTAGCTCAGGACTCCGTGACCGGCACTGTATGGCTTTAAGGCCATCATTTTTTTATATCTATGTTTCGCGTCAGTTCAACTTCCAGAATCATATGCGAGAGGTGGAAAAAATAAAAAGTTGCAAAATAATAAAAAAAGGCTCATCAGAGGTGTATGCACTGTACATAGCACAATAGCTCGTGCATGGTGTACATTCGAAAGAAAAATCGTACATCGAAGCACAACATCTGGGTTATCAGAATGAGTAAATATTCACTTTGGACAGAGGAGGCAACCGTTGGTCATGGTGCCTATGCTTCGCTGGAATATTGTACTCAGACTTCAGCAGCGGTGCAAAGAGCTCCGGAACGACGCATCCTCTCAGCATAGGCGATCAATGCGGTCTGGTGTAAGCTCATAGAATATTGCTCCCATATGCCGAACAAACGATTTACCAACGCTGGCCTAGGCTAGAGGCCATTTCTGAATCCCAGCTTCGCCGTATGCAACCTGTCCACACTGATGACTCGCACGATCGTACCCTCACTGTGCATGTTTGATTTTTTATTTTTTCCCGAAAAAAATCAAAACGTATGCGTGCGGACGACGCGAAACATAGCTATAAAAAATGATGGCCTAATGATATGGATAAAAAAAAGTTGTGCTTGTGTTGATTTACTATAATTTTCTGGATTTTCTGGAGCCTTAAGAGATGCCCAAATTCGCTCTATTTCACGTAAATTTTAAATATTTCTCCCGGGGGAGGTCCCCGCACCCCCCCCCCCCCCCCCTCAAAGGTTGGCCAGACCACTCCCAAAGTCCTTCCTCCGGCCCTGCTGTAGTTGCCAAACTGCAGAAATCCCAGGCGGTAAACCTGTACTTTAGCGCCCCCAGGTCGTCGGATGTCTTGTACTAAAAAATGTAGTACAGTCTGTATCGGCTATAGCGTACCCTTTTGATTTCCGTGATTTTATCACTATAACCGATGCATCACTATATGCGATACGATCGAATTTTTTTCTTTTTTCCGATCGACACATGAAAGGCAAGGAAATACTTCCAGCATGGCGTTTTGACAAATGAGCATGCTGCATAGTTGACAGTGCCCGCATGTCCATACAAAAAATTCTGTTATGTACATGTATCACAATAAGAATAAGCAACGTGAAGAAAGTAAAAAAATAGGGCCTTTGATATTATTGCTACATGTATTTTAAAGTTATCACTAGAGCCGATAATAATAATAGTGTGTTATGCATGTTTTGATTCTTTGTTGTCATCATAATATCCGACATATCATTACATCCGATAATATTGGTTATAGTGATATTTTTACTGGATAAAATACGTTTTGCTTTTGATAATTCGTACCAATACCACTGTAGCCGATATATTCTTATATCCGGTCACTCTATAGCCGATACAGACTGTATTCAGGTGATTTCAGCACTAAAATGACTACACTGTACAATGTATATCAGTGGTGTGCTTTAATAGTGCCATAATTATATGGGGGGGGGGGGGGGGGGGGTAGCCCTTTCCCAAAGGTGCTCGCCCTTTTTGGAAAAGCCCGTTTCTTTCGCCCTTTATTGCGTTTTTTGGTGAATATCGCCCTTTTTGAGCTTTTTTAGCTGAAAAAGTGCTAACATTTTTTTGCTCATATGCATGCGATCACAGTTTCCGAGTGCTCGATGGGCCTTGGCACGCCGCTTTTTTAGGGGGCAACAAGTAATTAGTTGGTGAAGCTTGTACCCGGTGTACACAATGCTGTAAAAGTCGGTTTTTTAAACTTTACTTCCTGTTTTGCCTTTCGTGGACCCATAAATGGAAGAATGCGTATTCATTTCTCAGCTTGGGTTCATATCTGAACATGTATCATGGCTATGCTTCACTGAAAAAAGAGCACTTTTTCAGCATATTTTGAGGGACGCGAAAAGCACTAAGTGCGAATTAAAAGAGCACCTTTGGGAAAGGGCTGGGGGGGGGGGGGGGGGGGCGCTGTTTACCCCCAGGCTTGTTAAGGGCGCGTTCAGACTGGCGTAAAAAACAAGCGGAATGTGAAAGTTGTCAAGGTGAATCGCTCACGTGACGTTCCCGCCAGCGTAAACACGGAAAAGGTTTCCCACCACTCTGCAGGCCAGTGGAATGCAGATTCCGGCGGCACGCGGAGCGCTTTTGATATCCTTGCAGCACATGTTCCGTCTTTTCGTTTTATTTCAGCCTCTACTCTTGCAGTCTGACTGCATGCTTTTGAGTTTTGACTTCTAGACTGCCAACTTCTCCCATCATGCCTTTGTTCGACTCAGCAATGGAGAGGGAGTTCATGGAGCTGTACGTGGTGATTTTTGCGGGCCGCTCTGCAGGCAAAACGTTACTGCGAACGAGAAGCATACTCTGATCGCGGAGCGGATGAATGCCACCCAAGCACCAAACACTCCGGACATAGTATTCTTTCCGTCGACAAGCACAAGCAAAAGCACAATGATCCAGTATCTCAACAGACTGAATTAGTTTATTTTGATATCCAACTCAAACTGAGTCAACTCAAATTTTTCAAATGTCGAAGCTTCACATGTACTGGCCATTCCAGCGGGATACACGTGCAGTGTGATTGCGATTCCCGGATTACGCTGCAGCTTTCCGGCGGCTATTCACGCCAGTCTGAACGCGCCCTAACCGGGTCTGGCAGCAGAAGAGCTGCATGAACGGGCCTCCATTAGAACTCAATGATAAACACGACAAAGATCCAGAGCCCTAGCTGGCCTGTTCGGGGTTCGTAATGCCAACTAAATTACTTTGCACACCTCAGGGACTCCCGGTTCTCAGTCACTGCGCTGTATTTCACACTGCTGCCGGACTCACGGAGCTCGGAGGGGCTTTACTTGACGGGGCCAGGCAAACAGCTAACACTAGGACTGAAACGATCATTCAGTAACTCCTAACGATCAACCAATATCATTAACGATCGATATATTGGTTTTATCGATTCTTGTCGGCCCTACTCATGTACCTCGAACACCAGATAATGAAGAAATTCCACAATGCCTTTGCTACGCTAGAAACTTGCCGCATCGCACTGTTGACATCTGGCTGGTTTTATCAACGTGAACTAGAGTATTTCATGTTGTTTCCAGAGTGAAGAATCTTGTCATCGCCCTCTGGCAACTTCTTTCATCTCCGACCTCTCCCACAAATGAACCGAAAAGACAAAGCCTTCTCTCCTGATCTCTTTCAAAGCCACAAATCAATTTTGCTGCGCTTGAAAGTACATGATTGCACCCGTGTTCACTACCGGATGGAGTGCAAGGGCTAGAATACTGTTGCTGGTATGCATGCGTAAGAAATCATTAGCACTCGTTTCGAACACCAACGATTATCGATTGCACCCTTAGCGATCGATATGCGAGTTATCAGTATAATTGTTTCAGCCCTAGCCCAACACAGAGCCAAAATTCGGTCGGCAGTAACGCCATAGCTCCACGAAGCACCAATGTTCCGGGACAGCTCGCTGCATGGAATAGCTGGGTTTTCACGAGAGAGAGACATAGTTTCGTATGAGTAGACCCGTGACCTTACCCCCTAGTTCGCCATCATTCCCACTCTCAAGACGACACAGGTTATCGCGAATAATGGTAGATCTCATAATACCTACGTATACCGGTAAAAGACATGCAGCACGTTTAGAGTTCATCGTCGTATCGGTCGCTTCTCCTCAGACTTACCTGTTCTCCCGCCGTCGTTTTTATCCAATGTAGCGTCGCGTCGCCCGCTAGAAACGAGCAGCTGCTTCTGCAACAGGATTACTATCACTCAATCTTGCGATCCGCTGACGGCACCCTTCAACAGCCAACGCTGCTAAAACTAGGGGAACTATTCGTTCGGCCGGGAATGCTCCAGTCAACAGCCCAAGGTCAGGAACAATGGGTTGACAGAAGAAGCGGCGGTACTTCGGTCTTGCCTGATTTGCGAGTTGCTTCACAAGCAAACGGCACTAGTAGTACTAGTAGGGATCTCCTCCAGCCCTTACTTACTAACAAGCTGTTACTTCCTCATGAAACTCCGCAAAGACAGTCTACAACTTTTTGTGGAGCAGCGAACAGCGAGCCGCTCAAGCAATTTTTCGCTTGTTATCACACCGTGATGTAAAAAAGGATTTTTTCCTGGCAAGGAATAAAATGAACTGTATCATGCCGCGCCGGTGGTAACGCGCGGACGTGCAAAAGAGAGAGAGAGAGAGAGATACATGTAGCACAACATGTGTGTACAGTAGATCGCTTTCTCGCTCTCTACTACCGCCACCCGTCCGCTACGATAGCTCTTTCTGGCTAGTTCTGTCATGTACGCGAGTGTGTTTTTCCCCCAACACTAATGACTTGGCAACAGTCTGCCCCGGTTTTATTTGCCTGGTGCGATCACTACCAATAGTGCAATACCATGCCACTCGACTCCATGGTATCAGCGATATTTTTGGCTTTTAGACATGATTGTCAGATTGACAGCCGCACACATGACCATCGGCGTCACGATCATGTGCAGTGCTGCCAAACCGTCCGATTTTTCGGACAGTGTCCGATTTTTGAAGGCTTTTCCGAAAACCGGTCCGAAAAGGGAAACGTCCGAAAAGCAGCCAAAATGTCGGAGATCATTACTTTCCTATGCAGAAGTCCTGTACTTTCACTTTTCAGCGCAACTGGAAGGCACAAATCACTGTACATTTGCTTCTAAAAAGGCTAGCGCTTGGCTGTGGAAGTGCAAAGTAACAGTCATGCCTGGATCAGGCTGGATGGCATGTACGCTGACAGTCTGTACAGAGTCAGTGTGCGACCAGCCACACTCATCATTACAAAATTCATGACAACTCTGGGGTTACCATGGCAACGAAGCGAATTTTCATGGTGTTTTAGGCGATATTTTGAATTCACTGTAAAAAAATTGCCGAGAAGAAAAATTCGCACCATGTGGCCAGCCTTGGCGGTGAAGGGTGTCCGATTTTGGCCGAAAATTATTTCGCAGCACTGCATGTGCCTCGCGCGCAATTGGGTAGATCTACTGTACGACTCGTAGTACAGTGCAGATCGTCCCTCTCTAATCCGGCACCTTTTGCAACGTCATTTTCTGCTGGATAAACAAGGGTGCTGGATTATCAAATCCTGCCCTCCAACCCGGCCCACCTATTTAACATACATGTTTGTGTCGTACGTCAAAACGTAGCGATTTTCTGTGTCAATCCAAGTACGAAGTAGCGGTGAGGCATCCTGCAGCTTCATAACTCGAACTCGACGAGAATTGGTGAGCACACATGCTCATTCCCTGGACACTGCAATTCACAACTCATTTCATTTCACAGAATCATTTTCAACGTTTCGCATATTGTATCCTGATGATGGCAATTTGCCGAAACGTTGAAAATGATTCTATGAAATGAGTTGTGAATTTGCAGTGCCCAGGGAATGAGCATGTGTGCTCACCAATTCTCTTCGAATCCAAGTACTTTGTGGAATGCATGTCTATAACATACGCTTGGGAATATCTTACGCACTATCATAGGATATTCCCAAGTGTGTGTTTAACATGACTGATTGTGTTATGTATGTTACAATGCTCCTTGACAGTATGCGATGTACAACTGCTGGATTAGAAAATCGAATTATGCACAGTTTGCAAGGGTACTGGATAAACAAGTGCCGGATTAGAGAGGGAAGACTGTACTAGTTTTTATTTTATTTTATGTCCAACAGCCTCTTACGGGCAAAATTAAAATTAAAAGCAACACATGGGTAGTAGTACCGGTACTACAAGTAGTAGTAGATCTACTACATGTACATAAAAATCATTAGTAATACAGCTGTACATGTGCATGTAGTAACAATAGTATACCATGGTATACTCGATCTAGACTACTGACACAGTCTGTCACTTCACAAATAATTTTAATTTCGGTGTACATGTACACTTCACAAATAATTTTAATTTCGGTGTACATGTACGGTACTTTTATTTTCGGTACTTTCGGTGCGTCTGTTTCATACCTAAAATCTCGAATCAATACGTAGATCTACACAGAACAAACTCTACACACACATAATCCAATAGGGAACTGCTTCTTTGTACCTAAACTTTCTGTTCGCCTTCCTGGCCTTTTGCCCTAGGTCATACCGAAAATAGTGACCTAAAAATTCTGAAATTAGAATATTCTTTCTGGCTTTTTTTAGGGTGCGTTCTTCAATCCTCTCGGAAAAGTTGGAGACTCTCCGAAAAGTTCGAGAGCTGTTCTTATATCCTCGTGGAGGCTCTCCAAGCTTCAGAGGTGGTTGAAACCAGGGAGTAGTACAATATATATACTACTCCCTGGCTGAAACGAGGGAGTAGTACAATAATACTACTCCCTGGCAGTAAAAGCCACGTGTTGATCATGACTCTGAGTGTACGCATTTCCCTTTTCGCATACGCACAGCGCATACTATAATGGGCCTGTGCACGGCTGTTAGCTGCACTTGGATCGCGGCAACTAAAATATTAATTACTTAGTTTTCTGCACGTGAACCATGAAAAATCAATGCATGCTCATGCATGTTCATGCATAACCAGTCAGCTGGCCTGCTCGCCCACGCATTTGACAGGTAACAATTCCATCAAATTTGAGATATCGCTTCGTTCTAAGTCTCAAAACAGTTCTAAAGTCACCAAACCACGCTGGTAATCGATGGCTATTCAATGTTAACATCTTCAGGAAGACTTCACTCGTCTTCAGCCGTTTCCCGAGTGTTTGGGCATCGTTGCCGTTATTTTTCACGGTGTTCTTCTTCCTCTTGTCTGGAGCTGCAGTGGACCGTATGCGTGTTAAAACAAAATGGCGTCACGATTTATTGAAAGTGGTATAGTTGGTGGAACGAGTGTTCAAACCCATTTGAACTTCATACTGTTCGTCTTCTTTTTGACATGCTCTCTTTCCATCGTCCTTAGCTTTTGTTTGTTGAGAGCTGTTTTGGCTTTCTCCTATACCTCTGGGGGATGCCAAGTGATGGTTTTGAGAGGCTGGTGATGGCTGTGAGCGAGAGTTTGCCGATCGGCGTCGTCCTCGCTATAGCGATGAAAATACTAGTTACTGCGCACCTGGCAGATATCACAACACGTCGGAGCGTCCAGGAGCAAAGGAATCTTGGGTTTTCACTGGAATCTAGTTCCACCAGCATCGTGTAGCCCACCGTCGGTGAATGGCGGTCCAGAAAGGTCGAAACTGGTCTTCTGCAGCATCTCGCAGTCCTGCGAGGCACACTGAATACGCCTGTCATGTATTCTACAAATAAAAATCACGAAGTAGTGGACTTTACAGTGATGAGTCTATCCTGTATGCTGCAAAAGACGCAGGAAATGTGACTGGTGTCCGTACACTGGACGCCAATATCATCCCAGTCTTCTCCTGCAGGATCTGTTTGACATTGACATACCGGTATGCAGTGGGTCGACATTGGCCTGGTTTGGCAGCTATCTGCCTGGGTGGATGTAGCAGGTTTGCATTGGCGCGTCGTCCAGTCCGACATTTTCTTGTAACTGTGGAGTACCGGCAGGGTCTGAGAGGTTGCTCGTGCTGTGAACACATCTCTACTGCCTGTCTCGTCCTGGAAGTGCGGTCTCGCCGCTTCCTTGCTCTACAGTCACGCCGTTATTTCGCTTTGTTTCGTGGTGCAGCTCAAAACCTGCCCAAACAACTGTGAGCTCGCAACATGGTATGGACAAATTGCACCACTCATGCTGGTTAACTAAAACCGGGATAGTCGAGTAAGCGAGTTCACTCCCTGGGCCATGGCAAGATCTGTTCAGCGCGGGCTATTCCAACCTCCAAGTGCATAGTCACCGATCGATCCATGCGATGGTGGTTGACCTACAAAGAGCCAAGGTCTACGAGTACTACTATTGGATGCTGTCTACATGCAGTCAACAAAATCAAAGTACCTCAGTATGCCCCAGAACAGGGCATGTGCATCTATAGCATGACACAACAGGGGTTCTGGCGGCACCTGTCAAACAAGCAGTAGCGACTAGTGCCAGCTACCTACTGGAGGCTAGCCGCTACAGTCTGTCACTGGAGATAATTATTATGTTCACTGTTTAGACTGAGCACAATCAATGATGCCCAATCAATCTGCCCAATGTGTGTTCTGTTCCACCTAATTATAACGTCCCATCGCATCAACCCTACTACACGCACATGTCGTCACTCTAGCACGACTTGTGTTATTATTGTTTATTTTGATTCGCACGATAAATAGAGCACAATAAACGTTAACTTGACCGAAGGTTAAAGGCGACTGCAGATAGAGGAACACATCGAGGTACAGGTGCCGGCATCAATACAGTATCAGAGAGGTACGCAGAAAAAACTCTCGTAAGCCCAAGGGGAAGTGGTTGATGAGGGATGAATGTACTATCCACGCTCGTCTACACTGTTCGTGGAAATGCACACATACATACAATAATATACAACATAGCAATAGCATGCACAGAACCAAACAATTTCATGTTCACACATGCAAGCACAGACCTGAACATTAGTACCAAAAGCCGATACAGACAATATCCCCATACACACAGAAGCACACACACACAATGTCCCATGTATGCGCCCGTGGCGAGAAAAGCACGCAGATCTAAAAATGCACTGGATGTGAACCCACAGATTTTCTCTAATAGCAATGATAGCGGATCTGATTCTGAATGAAACACACACACAATACAATTATTGAATGCCCATCCGCAGATGATGGCAGGTCCTAAAAGAACAGGCAGTGTTCCAGTGATGGGGAACAGAACTTCGAGTGGCGAGTGAGGTATACACACACACGTGCGTGCGCGGGCACACACCAAAGTATGAAGAAATAGAATCGACATCGTAGTATTCATTGGTGGAAAGGAAAATAAAACATTGCTATAGGTTATTGTTGTAAGGACACTGGGAGCACAACAGAAAGGTAAGCAACTTGCTTTGAAGCAAAGAAAGTTATTATTCCACGGATCTCAGAAGGAAGGAACGTTCCAGAATGCTGCACTGGCAACAGGCGGCCTGCATGTGCGCGGCCCCTGCAGTCGGTCCAGCTGCCGGCCTTGCAGTGCTGAAAAGAATGTGCAGTACAGCATGTCACATAGTATCGCAGCCTGGACAAATAGACGCTGGGAAGTCCTAGTTATGTGCTCACCTACACCACGATGCACCAATCTTCTGAGCTACTTTGGCAACAATTTTGTCC